TTATGGTGTCAGAGGAACACAGAGATCTCCTGCGCTTTTTTTGTGGTGGAAGGATGGGAATCCTGCAAATGAAGTGACTGAGTATAGGATGAAGGTTCATCTTTTCGGTGCTGGTAGTTCACCTGGCTGCGCAAATTTTGGTCTAAAGAGAGCAGCAGATGATGGGGAGAAAGAGTTTGGTGAAGAAGCTGCTGAGTTTATACGACAGGACTTTTATGTGGATGATGGACTAAAATCAGTCCCCACCGTGGAGCGAGCTGTTACACTGATAAAAGCAAGTCAAGGCATTTGCGCCAAGGCCGGCCTGAGACTGCACAAAATTTCATCAAACAAAAGAGAAGTTCTTGAACAGATTCCGGCCGAAGATCGCGCCAAAGGATTAAAGGAGCTAGACTTGAAGGTTGATCCACTGCCCTTAGAACGTGCCTTAGGAGTAGTGTGGTGCATTGAGAATGACAGTTTTCAATTCCGCATCGAGCTGCGTGACCGCCCCCTAACGCGACGTGGCGTACTTTCCACAATCAGTTCAATCTACGATCCTAGTGGTTTCGTTGCCCCAGTTACCTTGAAAGGAAAACAAGTTTTGCAGCAAATGTGCCGAGACAAGCTTGATTGGGACAGCCCAATTCCAGAGAGTTTGTATACTCATTGGGAGAAATGGCGTCAGGATGTTCTGAATCTCGATCAGCTGCAAATTCAACGTTGTTTTAAGCCGGAGAACTTTGGGCAGGTCAAAGCCAGCGAGTTGCATCATTTCTCAGATGCTAGTGTAGAGGGTTATGGACAGTGCTCGTACCTTCGACTAATCAATGTGGAGGACAAGGCGTACTGTTCCCTTGTCATTGGGAAATCTAGAGTGGCCCCGTTAAAGCAAATCACTGTGCCGAGGCTAGAATTGGCTGCAGCTACTGTTTCAGCAAACGTGAGTGAATTTCTTCGTCGAGAATTGTCTTACACGGACATTAAGGAACATTTCTGGACAGACAGCAAAATCGTCCTTGGTTATGTTAACAACGAAGCTAAGAGGTTTCATGTGTATGTGGCAAATCGTGTGCAGCAGATTCGTGACGTCACTAACCCGAGTTCTTGGTTGTATGTCAGCACTGAACTTAATCCTGCTGACCATGCCTCGCGAGGCCTTACAGCGTCACAGTTATTACAAGGAACCAACTGGCTAACTGGACCCTTATTTCTTTGGAAGAGTGGAACTTTCCTGCCTGAGAAGATAGAAGAATTTCAAGTGACCGAAAGTGATCCTGAAGTAAGGAAAGCAGCCGTTTTCACATCTCGTGTAGAGAGCAGAGCTACTCAAGCCCCTGAACCGTTAACGTCAAGCCGTTTGCGCCACATGTCAAGCTGGCAGCATGTGCTGAAGGCAATAGCTTTGTGTCTACGACTGAAGAGCAAACTGGCAAGTAGAGAAGTGAAGTTGACGAGACAAACGGGTGGTGAGAGCATCAGACCATTACCGAAGGTATCAGTCACACTTACAGAACTTCACGCAGCAGAGAGGGAAGTTCTTAAGGTTGTTCAACGTGAACATTTCCATGACGAGATGCAAGTTTTAAAGGAACTTAAGGAAGTTGGAGAGCTTACTACTAGAAAGATCGCAAGAGAAAGAAATCTAGCCGTCAAGAAGTCTAGTTGCTTATATCGTTTGGATCCATTTCTCGATGAAAACGGTGTTATCCGCGTTGGTGGCCGCGTGAGACGAGCTAACCTTCCATTTGCAACGAAGCATCCTGTGATACTTCCTCGTAAAAGTCATATTACAGAATTGCTGATTCGATTCTGGCATGCCAAAGTGAACCACATGGGACGAGGTATCACCCAAAATGAGTTGCGCCAGAGAGGCTACTGGGTTGTTGGTGGATCGTCAGCAGTGTCAAATTGTATTTCCAAGTGTGTTACATGCAGAAAAATGCGCGGCCCCCTGCAAATTCAGAAGATGGCCGATTTGCCTGTGGATCGAGTTGAACCTTCGGCCCCCTTCTCGTATTGTGCTGTAGATTTCTTTGGACCTTTCCCGATCAAGGAAAAGAGGAGTGAAGTTAAACGTTACGGAGTTATTTTTACCTGTATGGCCAGCAGAGGTGTTCACTTGGAGACAGCCAACTCGTTAAGTACCAGTTCCTTCATCAACGCACTTAGTCGCTTCCTCAACCGACGCGGTCCAGTCAGACAGCTCCGCTGTGATCAGGGTACAAACTTTGTAGGAGCGAAGAATGAGCTAAAAGCTGCCTTAGAAGAGCTGGATCAGAACCGGGTGCAAGAGTACTTAGTGGAGAACGGATGTGATTGGATACCATTTCAGATGAATGTACCTCATGCCAGCCACATGGGTGGCACATGGGAAAGGTTAATCCGAACTGTTCGTAGTGCACTGGAGACGTTACTTCTGAGCGCTGGCACACAGTTGGACGACGAAGCGTTCAGAACCTTCATGACTGAAGCAGAGTGTATTGTTAATTCCAGACCCTTGTCTACGAACGACTTAAATGACCCAGAGGCACCAGAACCACTTACGCCCAGTCATTTACTTACCTTGAAAGCTAAAGTTGTACTTCCACCGCCTGGAAGGTTCCAGCGAGCAGATCTATATTCCCGCAAGTGGTGGCGCCGAGTACAATATCTCGCGAACGAATTTTGGCTTAGATGGCGCCGTGAGTTTCTTCATAGCCTGCAGGCTCGTAACAAGTGGATGTATCCAAAGCGAAATCTATCAGTTGGAGATGTAATCGTATCCAAGGAAGACGAAGGACCACGTAACCAATGGCCACTCGCTAGAGTCGTAGAAGTCTACCCTAGCGAAGACGGATGTGTCAGAAAAGTCAAAATTGTGAAAGCTGATGGAGAACTTGACAACCAAGGCAGACGTCGAAAGCCATCTACGTTCCTGGATAGACCAATCCACAAATTAGTCTTACTGGTACCCTCTGCAGATGAAGCGGATGTTGGTGATAGCAGCAGGGAGACCGAGGAATTCCCCAACGAGGAGCCAACTACTCAGTGAAGTCGCCCCGACAGGTGTAGAAGACACAAGTGACCGCCTTTATGAACATTTGTTTTGTTTAACTGTCTAGTATGGACATTAACTTAAGTAATTGTTAGGCAACAATTAGGGGAGCCATGTGACTGCAGCGCTGCGCAGTCAGCGGTATGTTGTAAAAGCTTAGCAGCCGCACCAGATTTTAGTAAGCGGCCGCCATGTTAGCCCTTTCTCGTGTTGTTCAAGTTTTTGGATAGTTATCGCCATCCATCGGACATTATACGGCCTAAACGATTGTCATCTCGGGACTCAGGATCCAAGAACTAAGGAGTAAAAAGAATGTGTTGTACCGAGGACCTGTGAATAAACTACGTTTGGGACGTTCGTGTTGATTGTTAGCAACTCCTCTTGTTGTATGTACTACGGGAGGCCAGCCACATTAGTGCTAGGGACAAATTATCAGTGCTAGGGACAGATGATCAGTGCTAGGGACAGTTGATCAGTGCTAAGGACAGTTGATCAGTGTTAGGGACAGTTGATCAGTGCTAGGGACAGATGATCAGTGCTAGGGACAGTTGATCAGTGCTGAGGACAGTTGATCAGTGTTAGGGACAGATGATCAGTGCTTAAGGGACAGATGATCAGTGCTAGGGACAGATGATCAGTGTTAGGGACAATAATTGTTAATTATTGATCAGTGTTAGGGATAGATGATCAGTGCTAGGGACAGATGATCAGTGCTAGGGACAGTTGATCAGTGCTAAGGACAGTTGATCAGTGCTAAGGACAGTTGATCAGTGCTAGGGACAGATGATCAGTGATAGGGACAGATGATCAGTTTTAGGGACAGTTGATCAGTGTTAGGGACAGATGATCAATGCTAGGGACAGTTGATCAGTGTTAGGGACAGATGATCAATGCTAGGGACAGTCAATCAGTAATAGGGACAGATGATCAGTGTTAGGGACAGTAGATCCTTGCTAGGGACAGATGATCAATGCTAGGGACAGATGATCAGTGCTAGGGACAGATGATCGGTGTTGGGACAGTTGATCAGAGCTAGGGACAGTTGATCAATGTTAGGGACAGTTGATCTGTGCTAGGGACAGTTGATCAGTGCTAGGGACAGATGATCAGTGCTAGGGACAGTTGATCAGTGCTAGAGACAGTTGATTAGAGCTAGGGACAGATGATCAGTGTTAGGGACTGTCGATCAGTGCTAAGGACAGATGATCAATGGTAGGGACAGATGATCAGTGCTAAGGACAGATGATCAGTGCTAGGGACAGATGATCAGTGCTAGGGACAGATAATCAATGTTAGGGACAGTTGATCAGTACTAGGGACAGATGAACAGTGCTAGGGACAAATGATCAATGCTAGGGACAGTCAACCAGTAATACGGACAGATGATCAGTGTTAGGGACAGTAGATCAGTGCTAGGGACAGATGATCAGTGTTAGGGACAGTTGATCAGAGCTAGGGACAGTTGATCAATGTTAGGGACAGTTGATCTGTGCTAGGGACAGATGATCAATGCTAGGGACAGTCAATCAGTAATAGGGACAGATGATCAGTGTTAGGGACAGTAGATCAGTGCTAGGGACAGATGTTCAATGCTAGGGACAGATGATCAGTGCTAGGGACAGATGATCAGAATTAGGGACAGTTGATCAGAGCTAGGGTCAGATGATCAGTGTTAAGGACTGTCGATCAGTGCTAAGGACAGATAATCAATAACAGGGACAGATGATCGATGTTAAGAACGATTGATCAGTGCTAAGGACAGATGATCAGTGTTAGGGAGGGAATTGGATATAGAGTGATGGGCGACTATATGGCATACTGGCATGAAGTATATACCGGAGTGGGGGTCACTTTATTGATCAAAGGGAGCACGTTGTGTAAGCCAATCACCAAACCCGAATTCTCACGAGGTCGAGCAGTTCATACCAGACATAGTCTGCCAACCTTTCTGCGTCATTTCTCGAGTAAAGAACTTTATTTTTTCATGAGCGAAGGAAAGAGAAGAAAAAACAATTTGTCTTCCAAGCTCGATGAACTTTTAGAGCAAATGCAGTCACCTGATTTGAGCAGAAGCATTTCAAAATATGCCGACGTCGATGCAAGCTCGAACAAAACATCTGAGGCCAATGTTCTAGGAAGATGGATTTCCTCCGTGGATGATTCAGCGAGGGAATCACAGGCTCAATCTTCTGCTGGGAGCGGAACAGTTCAGAATATTTCTGGAATTCAGTCTTTTGATGGAAATGAGATGTTGACGAACACCACTTTACAAACAGCTGACGAGAGTGCTTCCAAACCGAAGGAATTATCTAATGAAACACAACCTTCTGGTGCAAACAGAGCACATATTGACCATGATATGGAAATGCAGTCTTGTAGTGTGAACACAGTGGTTAAAAATGCTACCATACAATTTGTATCAGATGAAGAAACAACCATGGTGATCGATTCATCAAATGAAGCACAGCCTTCTGGTGTAAACACGTTGGATGATCATAGCAATGAAATTCAATGTTCAAAGATGGTCGAGAATTCCACTGTAACAGGTGAAAAAACAACCATGTTAATTTCTCCATCAAGGAAAGCAGAGTCTTCTAGTGTGAAGAGATTGGATGATGTTGGCCATAACATAATTCAATTATTTTCTGTTGAAGACCAGGAAGTGAACACTGCCACCATACCAAATGGAAAAACAACAAGTCTGAGTGATTCGTTAATAGAAGCAGAGACATCTGATGTAAACATGGTGGATGATAATAGCAATGTCGTTCAATGTTCTAGTGCAGATAAGATGACTGAGAGTACCACTGTACTAGATGGAAAAACAACCATGTTCAATGATTTATCAACAGATGCGGAGCCATCTGGTATAAACATAGTGGATGATAATAGCAATAAAATTCAATCTTGTAGTGGAGATAAGACGATTATCACTGTTCCAGATGAAATGACTTTTGCGCCAAGGGGTTCAACAAATGAAATACAGCCTTCTTTTGTAAGCAGTGTAGATAACAATGGCACTGAAACAGAATCCTCCCATGTGAAGAAGATAGTTGAAAATTCCACTGTATTAGGAGAAACAGCAATACCAAAACAGTTTTTAAATGAAATACAACCATCTACATGTATTCATGAAAATGTAGTGGGTTATAATGGCATTGAATTACAATCTTGTAGTTTGAAGGAAGTGGCTGAGAATGCAACTATGCAATGTGAAAGCACATCTACTCAGAATTCATTAAATCAGATCCAAGCTTCTGATGTGAACAGAGTGGGTGATATTGGCACTGAATTGCAATCTTCTTGTGTGAGCAATGTGACTGAGAATGCTTCTGTGTCAGATATAAGGGTCTCAAACTCGAATATGTCATCAAATGAAACACAACCTTTTCATCTGAACAGTGTCAAAAATAATGGCAGTGAGATACAAGGTCGTAAATTGGACATGGAAACTGAGGAAACAGCAACCTTAGAAGAGTCAGCTATCAAAAAGAATGATCTTATAAATCAAAGCCAATCTTGCAGTGTGAACATTACTTCTGAGAATACCTCAGTAATGGCGGATCTTTCAAGTAAAAGTTGCAATTTTGATGATCCTGAAAATGAACCTGGAACTAATAATTCTGAGGAAGACAAAGTATTCAGTACACAAGAGATGCATACTTCTGCCATAAACCTGGACAATACTGAAGACAACCAAACAAGGCATTCTGGTCTGATAGACCTGGAAGAGAAAACTGATGTATCTGTAAGCACAGAGAAGAGAATGTTAGAGAAAACAGTGACCACTCTAGAGAGCATCTCTGACACGCCACTAGCTAATTGTGATGAACCAAGTGATTCCACTGTAACTTCAAACTGCAGTATGACAGATGAAGCAGTGTCAACTGTAACTGACGTCATGCCATTGTCAGAAGGAGATGAGTCATCTGTTTCATGTGTTACCCTAGGGGAAATAGAATCTACCCTCAATTGCATCTCTGATGCTTCTGAAGCAGGCATTAAAGATCCAGAAGCTATCCTCTGTGATATGATAGTTGAAACAACTTGCTCGTGTGTAGTAATGGAGCGTTCAGATGAACCTCTTCGTGTGATTGATGCCTCAGTCAGGGCTATGAATAGTCAAGTCTCAAAAGGCAGGTTTGAAGACTTATGTTTAACTGAAGATCTGAGCCAACCATCGAGAAAGAAAATAAAACTGAGTAGGTGTGTTAACATCCCGCTAAAGGATCTGCTTGATGGCTTGCATACTAGATTGTGTGAAAGTAGTTGCACATCAAAACACAATCCATTTGTACTGGCAGCCGGTGTTGCAGATGATTGCAAACTGAGAACCTGTCTGGAGAACCACTTAAAATTATCTTTAAAAAATGGCTGGAAATCATCCATAGGCATTAAAGACCCCTGCTCACAGCTCCGCCAGCTTGTCATTCTCACTGCTATATTGTTTGGTAAACTTGACTTGTTAGAATCCATGTTAAAAGCGCAGCTAAGTCACTCGGAGTACTTTGATCATTCTGCCAAAGAATTGCCCATCATACTACTCTTTAAAAACTTGCATCGTTTCAAGCCTTCTTCTAATTTTGATGAGAAGGTTACTGTATTCAAAAAGGTGTTGAAGCTTTTTGCCAAGTATGATGGTGATGTTCTTCTGTTGCAAGATGAACTCAGTGATGACACTGTTCTTCATGTGTGTGCTAAAAAAATCAGGGAGCTCACCTGTAAAATCAAAGCTAAAGAATCTTTTGCTCCTGATAGTCCAGAACTTCAACAGTTGCTTGATCAAAGAGAATTATATGATCGATTTTGTGAAGAATTGATTCATGTGCTTCAAAAGCTTGCTGTTGAAGGACCACTGCATCACAGCCAAGTGCTAAACTTTTTTGATGTCAGAAACAAAGCTGGAGAGACAATTTTTGAGATTCTTCAAGAAGAAAAATTGAAAAGAATGGGATGTAATGATGGTGGAAGCAACGCCTCCTCATCTGCTGCAGAAGGTGAAAACACTGATAATGCTGTGGAACAGGTCAGAAATGAAGAAGAGCATATTGCACAGGGTAAAATGGTGGAAGAGGTAATTACTGGTGCTCAAACAGGGCCTGTGTTACAGACAAATGATTTCCAAGGTGATTCAATAGGCCAAAGTGCCAGCATGTCCGTGCACGTTGTTCAATCATCTGTTACCACTGCCTCTTCAACTAACTGTTCTTTCCCTCAAATCTCCACTGGATGTGAAGATGAATCCATGCCTTCTACATTGTCAACCTCCATGTCATCAGTTCAATCTGCCACAGTGCAACAAGTGTCAACACATCATTCAACCTTGCAAATGAGTACAGAAACCTCAGCAGGATCAAGTGAAACTGACTCAGCAGGTATCTCTTTTCAGTCCATAGAGACCTTTAGATTCCAGGACGAGAGTGACTATAAGTACGAGATTTGACTTAAAGTTTTTTTGACATATTCTCAAAAAACAAACACCTTGGAAAGCTCTGTTGAACTTTTTTCACCAGAAAAGTTAGCACTGTCATCTTTATTGAAGGAGGTTAAGCCCTCTCCCAATGGCAAAATGATAAAAATTCTAACAATTGCAAACTTCTCTCTGTCTCTATGACATTCTTGCTAAAACTTGTAATAGAATGAGAATGGTTATCGTGTTTTCCTGCCAAAATGACACTTGTTTATGCACAAGCACTACTTGGTATCAGGAAAATCTCGTTTTTCATACTTGTTTTAGAACCTAAGGGTCTCTAATATTAGAGAGATTTAGAGTCATGTAATACGGCAAACAGCAAACGTCAGATTTAGTTGAGAATTTCTCAAAATAGAGAATGAGCTGATAGAAACAGCTCAAAACAATAATATTTACACCGCTTATTAACTGAGAGTGAGGTCAATACATCAAGGCTGGTATGATGCCCGAAAGGGAGAGGTTAATAAGTTGTTTATTATATGGTCTTTTCATTATGGATCTGAGCATGCAGTCAATTAACTGGTCTGCAGATAATTTAAAAAACATGTCACCTGCAATACAGTCAGGTGACACTAGTCAGCGGATACCCTTTTTGACAACTGTCAATTGACCATAACATGCATGGATGTCCATAAGGACGTCCACTATCAAGTTAAACACAGATTATATATGCCCTGGACACCAAGCTACTAATGCCCAGTCATTACAAGAAAACAGCCAATCAGAGTGCGGATACTATAGTAGCCATACAATGATTATTCATAAAACTGGTGTGAAACTTCTTATTTTTGTGTAGAAGTACATGTAATGAAGAGTAAGCGACAAGTGAAGGGAAACTTGCGAAAGTGGTACAAATTCATGTGATTGCCATTTGCCATAAACTTTACTCTAAATCTCTCTATTACTGAAATTCTTGTATTGTTTTGTGGTTATGAAATGTTTTGAGCATTGTACAGTAAAAACGTGCATATAAGAACCTAGTGATTTAAGAATCTACAGGCTGCAATTTGGCAAAAATATAAGAACCTGTTCAGCCTGGCAAAGAAAAATAGGTTCTTACCCAAAAAGTCACTCCAATTTTGATGGTCAAAATTCCGGATGTTAACTGTGTTAGAAACCTCTGACAAAAAGTAACCGTTTATATATGTCTCCTTTGATTTACATTTGTTTGGATTTTCACGAGAAATAGTAGTACAATATTTCTGCCAGTGGTTACACTACGACCACCTCTGAAAACTATGAACCTATTGAAAACCTATAATCAGCCTGAATTGTGAAAAACTACCCTAAAATGTGAGAACCCGTTCAGCCTGACCTCAAAAATTCTAGGTTCTTATATGCGGGTTTTTACTGTACCAATTGAAAGATATAATGAGTTCTAATTTGAAACTAAAAACCAGTCACTGATGGGAGGTACTATACCACTTTATATACAATAATATTGCCTTGTTTCTTGGTGTGTCTCTCTTCAAAGAAAGTTTCCTAATTTCTTCACTAATTTGTTCCAAAAAAACTTTAATGTGTGAAATGTTTCAATTATTTGTCATATCTCTTGAATCTTGCCCCTTCAAACATACACTACGGGGAGTTTAACCCATTCGCCCGTGGAAATTTGGCTGGAAAATGGGTTTTGAAGCAGGGCAAGTGGTTTTCTGGTCACTGGCATGCTATTATGTGCTAAACTTACCGTAAACCAATTTACGGGTCATACAATTCGCAACATTCTGATCCAGGTGTAAAATATTAGCTGTATAGAAAGCAAAATTTCAAGATAGTCTTTGGGTTTAAAAGTGACCCAGAAGTCTTGACTTTTCCTTTTCGCTTTCTCTCGTCCCCTCTTTTTTCTTGACCCATTTTTTATTTCTTTTGCTGGGCACTTAGTAGGCTTTATTTTGGTGGGTAGTACAGGCGGCTCAGGGGCGAGTGGGTTGAAATCTGTATATTTATATGTTGAAGTGTGTATGTGACGGGTAAAATTTGATTTCAGGTTAAATTTTTTTTAAACTAGGTTGATTCTCAATTTCCTTTATCTTCTAGGGTTAGGAGACATTTCATTAACCTGAAATCAAATTTGACCTGTAACATATATATTTTATATGTTAAACATTTTGTGGCAAGGTGTTGATTTAACTTGTTATTTTTTTTAATGTTTCCACCTGTCATTATTTTTAGATGAAGGGCAGTCACTAAGTCAAGAGGAGGAAGAATTTCATATTCATGTTCCAAAGTTGCCGGTGGGAGGTATGGCACATTATTACGGTGGCCCACAAGTGCAACAGCAAGAGTTGATTTTATTTTGCTGTAACATTTCATTTTGCTGTGAATTTATTTTGCTTGGTCATCAACACAAATTTGTTTTATGGTAAATTTTACTTTGCTTTTGCACTGGTAGGTCACTGTATGTTATAAATTAATATTTCTTGTCCTATGCTTTTCTTTCTTTATGGGAGCAGATTCGTGCATATGATCCAAAATCTGGGCTTTTCAGTTCTGATCAAATGCAGTGATATTATTTGCATTTCATTGCTTACCTGTACAATGGAACTCTAATACAGTCTTGTAAAAATGAGGAAGGGGTTGGCAAATGCATTCATTTCATTTAGGATACATTATACTGGGGTCAATGTAGCAGCATCAGTGCCAAAAAATATTATGTTTTATATTAATGCATTTGTTCCAAAGGGGTTGTGTATATTATGGTTTCGCTATGTAAGAAAGAATGAGATGCATCTTACATCAATTATAATGTCCCACCTCCCACCCTTTTGTCTCCTGCCTCCTAATCCCCTCACACCCCCTATTATCCTAGGTTCCCTCCCCCATGTCCTTCCCCACAAGCAATAAACTTTTCATGTCAGTGCATTGTACTGGGCTCCCTTCAGTTTTTCCTTAGAGCACACTCTAAACCCCTCCTACCCCCTATTATTCCAGGTTCCTAGCCTCCTGTCCTCCCCCACAAGCAATAAACGTTTCATGTCAGTGCTTTGCACTGGGCTCCCTTCAGTTTTTCCTTAGAGCACTCCCTAAACCCTTTCCACCCCCTATTATACCAGTTTCCCTCCCCCATGTCCTCTCAACGAGCAATAAACTTTTCATGCCAGTACATTGCACTGGGCTCCCTTCAGTTTTTCCTTAGATTACACGCCAAACCCCTCCTACCCCCTATTATTCCAGGTTTCCACCCTCCTGTTCTCCCACAAGCAATACACGTTTCATGTCAGTGCATTGCTCCCACTTCATCACTTTTTACTCTCTCTTGTATGCTTCTCTCCCTCCTAATATTAAGCCCACATACCAATATTTTTTCAAGCAACATGATCACTTACTTTGAGATGCAAATCAACATTGGAAAAGGGGTGAACATGGCAAGCATTACCACAAACTTGATGATTATTGTAGCAGTAAAAAATTATTTTGGCCGGTAGAAATACCCTTTTCATTTAGCATAAGCCCTCTTGAGGATAGTTTGGAGAAGAAGACCAAGTTATTTGTTAAGACACTGTGTTGCTTTGTTACAAAAAAGCAAAAAGAATTCACAATGCAATAGGTTCTCTCTTGTTTCCAGGGAAGTATCACACTTTTTTGTGCACTCCCAAATGCAATGTGCGACATCATGAATTAATCCAGCTTCTTTGTGCTACACCTGATCATGGCAGCCTAATTACTCCAGCTGTTGAAAATGAATCCTGCTCAAACTTCAGAGCCTATCTCCAAGAAACTGCTTGGGATCTCAACGCGATTGTTCCCGATCAACTGCCAAAACTGTGTTATTCCGTCATCCATCTTGCTTGCTTATTGGGAAAGTGTAAAGCTTTAGAAGTGCTCTCAGACTTTGGCTTCCGTCCTCTTATTCGCACATCCATTACCGAGGAAACGCCTTTACATATGGCATTGCATTTGCTTGAACACCAGCCATTGGGAAGCCTCTTTTTGTGCAATGCCATTGTGAACATCGTAAAGACGCTGAATAGACACAGCCATGCCATATCATTATTCTCAGCAAAGGACTACAGAGGGAATACTGTCCTTCATTCATTGACCAAGATGCTCTCTCCAACCAAATCATGTTCTGAAATGACAACCATTGTGTACCTGTTCAGAGTGTTTGTGCACTTCTTGTTAAGGGGGCAACAGTCCTCTCCAACTGTAACCCAACAGATTCTGTCAAACTCTTTAAAGGATTACAACAAAGCTGGAGAAAGTGTGGAGGTTCTATTGCAAAACACAGTAGTTGGTGAACAACTATGGAAGTATCTCGCAGGTCTTATGGAAGGAAGGGAAGCCTCAGTAGGTGCCTCAAATGGTGAGTGTTTATGACGCACCTGTTGCCCAGCAGAGTATTCTTAATTCCAAGTGACAAGGATGATTGAATGGATGCAAATATCAAACCCACAAAAATCTCCAGGGCTTTGAACAAAACCCCCAAAAACCCTTGGACTAAAAATTCCCCCCCCCCCCAGGCAGTCGCCGCCATTCTGCCTTCTGATTGGGCAGAAAAACACAAAGTTTTCTGGCACCAATCAGAAGACAGAACGGCGGCGATCGTTTGGAACTGGTCTGGTAAGACATTGTCCCCAGGGGCTCTTCTCGCTGTTCTTTACTTTTCTTTGTGCCATATTTTTCCGCCCATTTAGACTTCCCCTCGCCCCCACTATCTGCCCCTGGGTCTCCGAGGATGGGTCAGAATGTGGTACAAGAAACAATTTATCACTGTATTCTCAACCTTTTCCACGTGCAAATCTGTGAAGACAAAACAATTTCTGAACTTTTGACTTACCTATATGAATGTGGGGTTTTTTCCAAATATTTTCTTCATTTTGAACCGTTTCAAAGTGGTGAAAAATTTTGTTAAAGCTGCTCTTGCAAAGCTGTAGTGACCTCGTGTTTTGCTTGTGGACATGTAATTGTGAAATATTGTTGAGAAATAAGTATGCATACACCTTTGGTCTTCATCTTATTCACCATCAAAATAGAGTTTGGGCAAGGAGTATTAAAGGCTATAAATTCACAAATTTGTCAACGTACCCTATTTATACTGTATAGTATTATGATACATGTTCATATATTGAAATTACTGTAGTGTGGGAAGAAATATTGTGGTTCACAAAATTATGTATATGTTGTAGTTAATTTTTTATCTCAGGTAATTTTTGTTTTTCTTTTGTTTCCACTTCATTAACATACATCACCATACCCAAAACCAAAAGACAAACAAAAATTACCTGAGGTAAAAAGTTAACTACAACATGTACATGTGTGTATTGTTATAGCCCTAGATTGTGACATGATTGACTTTTCTGTTTGATAACCATTTGTAAAAACTTCTCCAGTTATCAAACAAAATGAAACAAAATGAAACTCAACTTTTTGGGAATTCCTGTGGAAAATTACTTGGAGAAACAGAACATTATTTGTGTAAGAACGGTCCTTTTTTTGAGAGGACTTGTTTTCAGTGCAATTTTGCGTCCCCTTTGCGTTTCTCCGCCAAACAGTGCATCTCTCATGTGCGTATCTATGTCATGGAAAACCTTGTATAAGCGAAAGTAGCACCACAGGGTACGTCAGCTGGGTAATACTTGGAACTGCATTTTTTTTAAAATAATCTTAACGAGGAAACAAACTGACAGAGTAAAGTCGGTAAAATTAGTTTTCAAGTTAACTGTATCATTGCAGCCCTATCATCATCTTACTCTGTGCATTGTTTATCATCAGATGACTGTGATCAGCCCATGCCTGCCGATGCTGATGAACCTGAAAGCCTTATTGACTTCATCATTTCACAGGGTGACAATATGGCTAAATGCTTTGAACACAAAAAGTGTGTGGAAGGTTACCACAGAGAATATCAAATGAAGCTACAATCTCTTCAAGGCAAGGTTTTGAGCTTGAGAAAGGAACTGAAAGAAGCCAAAAAGGAGGAGGCAAAAATCGCCAACAATGTTCGTAAAAATGAGTCCATAATTAAGTCATCAATTGACTGGAGCAAGGCGAGAATGCAGTCAGTTATAGAAAAGAGGAACTGGCAGAGGCAGCAGGTTTCCTTTTATGATCGCAGGTTGGAGTTACTTGAAAAACTAAAACAGGATATTGAGCAGTGGGAATTATCGCAATGAAAAGTAACGAAGTTGAAGCTCATTATATTTTACAAAATGTAGCCTGAGGCTAATGTTGTGTTCAGTTGAGGCTCATATTATTTTACAAAATATAGCCGGAGAATAGTGTTGTGTTCAGTTGAAGCTCATATTATCTTACAAAATATAGCCTGAGGCTAGTGTTGTGTTCATTAGTGACAGCAACACAATACAGTTGAAACTCCACTAATTATAACGCCACCCACTCTACAGTGGCCACTTTTGTTGGCAGACAGTCCATACAACAGCCACCTCTCTACAGCGGCCTCTTTTCTTAGCGGACAGTCCATACATTGACTATTGTTTAAACTTGTCTACAACGGCCTCTTTCTTCTGTCCCCAAGGTGGTAGACTTCCAGCAGTTTCTCTTTTTCTTCCAATTTAGCAAGGGGAGTGCAAGCACGCGCGAGCGTCACGACGCGAGAAACGAGGGTTGCAGCTCGCCTCTCCTGTATAGCGCTTTCCATCATGAGCGTGGTCATTTCCGTGTCTCCCGCGTTTCGCACGACAGACTAAGAAAAAAGAGAGACTGTTCGTAGTCTAATCAACGAAACGGGAGTAATTAGTGACCCCACATGAAAATGAAAAAAATGTAGTCTTTTTCTGATATCGCCATGTTTGTTCCTCTGACAAGGGAAGCATTGAAGTCCCCTAAAATAGTTTGTTGACATTACTGTAGTATAATAAAGAACAGGTCTATATGAAAGTTTTTGAAGGCATTTCGTCACCTTGGAGAGAGGTAGCCTGCGGTGCAGGCGTTCGAAAGGGAAGGGGAAGGGAATTAGGGCGCGAGACCGCGCGCGAGGGAGGAGGGAGGAGGGTTCTTTTCCTTTCTCCCTCGCGCGCCCAAATTCCTCCTTCGCCGTCCCCTTTTAACGCCTGCTACGAAGGCTAGGAGAAAGGGGATACGGGAAACTCAGCCTGTTTCTAGGCAAATTCAAGACTAAATAAAAAATGTTTAGCCTAGCATATAGCTGTTGTCATCCATGAATTTGTATTTTTGCTTCTCTATGTAGTTCTACTAATTCGGCAATTGTTTCTTTGCAAAACATGTGAAATTTTGTGCCATGTTCTCTAGCTCTACCAAAACACCTGAGCAACGCAACCTCGTCCACGTGGCGGCTTTCTTTGATATGGAAGTTCTCTCAATAATATCACTAGAAAGACATTTCTTTTTCCTCTCCCTTCTCTTTTTAGGTAGCCTGTGTACAGACCCCCCCTTCCCTTCCCTCAGTAAAAATCGGAGAAGGGGCCTCTTCTCCGATTTTTACTGAGAGGAGGAGGGAGGGATTCTTTCTGTACACAGGCTATCTTTAGGCTCAAGGGTTCTGGACTTCCCCTTCCGTTTTTTCTACATTTAAATGATCCTAATTTTCAAATACTTCTCCATAGTTTAGAGCTTAACAAGAGCCTGCTCGCTAACTTAATGTTCATGAGTTCGTAAGATAACTACATTTAAAGTGACACCCTTAGGTACCGCCACTTTATCAGGGTTGCAAAGGGGTGACGCGTGATAGGTACCAAATTTTCAGCGTGATGCGTGATCGGGCCCAAATAAGCTGCGCGAGGCGTGATTGGGCTCAGTAGGGTTGTGCGTGATCTACTATCATCTGCATAACGCTTCATGCGTGATTTTCCTTTTGGATTTCCCTGATTGGTGAAGATCATTTAAAACTAGATGCACAGCGCAGAGGCATTACTGAAAAGAGATAGTCATGACATCATTTTTGGGTCCTTTTTCTCGTTCCTCAGGCTCGTGATCTCTTGTCCAAATCGTCTTTATGACCTCTACTTTCAGATCAGTGAATTCTGGTTAATATAGTTAATATTTAAATATCTGTTAACGGGCGATCCTGCCCGAAATTGTTATAAAGGACACTAAAAACAATTTATTAGAGCTAATTCATTCAAAGGGGTTGAGATACTGCCATGATAAACTTAATGCGTGATGGCTAATTCTTTCCCCCGTAGATGCGTGATAGCCTAAAAAATAGTCAGTGTGACAAGATAAAACAAGATAATATTTATTTGGATCTATATACGACCTGGTACATAGACTGTTTTCCAAATAATTTAAAGTTACAATCTTTTGTGATGCGCGGATAGGTATTCTCCTACCCCCGGCCACCTTTGCCACCCTTCTTTAGTTTCGTGCCTTAAGAATTTTGCAGTCTTTTTCAACAGACTGCGACAACAGTCCGTATTTTTGCGTATTCAAGTACGCACAAACAGTCAGACGAAAAGTGGACTGGAGCGAGGCCAGGAACCCATAACTCAAGGCGTTTTTACGGACCGGTTTATTTTTAGACACATTTTGGGGCACTTTTTCCCTCGAAAATGGAATCTCTGTCACGTGTATGGACGCATTCGAAGTATAAGATATCAAAATGGAAAACGTAGCGTCATTAAAAGGCAAAAATTATCATTTGTAGGTCTGTAGGTTTTGCTGACTGGTTTTTGGGACCTTGAAGATGTTCTAAATTGGCGCCAAAACCGTTCTAAAAATAAACTGGTCTGTAAAAACGCCCTTGAGTACATGGAAGTTGCTCGCTCCACGTTATGAGCTCCGGCCCTGGTGAGGCGTCGAGCGAGGCTGAAAACTGAGAGAGAGACTGGGGAGTGCTCTCGCCTCACACGGGCGAACGGGCGACACATGGGCGCAACGACCGACACAGGCGTGAGGGTCGCGCGCGTGAGAGAAAAAAACCGACTGTTTTGCAGTCTATGATTTCAATGACCGGCGAATGACCAGCTCATTTCTGATGGTTTGCAGAGCGCCTTCCATTTCCTTCATTTTGCAAAAACGCTGGGTGATCTCCTGAGCTCCCAGAAAACAGTTTCACGTGAAGACACACTAAAAAAGTCTACGTTGGATCCCCTGTGCTTGTACGGTTCTTTCTTCGTGCACAATTTGCTCTATTACCGCACTCTTTGTAAATGCCGCGAAGCGGACAGATAATCGTCTCGTCACGCAGCGCTTCTTTTCTCCATGGAGGAGCGTTGCGTGACGAAACAAAGAACAGCTACTCACGACAAGGTGATAAGCCTCATAAGCTGTAGTTGTAATGTTACAGTTTCATTAACCTGCAAGCAGGCGGTCCTTCTCTGCCTTTCCCCCATGGTCCCCCGAAAAAAAGGAACGCCTGGTCGTACATAATAGTTTTTCACGCACATATCCTACCAAGATAAAGTTTCAGTTTGCTCAAGGAAAACCTTGGTGTGCTTATTAAATATTTACCACCTCTCATCATTTATTATTGCAAAGGATCTGGGTTGCCATGTTGCGCCGAAAAGTCTATCTTGAAAATTTAATAATTTATCAGAAGATCCCCCCTCCCGATCAGCTGTCGATGGGTCTCCGGGGTCACCCGAAGTTGACCTAACCGATCAATTTTCTGCCCTATCCGGCGTTCGAGCGTGACAACTTGTTTTGAGAGCAATCCGATCGAAGGCGAAATATTTTGTCTGTCTCTCACACGAGAGTAGTTAGCGTTTAACGAAGGTAAGTGTATGATGACACTTTGTTTCGTCCCTCTTAGATCCCTCTTTGTACTTTCATCTCAAGCTTTATACTTTTCGCGAAGCAGCGCAGTTTTTTCGCATGTATAATTTGACAGTAATATTCAGCATTTTTAGGTTTGGAATCGTCCACAAAAATGCATTGTTGGGTTTTGGCAAACAGCGAGACAATGTGCATTCATTTTTCAATTAAGGGTAATGAGACTGAACTTGAAAGGACAGTGAAGGGATCGAAATTGTCGGCAAGTAGAAGGGAAAGCATTGTCAATTTTGACTGCGCGTCACCGCTCGAGTATCTGATATTTATGGTCTCCACTTCGTGTCTAAAACTCAAAGTTCAGGAATAAAATCGAGGACGCAGTTATTAGTCATCTAATTTCATTTTTTTCTCACCGCAGTGCGTAAAGATGGTAAGTTTTAACGACAGAAATCCCCCCAGAAATCCCGTTCGATTCATATTTCTTCGTCTATGAGTCGTTTCCCGCGCGCGGGCGGTGTACATTCCCGTAGTACCTTGCGGGTAAAGTGGCTTTCGTTCTCCGTGGAATCAACTGAAGATCGTTTCTTTATTTCAAAATCCCTCGTGAGTTTGACGCGTTTTTTCACAGTCGTTTGCGGATTATTTAGTTGAGGTGTGGTGAAAATCATTTCGATTTTTGGAACAGACAAGCTGGCACCCGTGTCGGGGAATTGCGAAACTGGAGATCGTTGAAATGGACAGTGGCCTGGAAGATTGAACTATATTGTTACATCAAAATTTTGCCGTTGTTAAATTAAAAAATGAGCCATACGCCGTTGTGCTCGAAAGATTGTAATATCAAACACCACGATGTTGTTACTTCGCTTCAAGCTGTCGCCCCCAGATTTAACTCGTGTGGCTCGAATGACTCTTTTCCCGGCCCTGTTCGGGCCACGCGTGGAAACAACAAGGAGGACTTCAAAAAACATGTCCAAAAGCTTGTTTCTGAAGGATGGTCCAAAGATAAGGAAGTTCCTGAACCATTTCAACTTTTAAAGCTTCCTCTTCTGCACTTAGCGAGTATGTTTGGAAAGCACGAGGTTGTGGAATGGTTATTGAATGAAGAAGGTTACGATGCAAAACTTCAAACGTCTATTTCAGGCGAAACGGCTTTGCATCTTGTTGCTCGCCACCTTTACACGGCATTGTCTCCATCTGGATCTCGCCTTGAAAACATGAGCATCACTGCCAAAGTGGCTAATTTTGAGAGAGTTGTTTCCCTCTTGATCGAGAAAGAAGTAAGCCTTTTCTGGGCCAAGGATGAAGTGAACCGTGAAACCCCTTTTCACATTTTAGCCAAGCAACTACTGCAAGCTTCCTCAGGCTTTGTCGACGGGGAACTGGAAAAGGAGGATCTATGTTTGTCATTTTTTTCAAACAGTCTTGATGTGACCCTGAAACTTATGCTGGCCGAGGAGAAAACAAGGCTAAACAGAAGAGATGTAAAACACGCTCTAAGCATAAAAAACTCTGAGGGTAATACTGCTTTGCATTACCTGGCTCAGGCATTTAGGCATGGGTTTCTGGTGCTTAGATTCTTGGTCAAGTCCTTAGGTAACAATGACCTGCTGAAAATCAAAAATTCAAGCGGGCTTTCAGCGATTGATATTGTTAATCAAGTTTACCCTGGCCATGAAAAAGACTTGCTTATTGATGAGGAAGGTAGGTGTACTGCTCCTAATTCCTAGATTTACAGTATTAATATTTCTATTTCAAACGGATCATAAAACTATGCTGAAGTTGCTGAAAGCTTGTTGAAGGCAAACAAGTTGAGTGGGGTGTGAAAGAAAACACCCCATCTCATAGCAATCGGAGGCAGGCAAAGTTAGGTAAGTGCATGGTGTTGTGATTTGCAAAAACCTTGACGCAAAAGAAAAACCAAAAATCCCATCATCTTGTAGTTTCCTGGTGGTAAAGGACATTTCTCCCTTGTACTATGGCACATACATGTACCGTCTAGAGGCCAGTATTCAAGGGCAGATTTAGGGGTGGGCCCTGCCCCCCCCCCTCCCCTTTTTTGTGGTTTATTAAATATTTCAGTGCTACATGTTCAATATGGAATCCAGGCATTTGCTAAATTTAAGCATCCAGAAAGCACTAGATTGCACCTCAGAAAACTTCAATTGCAAAAGTTTTCCCGGAGGAACATGTGCCCGAAACTCCCTAGAAAAGGGCGCCGGTCGCAGTGCTGATGGGCGCTATCATGCCCATATTGCCACCGTATCTCTAGGCCCCCATCTATCACAAAATCCCCTATCTGCCCCTGGTACTGAACTTACATCCACAACAGGAACAAACACGACTGACGTACATGCAATATTATAGGCAACCGCTGACCAAAGTATCTACCAGCAGTTGTATCGAGTGAATTATTGATTTAAAGGATTGATAGATTAATGGTGCTTCTGTAAATGTGGGTCTCAGAGAACCGAACAGCTACAACATTGCAAAGAGTTTACAAATTAAAACAATAACCACGGATTAAAATTTAATAAATAAGAGTGATAAGATAGAACTAGATCGATAAGAGCAATGTTGATTGCATAACTAAAAAGGAGTAGAAATTGTTGTTGTGTGTTGGGGTTGTGGTTGGTGATAGTGCAGGTTCCTAATAGGCTCTTTCAGAATCTGGCATTTACTTGGCTAGGGTTCTGGATTTCAGATTAAAGGAAAGCAAGATTCAGGATTGCAATATGAATAATTATGAACAGGACTGTGTGATTTTATGGTTTAACGTTAGTTTGGTCCAGACTATGAGATTAAAGAACACTGTTAGTCGAGCTATTGAAGCACCCGTTTCTGGACTGTCTTGAAGCTGAATGGATTCTGGAATTTGTTTACTTGTCAAAGTCTGTTTACACTGGAGGTCAAGCTCGGTCTGTACAAGACTGTTTTCTCCCCATAAAAAGAGGTTGTTATGATGGTATCATGGACAGTCTGCTATATTTTCATCTTGTTTATGTTTCTCTCTCTGTTTTAGTGAAGAAAAGAGCTTATAAAGTTGTCAGCAAAAGTTATCAGAACACGGCAGGCAAGCAAATGAATCTTTTAGAGGTTCTTCATACCAGCGGCCCAAATGTTACATCAAGTAATTCAGCGGCAAAGAGTGTAGTTGGTGTTGAAACAGCCACTGCTAATAGCTCTGTCAACAGATGTGCAATACACACAGAGTTGTTCCCAGGTTTGTGCTCTGCTGATTGCTGTGAAACAATGGATGCCGTTGGCACCCTTGTAAATACCCATACACCTCTTTGTCCAACTGGCTGTGATCTGCGCCATCATTTGTTAACAAGTGCTGTCTTCAGTTCCTCGGTCATGTTCCGTGCATACAGTGACCACTGTGTGCCAGTGACCTTTAAGCTATGCATTCAAGCTTGTTTAAATGCAGGGTGGGAACGTGACATGATTGTTCCAGATCCACTGAGTTGCTTGCAGTACCCATTGTTGCACTTAATCTGCTTGAGTGGAAACTGCATTGCTGCTACCAAAGTCATCGAGGAAATGAAGTTCAGTTATTCTGTGTCTCATCAAAGTAAAGAGACACCTCTCCATGTCGCTGCTCGGTATTTTCCGGTTGCCTATGCAGATGGCAAATTCACAAGTTCCCACAAGATAATTGCCAAGTTTCAGGGCATCCTTGACTTATTTACTGATGACAAAAATGGCATGTTATTCATGGCTGATGCTAATGGAGATACAGTGCTGCACGTATTGGCTGATTGCTTAAGTACAACATCAGCTCTTGTCAGCGGAAGCCGTGGCTTAAGTGGAAGCCATCGGAAGATTTTGGTCACACAGAAACGCTGCTATTTTGAAGCCATTAAGCTTTTCCTAGAGACAATTGCTGATCTCATATTGAGAGAAAAAGTTTCCAAGGAGGTGATTGGAAAATTTGTCTATGACAAAAATAACAACTCTAGAACATTCTTGGATCTTCTAGATGCATGTCCTGACAAAGTGATGCTTCAGGTTTTCAGTCTCCAAGCCAGGGAGCTGCTGCCGTTTTGTTTTGAACAGTCTAAATCACAAAGCCGCAGCTGTCAAATACAGTCTTTTGAGATAGAAGGTTTGTTGCTTTCGCAAGTGTTGACTTCAATGTGAAGTGTGCAATTGATCACAGCCAGTTAATTAAGCTTATCTTTTTTAAGTGTACAGTACATGTACACTCAGCACCTCCCCTGACAGGTGTGGGAACTTCCATAACCTCTGGCCAGAATAGTTTTTACATCCCAAAACTCAGCAAGGACAATCTGTAAAATAAGAGCTTACTCAACAATGAGATAAGGTTGTACTTGCATTTGGAGAGTGGGAGAGCTCATATTTCAACCATGGTTTGAGTAAAGTGTATTGCACCTATCCTTAGAGGAATGTTATTCTTTGTATTGAGCAGTAAGGTTATATTGCTCTAAAACAAGATCTGGCCCTTTATTTTCCTCCTTTTACTAATACATGTAGTTTTTGTAGAACAAAAGGAAGCTCTCTGTTGAGTTGCTCTGAGTAAATGTGGGAGAAATAATATTTATTCTTCTTGACATGTAATGAGAGTTATGGCTTTCAAGCCAGCAATTCAAGATTTTGTATCCTTCCTGTTCAGAGCATCTTCTTTACTGGTCCTTTACATTACAGCATTTTGTAAATCTGATTGTCCGTGAGAAGTTGCCCAATGGGCAGGGCTCTAGGCAAGATATCTTGAAATTAAATTGTTACCTAAGTCTAGCAAGCAATAGCCCTGGGCAAGCAAAATATGAGAGCTGCTTAACAATAAAATACATGAACTTTTGTTGCACATCATTTGCCTTTCATTGTACTGATCATTAGTCATTCAGTCCATTGTTTGAGACACTTTTGCAATTGTTTAAATGAGGGGAATGTGTTGCTTCTGTTCTTACAAATTTATCAAACAATGTATAATCTCCCTACTGTCTCATGTCTGAGTGAAGAACCTGGCAGGAAAAGAAGTGTGCAATATATCCATCTATTAATATTATTATGTTGTCACCTTTCAGAAGGTGGTTGTCCTGTGCAAGATCTTGTCTCATCACCATCAAGTCTGCCTTCAGCTATGGAGGTCAGGAACACCAATACACTGCAATATCAGCCTGTTCCACCTCAAGTGATTCCAGTTGAGTCTCCTCCCCTTACTGGTGTGGTACACAACCCTATGTCACCTACACGACCACAAGCTCAGGTCCAAAGCATTCAGTTTTCAGGACAACCTGCATTGACAGGTATGTTGTAGACAGATACATACACAGAATATATCTATCACATGTGTTGTTTGAGTGTGAGGGAGGGGCTAGTGCAGATTGAAAGTGTATATGACATTTTAAAACTGATCTTCAGTCCAGAATATCCCTAACATTAGGGACAGGGCAAACTGGTCATGCGACACTGTTCAACCAATGAGAAGGCGCATTTTTGTTTACCAAAACATCAACCAGGTGCTCAAAAATTTTTCACAATGGCGGAGGGAGGCAGACAGAGCATTGTTATTTCGTCTTCCTTTTAAGAGATGCTGAGAGTACTCGTCTAGGTTTCACATTATTTCAAAGAAACCATTTGATGTAAGAGAATAAGAGTATTATTCATTGCTAGGAATCACTGGGGTGTTTGAATATTCCAGACTGATTGCAGAGGTCGTGGCTTCAGTGGCATGGCTTGCAAGATTTTTGATAGAAGCAAACTGGTCCCGAGTAAAAATAGCCGTAGAGAGTGTATGAAAATTTCTTGAAATCGTACAAAACAGGAATGGTACCATGAGAATCAAAGATCAAGTCATCATAACAAGAATTAAAAAGTAGTTCACACATGGAGTTCATGCATCTGGTGCTTTCTTTGCTTGTTGTGGTACCTGCAAGGTTAAAATCCAACCCAGATTATCGGTGTTCTATAAGTAGCGAAATACATCTTTTACAGTTGAAATTTGCCTTCTTTCTTTGATTTTTTTTAAACTGTGGATGAACATTGGAGAATCCAACAATAAATAAATCTTTTCAGATTCGGTGAATTTCAGAAACAAGGCAGTTAGTATCTACCTTGGAGTTGCACTTATGATCTTTAATTTTATCCCAACAAATTCGGCAAAGTGAGGCGAGATGTTAGACGAGATGTTGAACTGCTGACCAGCATTGCTTTGAGGTTAACTTCGCCTAAATTACATTTAGTCATGTAATATTATTTTAACTAGTGCCTTTAGCACAGGTTTCATTTTTTTAAAAAAAAAAAGTTGATTATTTTTTTTTTGTTATCTATTTATTAATTTTATTATCGCTATTTAGGTTTTTTTATTTCAAGAGTTTTTAAAGGTCTCAATTCCCATCACTTGGAATCCACAGTGTTCCCCACCCAACCCTCACCCTCCATTCCCTGGGGATTTGTTGAACTTTAAGTCATATTTTGAGCTGCAAAGCTATGAATATTATGTCATAGTTAAACCTCATTCTGATCACAAACTTTCTCCAATTGATCACTCCTAGAGAACATTTTGCAAAATGAAGTTTGGTATTAATTTTTTTTTCTGGAATTTTGTTATTTGATGTTCTTGGCTGCAAAGGGTTAAGCTCAATGCAAACTCATCGACTCCTCCATCTTGACAGGTAACCCTTCCCAGCAAATCTCGGCTGTTGCACCTCCTGCACAGCACATACCAGTGATCTTCATCAAGGACGAGCCCCTTGATTTGCAGCCTGATGCCCAATGCTTTTATTCTGTCAACAACCAGGTTGTTGGCTTCCCACAGGGACAGAAGAGGTCCATCTTTCATCCTGCCTCTACTGTTACAACCATAGGTCCCAACCGTTTATCAGTGCAAGCAACTGGAAGAGGTGTTGGTCAGCAAATGCTCCCACTGGTTCCCCAGTCTTTTAGAGTAACTCCTGTGGAAATAGTCAATGCACACCAGACTCCTGTCCCCACCCACTCTACAGGATCAGGATCATTGCAAAATACACAGTCTGTAGACAGTACTTCGCAGAATTTAAGAGGGAGTATTAATGATGCCTCCAGAGATCACTTTCTGCTACAATCAATGGATAGGAATAGGATAGAAAACTCAACCATTGAAGAATCTCTTCAACTAAATGCAGACACAAGCACATCTTATACCATAGGTTAGTTTCTCGGACCTGGGTTCTAGCCAAACTGATTCCTCCCTATAATTATTTAAATTGTGTGGTTCCAGGTAATATCCATACCCCCTGCCCCACGGAAGTTTATTAGAAATTCCAAAGGGGAGGGGAGTGGTTCAAAGGCAGTAATTTCCAAGGGGTGGGGGGGTCCATGGGGAAACTACTCTTCCAAAGGGTGATGAACCAATTACAAAACATTCAATGAAAGCAACGTATGATCGATCTGAAGCACAAAAACATACTTATGTACGTTGTTTTGAAACAAAAGTCAGTATTCCTGGCCATTGAGATGAGGTTAACATCATTAGCTTTAAAGTTCGAGTTATCTGAGTTTAAGGTATTGAGGTTCTACTATATGTCTTTTGTTTTATGTGATATAAAGTTCAACCTTTTTTTTGTGATGTCTGACCAAAATTTTGTTTTGTCCACCAACATTGTGTCTTAATAGGACATATGTCCTTTCAAGAGAAAAATATTATTTGCAGCCCTGGATAGTCAAAGGAGCTTGAAACACAACATTCGACAGAATCAAATCTAAAACTTAATTTGCTTTGCAAGTTTTGAGAAACAGTATACTGCTGACAGTATTTCACCAAAATCTGACCCTGTCATGTTTTATAAGCGTAGAACCATAGGCATGTTAAAAATTAATACATCTGTAAGGCTGTGCTCTAAGGAAAAATTTCAGGGAGCCCTTCGGGCTCCTAAGCATTTTAGTTAAGGCGCCCAGACCCCAAAGTCGCCCAAATAAAAATTTCGGGGAGCTCTTTGGGCTCCCAAGCATTCCAGCTGGGGTGCCCAGGCCTGTCAAGTTGGTCGCCCGAGTACATCTGATGAGGAAGTATCTTGTATGCACACAAATCTTACTGGCCTGGTGATCACCAAACTCGGTAATTTTAGCTTTTCGGTTTGACAAAAACACGCATGTTGTCTTATGAAACCCGTCAAAGTTTTTGTGCCATTCAGATTTAAAACCAGAAACGTGAGCAATGATTTGTTTAGGTTTTAAAGAGGAAAAAGTAAAAAATTTCAGCAGGTTTACATAAACTTCATTAAGATCTTTGGGTCAAACATAGGAAAACTGTGCTTTTTATCAGTAATACTATACTTGAAAATAAATTTTCAAAAGGTGAATCAATGCGGCATGAAATACAATGTAATGGAGTTTTATACTTGGCAGATCGAACTCAAGTCCCCGTGAAAAATTCCGTGAAACAGTGAAACCGCCGTGGCCCCAAGCCTATTGTTTTAATAAAAAATGAGTCCCCTTTAATTTTCTTTTCGTGGGTACGGTGGTATCTTGTCTTTTTATATTTCGTTATTTTATGTAAAGGGAAGAAAACAATCATAAGTTATGTTTAGCCAAGCAGACACACCAGCCAAAAACCGTAAAAACATTACATTTGCATTCTGGTCAATACAGCAACTTTTATTGCTGTTTTATACAAAAATAAATTGCTCCGTGTTGCCAGCCGCGCTCTACGTCTGTCAGAAAAGTATTGACAGTTTCTCCTAAAAACTGTACTTAATGAACCATTCTATCTGAAACAAAAAATTTTAAAACTACTTTAGAGATGGTACAAATCGAAATCCGTGCTGCTTGTCACGTTCAAAGTGATGGATTATGTTACTTGTGAAATCAGGTAAAACAACCTTTGAACATCGACGCACGCCCGTTTCTTTCGTACAACATTCGTAAAGACATTTTCTGTAGGGTTTAGTAAACTCTGACTCAACAAGCCAACACTAGTATGTTAAATTTTTCTGCCCGATTAACTGAACACTGCATCAGAAGCAAGAGTGCACGACCGGGCGACTGGGAACTTTTTTTCAGTTGCCCAAAGCTAAATGTTAGTCGCCTCAGGCGACCAGGCGCCGTTAGAGCACAGCCTTGCATCTGGCAATTTTGTGTAATGAGGTGATTTATAGGGTTCGTATGGGAACGGAAACAATTCGAAAAAACTCGCCTCATCTTAGTCCGTCTTGGGGCGGGGTGTAAAATTAGTGCCCTGTCGACCTCAAGTGTATTAGTTATTATTACTGTCACGAGTTATTGATGTAAAATATGTTTGCTTTACCTTTACGTTTTTACCTCTACTGAAGTGGATGTAAATAATTTAATATGCACTATGTCACCAACACTGGGGTAGTGTGTACCACTCAAGTTGTACAAAAATTAATTAGTTGTCCTGAAATCTTGTGGGCCATGTGATATGCGATGCATATTAATGTCGCAAAGTAACATGGTACAGACTGTAACTCAGGCGATCAAAATTGGTGACTTCAAAACATTCACAGATCTTCAGAAGTAAAACTCCAGTGTTGTTGGATTCAAGACTCTCTGATCAACAAGAAAGTGCAATTCAAATCTTAAATGTATTAAATGCTCTCTTCACTCTTCAGCAACCAACATAAATTCTAGTAATCGGGGCCTTCTTGACCCCATTATCTTAACCATTTTAATATAATGGTGTCTAACAAGGTTTTTTTTATGTCATAAAAATGCAATGCAAATTCACACTTAATGCCAGATGATCTCTTTCCTTTCAGATAAATGGCACACTCCCATGTGCAATTCAAAGTGCATCATTGAACACCATCATCTTGTCCTAACACTGTGTGGTCACTCAAACAGAACCAACTACAGAAAAAATAGATTTCATCAATCCCAGTACACCAGATCCAATTTTGCCCACTGCATAAGGAAGAACCTTATTGAGGGTTTCAACAAGAACGCTGATGTTTTAGATGGATTAGAGAAATTGCAATTACCCCTTGTTCACCTTGCTGGCATTTTTTTTAAGTATTGTGCCATAGAAACCTTGTCATATTTTGGTTTTGATTTAAATGTGCTTTCACAAAAAACTGGTGATTTTCCCCTGCATTCAGTTTTGAGACATAACTATGAAGGTATGAAGGTCTACAAGGGTACAACCTTCATGAACACTACCTATGGAGAGAAGGTATTTACAAAGGTGTTGAATTCTCTCACAAATGGGCTTAATGCTGTTGAGGTCCTGTCACAACAAGACCGAAATGGTGACACACCCTTCCTAGTCGCAGCCAAGTGTGTGATTGACACATCTGTTCATGACACTATGCAACAGGTCATTACAGCATCAGAAATTCCTGATTCTACCCAGGAATGCAGTGGGAGTAATTCTCAGATGGGCAAATCATTGAACAACTCTTCAGGAGTCTGCAATGCTATGAAAGCGAACAAACAACAACACCGAGCTGATTTTCACATGGGTTGTATCGCAGTCATGATTCAAAAACTTCACGAGTCCAGTATAGTAAATCACAAAGTAGACCTAACTCTTGCAAAGAAAGTTCTGATGGTAAAGAACAACTGTGGAGAAACATTTCTACAAGTTTTGTGCAAAGAGCATCACATTGCAGCAGCTTGTATCTCCAAGGTACTGTCCAAATTTCCACTGGGCATTTTAATTGACTGTGCAAAAGAATGCATTCCTGAGTCCTGTTGGCCAGATTGCGTTCGTTCTGAACGACGTTCAGTCAAGCAAAGGGAAATTGCAAATCTTGCTTACACAAGTGGAACTGTCAACTCTGCTCTGGAAACCACTCCAACTTCGAAGAGAAAAGGAGGTACAGTACTTCTCAGTTGCTTTTGCATTTTAGCCAGAGAAAACAGCTGACATGTTGTGATGCCACTACTGGTTTTCCAACAAAATGACATCTGGGAAACGAGTGCAGAAAGTCATACTGATAATGCATGTACCCAGATCTGGGTATTGCTTCTGAGTGGCTGAAAATTTGCTTCAGCCAATAAGAAACACTAACCATCTGGGTAGTGATGTATTATTAGTACAGAATTTCTGCAACTATTTCTCAGATGTCATTTTGTGGGGAAACCAGTGGTGGCGTCGCAGCATGTCAGCTGTTTTCTCAGGTTAAATTGTATTCCTGTTTCCTGGATTTTAACCTTTTTGCTCCCAAGAGTGCCTTAAGTTACAACTTAGAAACACCAGCCTGCAATACAGCCTGTTTTCATTACTCTCTGCTGCTGGGGACATTTTTTCAACAACAACAATCTTTATTGTGTTCTTGATACAAAAGAAGGAGTAAAGTAATTTAAAGGAAATAATTGCAAAAAGAGAGCACAGCCACTCAGAAATAGCAAAAGCTAATCGTGCTAAGTGGCTGGGCCAAGAGGGAAAAAAAACATTTAAATAGTAAGTAGATATTTAAGTTGTAATAAATAAACAAATGCATACATGGTAGAGAGCAATGAGAGGGGGCTGTATTAACAGACTCAGAAAACACCCTAAACACCACTGAAGATGTGAGAACACCTTGTCAATTTGCTGCTGAAAATGTCTCATAGTCAAACTAAAAGATTTCATCAACATGCTGGCCTAGCTCAAATTTTGCAATTGATCACAAAATAATTGGATTAACCCAAGCAATCAATCATTGATTATCCAAAAACTTGTCATAGATTCATTCAGTGCTTTACTTTGTCACATATTTTGACTGAGGATTTTGTTATAGATGCCCAGCCTTCAAAGCCAGAGTCACCAAGGTGGTCTTCAGATGCAAGAATGACACAGCCTTCACCAACTACATCCACAGTAGATTCTGCAATGGATAGTGCTCCATGGTCCTATTCTACACCCCTTTCAGCCACACCTTTACACAAGGAAGAACTTGGATCGGTTAGCCCTCTTGATGCCATGCTTTCTCCAGTGTTAGCAAATCCATCACAGGCAACACTGCGACCGAACACTAAACGCAAGATCATTGACGCGTTAAAAGAGGATTACTCTGAGAGGTTAGAATTGGCTGTAAAGGGAAGGAATGAGGTTGAAGAAGACATCCTCAAACACAAAAAGAAAACCAGAGAGTTAACAGAAATAATGTCAAAGAAGAGGGAGGTCATGCGAAAGATGGAGAGAGAGCTCCAAGAATTGCAGAAAGAAATATGGCATGAGAACCAGGCTGTTCAAGCTTTGGAAAATAGTTTGGAGCAGTTCACCAAAGAAGAGGATGAAATGCAGAAAAACCTGGCTGTTCTACAAGGTGTTGATCCCGAACCAGCAGCCAAACAAAGCAAAAGCTCTGATCAAGAGAGTACCCTCTGAAAAGGTGCATTTTTATATAGATGTTAGAAACTGGGTTGTTTTATCATAATTATTTTTAAGGACTGTTTGTATGGAGATTCCTTGTGCCTAAACCAATGGAGCTGAAACAAGTTGTAGTCTGAATATTGAACAAATGTTTGGTGTCCCAGTGATGAACAGTTATGACAGCTAGATACTTGGAGGAGCATTGTATTCCCATCTTTGATAATAATATAAAAACTTATGCTTAAGGAATAGAACTTAAAGATGGCTTATGCCTTATGAGTTAGTTCCCTGATCTGGGGTTCATAACAGCCAGAGTATAACTTAAAGGTTGGAACACACTAGGTGACATGTTGCCGAGACAGATTTTCACAAAAGTTCTCCAGTACCCCATAGCAATTTGTTGCTGCAACTTGTCACTTTGTGTGTTCCGCCCTTAAGTCAGCACTGCCCACTTTCTCTCAGTTTCCTATAGGTAGATTTGACTTTAAACTCCAAACCCCCAAAAGCTTTAAACACATAGTAATGTGCATCCCAACCCACCAATCATGGAGCACCATCCGTGATTCTTAGTAACCTGCTACTTTCCAACTTTCTGATTGGCTGATGGTGACTGAATTTTCTCGGCCAATCATAAAGTGCTTTTTATTACATTATTTTGCAAATGTGTACCAGGCAGAATCATCTTAGTTATAAGTTAGATCCAGATTGATGCCTCCTTGCATTCCCTTAATTAATACGTTGAGGCAGAATTTGATAAAAGATCAAAGCATTTTCCTTAGGTGATCATTTTGTTGATTCTGATAACCTTTTCTCTTTTTCTGTGTATGAATATTCTGAGGACAAAATTGATGCTGGCCTCTCTTGCGATGTATATGTAAATAGTTGATGAAAGAGGGCCCACTTTCAATTCATAGTAAAAGAAAATTCACTTCCAACTTGATGAACAAGCCCACAGTCAAAAATCAGTTTAATTTTCAAAACACTTATTCATGGGCCTAGTAACATTTTCAACCTCCCTCAATGCTCAAGTGCACATATCTCCAGAGTTTATGGGAGGCTTTATGTAACAGGCATAGTTTACACTTACTTCAAAATTTGTGACCTGCTCCAAAACTGGATTCCTTGAATTTTCAAAAGCTTTCTTTAATTGTAAAGAGCTTATAACAAAGGTTTTGAGAAAATACTGTAAATTTTTATGTTTAATGTATTATGATGTCCATTTCTCATTTTATATAACGAAGAGGCTGCATTGTTTTGTTTTTAAACCAAGCAAAACACTTTTAGTTAAAACTATATACCATACTCAAAATTAATAATGATAATGTAAAGGTATGTCACATACCTTTTATTAGCCACGAGTGAGGTCATTACAGGGAAATCTCAGACTGAGGCCTTGTGAGGTCAATACACCAAGGCCAAGGTCTGAGATTTTGCTGCAATGACGAAACAGATGAGGTTATCAAGTTATTTATTTTATGGCGGCCTTTTAGGTGCTATTCTTAAAAAAAGAATACAGTAGAACCCTGTTAATACGGTCACCAACAGGCCCAAAACTTTGACCGTATTAACAACGGTTTTTTACAAGAAGATGTATAGCTGTTTTGCTAGGCAGCCAAAAAAAGTGGCCGTAACAATGAGGTGACTGTATTACCGAAGTTGCTGTAAGTCGGGGTTTCACTGTACAGTAAAAAAATCTTGCTGTTGCTGTGGCCCTGTTCATCGCTTGTGCTAAAGAAGGGTCGGTATGCCAGTATTTTTTTTTGTTTCCTCCCTGGGCTCGTAGCTTTTACTCACAACTCAAAAAGCCGAGCCCAGAAAAATTTTCATAATACCCGGCCTTTACAAGAAAACCTTGCCTGCTCAGCAGCCAGTCAGAGTGTGCATACTATTGTAGCCATATAATAAATAAATAAATTATTGATCAAGGTTAATTATAGAGTTTAATGAAAATATATTACATCTATTAATAGTCATGTCCGTGTTATTAGAGACCCTCTTTTACATACTGCTATGAATGGGTGTTTGAGACATCTTAACTATGCTCTTACCTGGAAATTTGTTCTGTGCGGCAATTTATCTTTCCTAACTATCTAGCTTATTACAGTGTAATTTTTTTACTGCAGGACCTGCTTTTATGAAACTGAGATAGTTGAACCCAGGGTTAAGATAAATTTTCACAAAGCTCTCTTGTGCAGTAAAATCTAACTTGACCTTTATTAATAGTGTTGAGTCTTGACTCCAAGATCCAACTATGATAACAAAGTGATTTTTCCAACCAATCTGCCGGAACATAAAATAATTAATGTAGTCATTACTAGAAATTGACTCCAATCCTGGGTTAGTGCTAATTGGCTGTTCTGGAACTGGGTCTCAGTAATGTTGTTGATTAGCTTTTAGTGGCAACTCAATGATTTTTTTTAACTACTTTACCTTATAAGTGAGTCTAATTCATTTTTTATTTTTATGACTGAAGCACAGTCCTCGAAACATAAATGAACTTGTTGCGTAAAAAAAGAAATGTCTGTCTTAATATTAATTTTGTTCATCAATAAATGTGAAGTTTGAAAGACTGAGACATTTATAGCAACAAAAAACCTTGTGAGCATTAAAGGCCTTACCACTGTATTGAAGTTTTTTTGTTTGTTATTGCCCTCCATGACCTTAGTATAAAATATATATTTTTACGTTACCTCTACTTTTAGTACGCATAAGGTACACATAGTGCTCTGCTGGAGAGCTCCTCAAAAAATAGGAATCCTGATCCTGTGCGCCAGCTCAATGATAAAACAACGAGGGGAACGTAGTTTTGCATCTAGGGTTGAATTGGAATAATCAGGGATTATGGATATAGCCTGTGTAGCTGGTGGTATTGTGTATGTGCACAATTAAAGTTTTGACGGCGGAGCTGTGATCCAAAAAAGGAGTGGGGATGAAGTATTTGAAATCTCACTTTACTAGTACACAATACCGCCGGCTACACAGGCTAGGATTATGGGGAAAAAATCGACCCTACAACAGAGTGAAAATTATGAAGTAAAATATACCCCTCTTCCAGAGATAAAGTAAAAGAGTGGTTTTTATACCCTGTTCCAGAATCAGAGAGGAAAAAAGCATACCATGTTGAGTGGAAAATACCCATGTTGCTCATAATTATATTCAAAAAAATTATATGGGAATACCCCCCTCCTGTTGTCACTTCTATAATAAATATTGTGATAAAATATTTCAGAATTGATATCTAACAGTATAACACTTAAAAATCAAAGTAAAGTGTCATTCATCTGTTAGTATGAACCAAGGTTTGTTTGATGTGCTTGTTTAGAGCAAACACAAACTTTATTTAATACAAATTCAAAGGAACTTAAAATATTGTTTCTTAAGTTATCCATATAAAATGAAATTCTAAACAGCTCTGATACATTGCAAAAAGTCTGTCAATAATAATACTTAATTACTCAAAAGATCATCTTTGAAATAACGAGTTATTTACCTATTCACTGGTTATACTGTTATGGTAACAAAAGCAACCATAACAACAACGCATTGTGTTGAAATAACCTCCATTCAAGGCCAAGCAAAGGCTACTCATTGATGTTGTTTGTCGGTGGTCATTAAACCTGCTTGCTTCAGCTTGACAAAATCATTTATGATGGCCAGCAAGTTTTCATCAAAGTGATGGCTGTCAATTCCTGAACCATAGCAGTACATGCGAGATCGGCCTAATCGGGTAGGTCTTACCTCACTGGAGGTGGCTTGAACTAATGAACAAAGCATTTTCCTACAACCAGGGCACCCTCTTATCTTTGCATCATCGATTTTGAATTTCCTTAGAAAGTTACCAGTAATATCATCAAAATGACGCGTGCACCAATCTACTTGATCATAGTGCTTCCCTGGTTCACTAAAAGCTGACAGCAAACACTCGACTAATCCCAGGAACTGAGGGTACAGGGAATCAAGGAAGACTTCTAGCCGTATGATTCTTTCTGACAAGACATACTGAAGAGTATCTTTTTCAAGATCTCGAAAATCTACAGCTTCCAGCATTGTCTTCAGTTTCATATTTTTGAGGAGGTTATCACAACATCCCTGGCGGATATTGTCTAGGTGATGACGGTCTGCCAACAGCAATAACTTCATCACATTTTCTTTTGTTTTTTGCACATCAGTAAGGAACTTGACACATGGTTTGAAGATAAGCTTAACTTGGTACTCATCACTTAACTTGAGAAGGTACTCCACATTGTGCACTGAAAAAGACAAACCAACTTTAACAACTTCCCTACCAAGGACGTATATGTACGTCCTGTGTGAGGTCACTCCAAGACCCAGGACTTATAATATGCTTCCTCAGACAAATGAAATATTATCACTAAAAGTTCAGTTGTTTGAGTTGCCTTGAAAAAACGAACTCTGGTCTTTGAGAAAGGTAGCCAGTTGCTGGGTGTATTTTGCTCTGGTAGGCAAGGGGTTAAATGGGTGACAGCTAATTAGTAAATAATACATGTACTGTGAAATGCAATAAGCCTACCAAAAGGCCCCTTAAATAAACGAGAGAACCCATTTCAAAATATGGGAACTGGGTAGGACAAGCCTGGGTGCCTTGATAAAACAATCAATAAAACTATTAACAATAAAATTCAAGGCCTAAAAATATTTACTAGAAAAATGCTGACTTTTCAGTGTCAATTCCATTAAAGCAACCAAAAAAACTAAGTAAAATAAAATTACAAGCCAAAAATTATTTACTTACAAAGCCGACTTTTTAATGTCCTTTTTTTAATAAACAAGTCCTTAACTCCCAAGTTAATAGTTATGAGGACTTCCACCTCAGCCAAACCTTACACTAGAGTTGTTACAAAAGTCAAAATTAAAGTAATAATAAATTAATATTCCTGCTGAAAAGAAACTTACTAGTAATTTCTACTGGTTCTTGGATGTGCTGATAGTAAATGTGCTGCAGAAAGTCCAGAATTTCATTTGCCTTTTTCCCAGGCAAAGGAATTTCACTGGATGTTGCTTCTTTAAATTGACCAGTAAACATGGCTTTGAATACTGGGGAGTTCATAGAAAGTATTAAGCGATGGACATGAAACTTCTCCTGCTCCACCACCAGTACCAGATCGCTGTCTTCCCATGGGTCACAAAATCTATGTTTTCCATTCTGTCCCTCTGAACAAAAATTAATGCCGAAAAAAATACTTCAGTACCATGTAAAACCATTCAACTACTTTGCACATTATAGCGGAGCTCTTGCGTGCGAAGTGCACACAGTGGAGCACCATGGGTAAGAAAAATAATGTGGTAAACTACCCATCCGAGAAAATTTGGTAATCACCTGACCGTACACTGACTGACTGACCTCCCGAGAGTCTGTCCGCTCCAAAGGCATACCAATGTAAAATAATTCAATCAAAAGGTATGGCAACCGAAATGCAACTCAAGGTTTTATTTGGATAGCAATTGCATGGCCGCCCGGACTTTAAGAAAGAAAAAACAACAACAAAGTTGTGTCTTTTTCAATGTCATTTTTGACGTTTCCATTCATGTGGATAACAAAGAAAGAGCTAGAATGAGTGATTGAAAACAAAAGAGACAAATTTTCTAAGAAGAAAAACATGAAAATTCAAAGCGGCTGTGAGACAATGAGAAAAGCAGCCAGCAAGGAGCAAGGTGAAAATGAGGGGCAGTGAAAAGTAAAAGCGAACATGAACACAGGAGACAAAATATTGGGTCAGCAGATACGATAATTCCTCCATAAAAATAACCTGTAACTAGGAAGTTTGACAATTTAGTCCTACAAAACAGCGTTGTAGATTTGCAAAACTATGGCAAAGAAAGACAAAAAGCGTGCTACGTGCAAATTTGTATTTTTGCTAATTAGAAAAAAAAGTGTGCTGCACATGCAATTTGTTTTTTTGCTAATTAGATCTATTGATCTTGATGCCATTTTCATTGCCGTCCCCATTTAGCATTACATGATTTAATTTCTTTTGTTTATAAGCATTATTAACCAGAGCTTCGCTTTTAGCCCTGGCTAAATCTAAAAATTGAATTTTATATGGCTCACTTCATATAAACAGGTCCTGAATTTATCAAGGCCAAGGAAATATGTGTTTTATTTGCATGTATGTATGGGATGAGAGAGAGCACCTTTCAACATTTTGGGTCAAATTCTCCACTGTTTGGCGATAACCCGGCCGGGGGTGGAGTGGGGGGGGAATAGGCAATTTTCGAACTGACTGTTCCATGGACAGGTACATAAATGATCAGTCGATATTACAATCTCATGATACACTATCCACACACTTGTAATCAGAGAGAACACCTGTGGAGTCTAGAATGGGGGATTACTCTCTTTCGGAACCGTTGGAGAGGCGTGTTGCGTGACATCCTTTTCCTTTGGCGAGTCAGCGTTGCGTGACATCCACGGAGATTAAGCGGTGGCAAATGAGCGCTTGGAAGCCAATACATTTTGTATTTAACTTTGTTTTCGTACCATCTGGCCTATGACATATCTTTAAAAAAACGCGGATCGTATGGGTATGCCAACTCTAATTGGCGATTTCAAATGAACCCGATCAACGAGAATAGGGCACAATCGTCGCTGAATTGTGGAAAGTTCTTTTGTATCCCTTACATTTCCTAAATAAATGCGTCTAACGTTTTTTAGCCTGCTTCACAGCCACTCAGTGGTTATGCTTTATAGGACGCCTCCAACTCAGGTTAACATTGAGTTTCCTTTGATTATTAAAAGCACATTCCAGAATACAAGATTATACAAGGAGAATAGCACAATGCGGGTGAGGACTTACCAGCTTGTTCGCGGCTCGTCTCTTGGTCAATTTTAACAGTTGATCTTTCAGTAGTTTTCACAGGAATATTATTACAAGCCATGCCAAAAAATACGGTCAAAACTACCACGACTATGTAAGCTTAAATATGCGGCCGGGTACAAGAATGGAGTCGACTAAGGAACGTTCCCGCCGCTTCAAGCGCAGGCGTGATCGATCAAAGGTTAATACGACAAAACCGCAGCCTGATAGTGATTGGAGAAAAGCTGGGGTGTTTTGACATCCCAGAGGAAAATCTATAGTTTGATTGTTTTTAGAGAAAAGTTGCCATGGGCAAAAATGCGTGGTTTCTCGTTGACTGCGTACTCCTTTTAGTCTTTCAGCCAACCTTCAATTATTCTGCTCCTTTTCTCCCATTGTGGTCTCTCCCGCGCTTCTCCTCCCGGAAATGACTGCTTCGGAGGCTTCGGCGGCACGTGAAAACAAAGAAAACGTTTTCCCGCCAACGAACCCCCAAGACCCCACTCTCCCCTGGGGTACTTCTGGGAATTCTTAGAAGGGGTGTGCAGCCCAGTTTTCCTAAACCCGTTTTCAGACCTGGCCCGTAAAATTCATACCCGTTTTCAGACCTGGCATGTAAGTAATTATGTCATCATTACTTTTACTGATTCGGTGTTTAGACAATGGCAAAATTTGCAATAAATTCACACTGTAGTTATAAGAAAAATTTAGCCGTTAAGTCACTTTGTGTTATTATTAAAGAAAAATTTAGCCATTAATTAACGGCTAAATTTTACTCTTTACTAACCAAAAATTTAGCCATTAATTAACGGTGTTGACAGCAAGAAAAAAGATTTCTTAAATTCGCGTATTTATCTTTCTTTCTTACACATTTGAAATTGAAACAATAAAGACGCTGATACACTCCCTTTATTCCCTCGAAAACCATACCCGATTCCAGACCAAAATGGGCACAGTCTATACCCGTTTTTAGACCAAAACGGCGCAAAAACAGGAGCCTTGGCTCTTGGCTAAAACCATACCCTTTGGGGCGGCACATACGTATATGACTTCAGTATAAGGGAGTACCCCCCGGGTCTCTCCGAGTCTGTGCCAACTTGTACATACATTTTGTGGCAGTTACAAACAATATAAGAATAGATGTTTTGTCTCTTCGAGGGAGATACGCGTCCCTTCCCGTTCTTTCCTGCACCCATGTCTTGCAAGCGCCTGCTACGCAGGCTATATCAAAGCATTCTCGATCCACTTTTCTGATTTCATTTTACATGGACAGAGACAAAAAATTTCATTACTGTTGAAATTTTCAGTAAACTTTTTTTTGAGAACGAACACTTCATGACCACATACATGATGAATGCTCGTCTGTTTGCTCTCCATCAGCCGTAAAGACCGCAGGCTCTAGCTTGGGGCGCCTTTGGGCGCCTCAGGTCGGTTCTTACTTCATGTAAGCGCCATGTATATGAGTCGATCTGTCAATCCTTTCCATCGACAAAACGGTTCAACAATATCACTGCTGCAGGTTCATACTATGACATCAGAATTGCCTTCAAACCTTAACCTTTTGATGAGTGTTATGAACGACGAATCAAAATGTCACACTCCGTTTTGTGCTAAAGATTGTACCGTTGACCATCATAACTTAATCAAGGCCTTGTGTATCGAGAAAAACAGGAAAGAAAATTCTCGTTTTTCTTCAAAGTCTCATGTTCTTCTCAGGCAGTGTATTCAGTTGTGCGAACAGAACGGCTGGGATCGTAACAGCGCAATTCCTGATGATCTTCCCGAGCTGAGGCAGCCTTTGCTGTACTTAACTTGTGCATTTGGAAAGCACCGAGTTCTAGAAACTCTACTCAAACTTGAGTTTGATGTCTCTGTCGTGACAAAAGATGGCAAAAATTGTTTACACGCGCTTGTCGACCACTTCTACCGTGTTGGTAACTTAAAGCAATGCGGTGGTTTTATGGCCATTGACAAGAGACTAGATGTCTTTGAAACTATTGTAAGTACATTATGTGTTCGAGAGCCAAACATTTTCTCGATGAAAGAAAATATAAACGGTAGAACTCCTTTGCATACTGCAGCGGAAAGCGTTGTGTGTACAACCAAGCAGTCACGTGTGGATGGAGCGCGCTGCGATCGCTTTAAACGAGCGAAATATTTTCAGCGTTGTCTAGAAATTATGCTCGAACGTATTCTTGATCTTAAACGCAATTCTTTGCTCCCTCATGATAAACTTATGGAAGCCATCGCAGCTCAGAACGATGAAGGAAACACCATCTTACACATCTTAGCAAAGAGCTCATCCCTTCCTGGCTGGGAATCCATCCAGTACATATTGACAAATTTTGGCGATACCGAATTTCCCTTCATCAAGAACAAGCACTCGCGAACGGCGTTTGAGATACTCTCGAGTACAAACACAACTGTTGCGAGAAAGTTGTTCTATCCAAACGACTTTGGCATTATGGAAGAGAAAAGAGGTAAGTTTGAGTTTGCTTTGTTATGAATGTCTTGTCAAAGAACTTTCAAGCGGCAACTTTACCCTCAACAGTACCCTGCAAACAAAGTATCCTTCGATCTTCCTAGATAAGATAGGAAGAGGAAGGAGCCTCTGCCGACCAGTCTCGTTCCCAGAGGCCGCAATCCTTTTATACGGTGACGGGGATCACCCCATCCGCTGGACAAAAGTAATGGAGGCTCTGGGGCGAGATTGTCTGCCGACTGCCTCAACAATTAATATTGAGCATGCCCCAAATTCAAATGTAACCAAATCTCTTAGCCTTGCTTTCAAACTAACGACCGCACGACTTCTTGAAGTTGCGATTCAAAACAAATGCAAATAAGCTTTTAAAATCTTGGAAACTTGAATTCTAGTCAGAGTCTCATGATCGTATTTTAAATTAATGTTATTAATTGTTATTAAGTTTTGGGGGGTATTTATTATATACATAAAAAAATTTATAATCTAGTTAGCTGACACTGGTGAAGCCAAGAGAGTGCTCTAAAATGAAGAAGCGGTAATATCAGCAGTTATATAGACAACTCAATATGAGCTCATATTGGGTAGTCTATCTGCTGATACATAAAAAATTATGTACAAGAAGACTGATGGAACTGGCTTAAATCTTGTGCATTTATTGCTATTGAGAGTTTCAGGCAGCTGCCAAAAGTAATGGTTACATTTAAAGATATAGGGAAAACAGAAAAGTAAATAAATTAATACTAGGCATGGTGAATCATACTGCTAATTAAGTGATTGTTATAAAGGTCATGTTAAATTTGCAACAAAATCTAATAATCAAAAAAATCTAATAATCAAATTAGGGCCATGTTCATTAGAAATTTCTTTGAGTGTCTGCAACCGGAGGTTAGTTTAAATTTGACATGACCTTTGACATGATGCTCTATGCATAAGTTTCAAGAGGAATACTTGCATGTGCACTGCAATCAATCATAACAGGGATTAGAGGAGCAATGACTTAAGTACTAACACAGCTACAAAAACAATTAACTAGAATACTACCACAGTTAACCACACTTTATCTTCTTGGCAACATTTCGTCATTTGGATCATGTTTACCCCAAAGCTACTATGTAGTATCCTAACAATATTGGCAAAGAAAATGGAAAACTGTTAGTCAATTCACCCCGACAGTCTCCCTCAAACAATTTTGTCTTTGCCATTTCGCTTTGTCTCTTGATGTTGAAAAGTGAGTCCAGAAGACAATGTTTCAAGTTACCAAACGTTATACTGAACAGGAAAACCTAATAACTTGCGTAAATTGGATGCATGTAATTTTTTTCTTCTTTGCAATGACTGGATGCCTGCAAGTGTGCACGCACAGTCAGTGGTAGTCAACACAGCACATGAGTAACCGATGTTCTTATAGAATTCAGATTTTACAAGCACAAAAACACGTGTGGAATTTGTGAAGTCTCAAAGTATTTTACAAGAAAACAAGTCTGGTGACCCCCTATTTTTATTGCTTTGAAATTTTTTTAGAGTAATTGAAAGGAACCATTAGAGAAAAAATGAAAAAACTCTAGGGAAGGAAATTTCTACTGAATAAAAATGCTATATTTTCTGCTTTTGCAAAAAATCTGCTCTGGAGAATTTTTTTTAAATATCACTGTGCAGTTTCCTTTTCTAATGCGAAAAGTTGTTGTCCAAATTAAGGTTGGGGTCACCAGCTCAGCTTTCTAGTTATCAGTTCTGTAAGCTAAAATGTGGGGCCAAACAATCCTTAAGATATGTTGCCAGGGTAACTGCTATAGACAAAAATAATGGTTGTTTTAAGTCAGGCATTCATTGTATAATCTAAATCTACAAAAGTGCTGTTGTGGCTTTGACTTGCTTTTTATTTTAAAGTAAAAACTGTCAAAAAGTGGGGGTAACTGGCATGAGCCACCTTAAAAAATTAGTTCCTGCAAAACAGTATAGTTCAAGAACCCTGTTTAAATCAAATCCCCATTCACAAGTCATGCTTAATTCCAAAAACCCTTTCACATGCACATAAAAATAAATTGTTTTACGATGCATGGACAATGAACCCTTGGGCTAGCACTATTTGAAGGTACTGGTTTATACATTAACAGTTGTTTTCAAACAATTTTATTAAGCCCTTACTAACTGAGTGCAAGCTGCGCCAATTGCTTGGTCATATTGACCAAACGTTATGGCAGTATAGGACGTTACTGCATTCAGCTTATTCCGTATGTAGAGGGTCTGTCCAAAATCCAGTTGAGCCAAGGGGCAATTTTTCTCCCAGCAATAAACTACCCCTCCAAAACACATATTAAGCTATGGTACTATTTTGTGTTTGCCCTAGACTCTGTTGTCACTTCACCACTTAACTCTGACCCACATCAAAACTCTGAGGTATCTGTATCTGGGGAGAGTTCAAGCACACCTTGCTCAGAGTCAAGAAACGGCTGTAATCAAAGGGTAGCAGTCAAAGATGTATGGAGTAAAGCAGGGCAAGTCAAAGGAACCCTTACCAAGGGAATGCAGCATGGCTCAACACTTACATGTAAATCACTTGAATCTGTTGTTCTTTCTCTTCATAACACAGCTAAGGGTACCAAAGAAATGTCCTCGCCAAATGCAGATGAATGTGATAGTCACTTACACGATGCTGTAAGAATACAGTTATCACCAGAATGTTCTGCCATTAATTGCATACATCCCACAATTTTGCAAAATGGTGACCAGTCCCATACTGATAGTGATGAAGGTGTAGTGTTACCAGTCTTATCAAGTGAAGGTCCTTACCCTGTTTTCCTGCCTAATTTTCAAACATGTGGGTCAGAAACAAATGGAACCATATCTCCACTACAAGAAGACATTAAGCAGGAAGTAGCCTTAAACCTATCCCCAAGTGATGTTCCTTCATCATCTCCAAACAATGTGGAGGTTGAGGTTCATGGTAGTGCGTCACCATCAGCCTTAGACTCTTGGACACAGAGGCATGAGATTGACGAAACTACAGTTACAGCTGCTGCGTCAAATGCACTATCCTATGCAGAGTGTACAACTGAAAGTGCCTCTGAAAATGAATGTGGCACTTCTAACGCTAGCGATCCAGAAAAAGCGGAGGCAGAAGGAGGGATTATAAAGGCATCATCCAAAGGGGACAGTGCTTTTTTTGATTTTCTATTGACACAGGAAAGGGAATTTAACCCAGCAATGAAGTTTCAAATTGTGGAGCTTATTAAAAGTGAGTATGGAAAGAAAATGGCAGTCTTCAATTCGGAATTATCTCAAACAGAGATAGAAAAAAGACGCTTAGAAGCAGAAATTCAAAGTTCCCGGATGAAATTGCAACAGAAAGAGGAGGAGAAATTGAGGCTGTTCACTGATATTGACAATCTCCAAAAGAGCATTGCTGTCGCAGTGGAAAGACAAAAAATGCTGGCTGAGCAAGCCAAGAAATTAAAAGAAGAATCTAAAGCTGTTAAGCGGAAAATTTCCTCATGTGAGGAGGTTGAAAGAGGACTTTGTTGTAGTCCAGCTATTAAAATGAACAAGTTGGCAGAAAGGTAAAAAAAAGTATAATACATTTTATTGCCATGTAGGGTGTTTGATTAGAAGAAGTTTATTGAGGGCAATCTTGCTTTTTCATTTGATAATTCTGTAACCCAGGGGTGGGTACTCCCATAATTCTAATAAATGTGTGCCACCCAGGTTCTTAAACTCTGACCCTTTTTTAAGGACAAAACAAACGAAAACTGATACCCTATTTAAGGCTCAAACCGGGAAAATGAGACCTAATTCAAGATATAAAAATTCTTGGGATTTAATGGCAACACACAAATCTTCCTTAAATCGGTTTCCTAATATTCTAAGGTAAAAGTCAGTACAAACAGATGATTTGTTTCTTGTGTTGGCATTTACACTCCTGATTTTTAGCTGATATAATAACGGCACAGTCTCTCTCCTCGCAGAGGCCTCAACGTGGGGAGGCTGGGAGAAAGAAAAGGTGAGCGGAGGAGAGTAACGGTACTCTTTCTAATGTTTACACTGGGATCAAAGCACCAACAAGGGCAAAAATGATACCCTATTTAGGGATGGAGACCCTCAAACACCATACCTTATCAGGTAACACATACCTATCCAGCCCACATATGGGAGTACCCATCACACCCTGGGTATGTAACCAACATGTACATGTATTATTAACATTGGAAGTGTCCAAAAATTTTAAAGCATTTTGTGAGGTAAATGGCAGATTTGTGTGTTGATGAGGGTCGTGAAGGGGGGTACCAAATCCCAGTTCCCAGCCTAAATTTGGCCCAAATCCCAGTTCCCAGGCTGATTTTTGCCAGAATCCCAGTTACCAGTTTGCAGTTCAAATCCAACAAAACTTTAGAGTTTTCGGTGTGTATAACGGCGTTATTTGCGTTGACGTACTTGATTTCTAGTACCATTTTGCGAGAAACCTTTTCCGAAGCCATTTTTATCTTCCCTTCACAATATCTTCCCGCCATATGCAAACTTGCAGAACTTGTCCGCTGACCAGGAAAACTGACAGAACGTAACTATGCAACCGTGTAAGCCTGGTAGCTAGACCGCGGGCACGAAGGCAAAAAATACTGATTTCATGGTCTCTACTAAGGAGTGCAAGGTCTATTGCTACGAAATTTTATTTTTCTATTTCAAAATAATAGAGCAAAGACCACTGAAGAAAAGAAATCCCATTCCCATTTTATAATTGTTCATCCCATTCCCAGTGGCTAAATCCCAGTCCCAGTGAGTAAATCCCATTTTCCCAATCCAAAATAAGGCTAATCCCAGTTCCCATTTTACCCCTTCACGACCCTCGTTGATCACTGATGTTTCATGTAAGGAGCCAGGAATTTATTAATCTATTGAGAAAAGGAACACTTAAAAAAGAAAATCGAAATAGAACACTTAAGAAATGCAAAAAGTACTGGCATTCACTAGTGCTTGTCCTTGACCAAGGGAATGAATTCCTTATTGAGGATGCCGCCTTCGCCAAACCTAGTAACTTACAAAAAATAAAAGGCTCCTCTTCCAAGTTCTTTGCTACTGCTTCAAAAACATTCATGCTGATTGCAGTATATCAGTAATTTATTGTTCACTTAATGGGATGGTATATGGCAGAAATTTTGAGATCATCATAGATATATTTTCCATAATGCTTTGTATCTTGACTTGATGACAAAACTTTTTTTTTAATTTAACTTGAATGAAAAATATTTTTTCTCTGTCAAGGATTTTGATCCTTTTATGGATTAGCTATAAATATAACAAACATATAAATTTTATGTAATTTATTATGGTTATCAAATTTTGATATATTTAGCTTTATTTATGCATGTAAAGAATGTATTATATGTGCTGAAAATCAAAAAGCTCAGTCCCACTTTTCATGGTAATCGTGGTAAGCTGTGGTAAACTATAGCCATCCCTTAAATACAGCCGCCTCTCATCACTCCTTAACACTAGGGACATTGGTCTCCAAAATTCCATACTGGTTGTTTTTGGGCCAAACAAGTGACGCGGTCTCTCTTGGAGGTGGCTGTTTTTCTAGGCAGGGTGTCAAGCGAATACAAAGTAAAGTAATATAATATTACTTAACCGTGTAAAGACTGCCCAAGAGTGGGATCCAGGGAGGGGTGGGTGGATGGAGGGCTTAGTGTGGTTCAATAGTGACAGGAAAACACAAATATGGGAAAAGGTTTTATAATACCGTAAAATTCCGAAAAGAAGCCCCTCCAAATAGAAGCCCCCCAAGCTGGTAACGCAAAAAACCCTCCGTTAAATCGCCCCTCCACAAGCGAAGCGTCGCTTTAAATACTTATCGTGTATAAATAAAGATTATTGATTGATTGATTGATTGATTGATTGATTGCCCTCAAATACAAAGTAAAATAAAGCAAAAACGGTTAATTTATTTCCAACTATAAGGCTAGCCCAATCGATTTTGAAACTCAAATTTCCGTCCGTAGATAAGCCCCTCGAATATAAGCCCCTCCAAAAATAAGCCCCTCAAAAAGGGCCTTTGAAAAATATAAGCCCCGGGGCTTATTTTCGGAATTTTACGGTATATTAGTAATACAATCAGATACAAGAAAAGTCCATACTTTGGCTCTTTAATGTTCTCCTAATTGTTTTAGCTTTAAACGCAAATTTCTCTGTCGCTAAATGCCCCTAGTGGTAGGGAACGGTGAAAGCCGTATTTGCAGGATAAGCACATAACTACCAAATGACTCCTCCCATCTGATTAGGGTGCCCACACACCCCCAATCTTCCACCTGGATATGACATTGAGTGTTTGCAAACAAACATTTTTTTTCCAGCAATGCTATTTTTAACCAACCTAAAATATATTTTTTCATTACTGACTTAATGTGTTTTTTGATAGTCTTTATTGTGATCCAAGCAGTTGTATCCCAGAGATGTAAGATGATATGTAAACTGTTTGTATGGTACATAATATATGTATACGAACATGTAACTAAACAGGCTCATGCCACAAAGAACAGTAATAAAACTCCATTTGATCACTCTGTACTGATATTATATTTTACTGTATTTCCCTTCTCTGTTCTTTGTCTGCATGTCAAATTATCATTTCTTTCGCACATTTGTAATGTTTTACATACGAGGATCCCTACCGAGGCAAACGTGGTTACACTCAAGTTAAATGTTTCCCGTGATAATCGCCACTACTAGTTTGATTAGCAAATCGAATCACAAACCGCATCTGCCCAAAATTGCTTTAATATAACAAAATGCGTCCACAGGTTTGAGATTTCTTCGTTTATAAAACTTTTCGTAGAACTCTGAGTAATCAGCACTAAAAGTGAAAAGGCGAAGAATACGAGGTGTTCCGCTCCCGTGGTTGAATGATACAATCAGTGAGGTGATGAAGGATCGTGATTTTCACCATCGTAAAGCCGTGAAAACCAATTCTGCTTTTCACTGGGCTCGCTATAGAAAGTTAAGAAATAGGGTCAATCGTGAAGTCAAGGCAGCAAAATCCAAGTATTATTGTGACTTGATTTTAGAGGCTAAAGGGGATTCAGGAAAGATCTGGAAGGCGGTGAATGAGGTGTCTTCGCGCAAGACTAAATCCTCGAGCCCACAATGTATCGTAGTTGATGGTGTTGAACACACCACCCCAGCCTCTATTGCATCCGTGCTCAACTGTTATTTCTCATCCATTGGCAGAAGTCTTGCAAATAAAATATCAGCTGCTGCTATGTTCCCAGTCAGATCGGCCACGATGCTACAGTCTTTCTCGCTTGACGAAGTTGATGAGAAAACAGTACTCAAGCATCTGCTTTCTCTAAAGACAAATAAAGCTATTGGCTTGGACAACATCAGTGCGAGACTTTTAAAGTGTGGCGCGCGTGCTATTTGTCCCTCGATCACCAAGTTACTGAATCTCTCTATTCGCACTGGCAATTTTCCTGAAATATGGAAATGCTCGAAAGTGGCTGCACTTTTCAAAACTGGAGATAGGAGAGATGCGTCAAATTATCGCCCAATTTCTATTCTGCCAACAATGAGTAAAATTCTGGAAAAAGTCGTCCATTCCCAATTCTATGACTTTCTGAATTCAAATAATCTCCTTTCAAGCAAACAATTTGGCTTCCGTCCCAAACTGTCTACAACATCGGCTCTCACCAGTTTTGCAGATGAGGTCCTATTGCATATGGAGAGTGGAGAACTGTGCGGTGCAGTGTTCCTAGATCTGACCAAGGCATTCGATACCGTTGACCATACGATCTTGCTATCTAAATTGTCGGCTATCGGTGTCTCGCCCAGCACTCTACAGTGGTTCAAGTCTTACTTGAATCATCGTAAACAGCGGACTGCCTGTAGCAATGCTGTGTCTGACCCTCTCCCGATGACCTTTGGGGTGCCACAGGGAAGCATTCTAGGACCGCTTCTCTTCTTGGTTTATATTAATGACCTTCCGCTGGTTATAAAGAATTGCGAAGTGACTTTGTATGCTGATGACACGGTCCTGTACTACTTTGCTAAAGAGCCACACCTGTTAGAAGAGGCACTGAATGATGATCTCTTGAAAGTTGCCCAGTGGTTACATGGAAATAAGTTAACTTTAAATCTTACTAAGACGAAATCCATGATTATAGGCAGTAATAGGAAACTTGTTGGTATTTCCTCTTTCACGTTATCTATTTTTGACACTGATATAAATTCTGTAAGTAGTTTTAAATATTTGGGAGTTATGTTGTCTTCAACTTTCACATGGTCCGACCATATTGAGTATATTTCATGTAAGGTTAATAAAAACCTTGGTCTTCTACGTAGGATTAAGTATTATTTACCTTATGATGCCCGGTTACTTTTTTATAATAGCTTAGTGCTACCTATTTTTGATTATGCTGATTTAGTCTGGGGTGACAAGGACAATGTCTCACTTATGAAGGAATTGCAAATTCTCCAAAACAAAGCAGCTAAGTTGATATTAGATAGATCACCTCACTCCTCATCCACCGATGCATTGATTGTCTTGAGATGGCTGAATCTTGAAGAACGTAGGAAATGTCATCGATGTATATATGCATACAAGTGTATTAATGGCCAACTTAATCATTCTTTGGACATTGTAAAAAAAAGAGTGATATACATTCCTACAATACGCGCAATAATGATACTATCAAGCTCCCCAAAATTAAATATAATTGGGGAAAACAACGTTCGCGGTACCACTGTTTCAAAGACTTTAATGAATTAGAGAGAACTGTAAGAAACTCAGCAAGTTTTCCAATTTTTAAGAAGTGTCTTTTTTCTGCTTTTTATAATTGAGTACTTGTAGTGTGTATGTTTTAATTATTTCTGTAACTCAATTTTACATTGATTTTTTTTTTTTTTTTTTTTTTTTTTTTTTTTTAACCTTTTTATATTTTAATTGTATTATATAATATACATCTCGTAATTAGGACCTCTATGTAAACCACTCTTGTGATGGAGCATCCTATTAAAAGATTGTTATTATTATTAAAAATGATGAACTCGATACCATTCACCTCCCCAGCTCTACGATGGACAGAGATGGGACGATCGGCTCTAAGTTTAATATGGAGAGTCAAGCAAAAATGACTGACCAGTGACAGTGACACCTTTAGGTGCCTGTTTATAAAAGTGTCGTTCAAGAGAGATATGTGACCTGAAACGTTTCTGCCTATTTTCTTTTTCTCTCCTTATCACTGAGACTTGTAGCAAAACGCGGCGCAAATTTTGAATTTTCCTGCATTAAGGCACAGGGAGGGTGAAAGAACAAAATTCGGTATAATCTGATGGTAGCGTAGCGTAACGTTATCATACCTAATGAAAATGGGCCCTACGTGAGGATTGATGTAATAATATATACGAGAAACCGCAACTGCAGGAAGAGCGGTTTCTGATGAATTTAACAAAGAGTTCCACAGCCGGGAAGACCTCCACATACTGAGGGAATGACTAGGTAAGAAAATTACCTTTAATGGTTTTTAATGACAGCGTTGTATTAACACAAGTTAGAAGTAACATTTTAAGTATTTTTGCAGTTAGGAAATATTGTTCTTTCATATACAAAACAACACAAAGAACGAGTCCTGAGAGATCGAGTAACAAATTATTTACGCGTACTTTTTCTAGTTCTTTCACATTTGTTTAAGGGAAGTGTATTTGAACTTGGGTAAATTAATCCGTTTAGCAAGAATTTATTTGCAAACTCAAGATATAAAAATACATACAATTTGTCAGACCTTAAGTGAGGTAAGAAAATGCTCAATCAAATCGACTCTTCTTCGAGTTACCCAACAGTTGTTTCATAGTTTGTTCACAGCGGGTCACTTTGCGCTTCAAGGCTTTTCGCCGCTTGCTTAATTCCTGCTTCTCACTGGTGAACCCTTCAAGTGCATTCTTGTTTTTGACAATTTCACTTTTCACATACTCTAATTCCTTCTGCAGTTGTGCGACTTTCTCTGTTTGTTGATCAATGGTCGTTTCTGTTTGCCTTATTTGCGCTGCGAGCTTGGGAATCGTACTCTCTATGTCGTTAAGCTTGTTACTGTATTGCGTCATGACCACGTTCACAACGTCCTTTTTGCTAGAGGAGTCAAGCTCAAGGCCCTCGGTTATAAGGAACTCTAGGAAGGAGTTGTCTGTGATGCACTTTAAAATGGTGCTTCTATCATCTGAGCCCCCCTGACTAACGTCCAGTGACTCGAGAGAGTCGGAGTGGATGGACTCTGTACTTGCAGATGCGAGTGATGTTAATGACTTAGACTCCTGTGCTTGAGTTTTATCGTAAGAAACATTGGAGTGGTTTTGTGGGGCCGGGCTTGGTGTATCTATCATATAATATGCCGCGTACTGCTGGGTGTATTCTCCTGTTTGTGTACTTTGGTTCAGTGGTGGATAAAACAAGTCACTCGGTATTGTTCCACAGACAGCCATCTCCTGCGTCGGATAATCACCAGAGTTGCCCCTTTGGGTTTGGTTTGCTTGAGGTACTTCAAGCGAAGTCTCCTGATTGGATGGCTCCTGTCCGTCCTTTCGAGACGTCGGTTCGTCAAGGTCAACAGCATCACCAATGGGTACATGAGCACCGCGTGTCTCTACTACGTTATCCTCGGACGCTTCATTTTCAAAGCTGTTTTCTTGTACATCGCCACTTATCTTAAGAGAGGCGTCCGCGATATTTTCAGCGACAGTCTGGCCTTCTTTGTCAGTTTTGCGCGACTTTGACTCTTCAGAGTTGATAGCCATTCGCTCCTCGCTGGGAGGTTCGCCACTCATGGAACCTTGTTGACTGTTACTAGGAGACCCTGAGTCACAATCAAAAGAGGAGGTGGTACTAAATGGAGCTGTTGGATCTGACTGATCTTTCGCAGTGTGTTTATCGGCAGTATCGAGCTTTTCAATATGTTTGCGTGTAGCATCGTCCTGTTGTCCCTTTTCCGCCGAGTTGTTATACTTAGAAGCTGCAGTTGTTTCCGTCACATACATCACCTCTGCGTTCACCGGTGTGCTGATAAGGCGGTCAAACGGTGAAACACTGACGACATTAGACTTGTGAGAAAGGTTAAGAAACGAAGGAACTTCAATTTGAGAGGTCTTTCCCAGTGTGCAATCAATCGAAACAGTCAGCAGGTCGTGTGTTCCGGGGTTTGCTAACGGAACCGTGTCTTGTTCCTGCTCAGCAAAGCCATCCGTAGTCTCTTCAGAGTTGGCAATCACCTCACTCGAACTGTTCTCTTCTGCTTCTATTGAGTGGGGAACCTGTGGCATGTCCGTATCAGAGATGACAATCAAAGGTATTTCCTGGTGGGCTGTGGTGCCAGTGAGTGTAGATATCTCTTTAGATTCCCCTGACGTGCTAGGCGAGGGTGAGTCACTCTCGGATGTTTCAGAGTCGTCGGAACTGACTAAAATTGAACTGTCGCCTACAAACAAAACAGAACAGAGTTGAGAATCACGTGAAACTAATGACGAGGTCATGCTCAAGCCAGCTATTTCAAACTGACAAAAAAGGCGGAGAGCTCCCTCTAAATCCGCCCATGTACAGTAAATCCTCCTCCTTGATATGGGCAGGCACATCGGAATAGATTCCCTGCTAGGAGAGGCCTCTGCTAGCAGGGAACGAACAGACTGAAGGACCTACTAGAGTGTGTCCTAGCTTATATAAAAGCTGCGAAAGGAAACTTCCAACTGTACGGTATCAGCTCTGTAATGCGGTGACTGGAGTGATTGAGTTTGTCCGTTTGCGAAGGCGACGGCGACGACGACGGCGACGTCTACGAAAATGTCACTTAAAAGTGTGTTGGCGCTGCTTCAAACTTTATCGCGTGTATTCTATCTCGTTCATTTCGACAAATGTTGGCGAATTTTTCGGGAGTTAAACTCTAAACTGTATCAGAGTTCAGGAAAAGAAAAAGAGGGTCGCGTTGTCTTGTGTTTCCCGTCCTCCACAGAACGAAAAATTAGGTAGTTTCACGTCGTATTTGTTCACCGAGGGCAATGAAATGTACAAAAAAGCGTGATGCACGTGCAAAGTTGTTGTTTTGCCAATATAAACCTATTGCTTTTTTGTCGTTCTCGTTGCCGTTGCCGTTGCCGTTGCTGTTGCTGTTGCCGTTGCCGTGGTCTTTGCTTAAGTAATGATCCAGGTAAGAAGGGAAGCAATTTCTTTTGTTGTGGCGCAATACGCTTTCCTCACACAGAAATGTTTTCATTTTTATGCAGAGAATGCATAAATCTACAAAAAGGCTGTTTACGAAAGAAAATGTATTTAAACTCCACTTTTAAAGGGTGTATTTTTGTGTTAAAACATTTCGACCAATCACAAGAGTTGCAAACAATGGCCAAGAAATGTTCACAATTTTTCATGATCCGCACATACGATTTCTGTGTTACTTAGACTCAGACGAGATTTTGTTATAAGGAAGTTGGATCGAAAAAAAGGGATTAATATACATGCTGCGTTGCGAAGATTTCGTAAAATTTGATGTTTAACCCAATCAGAACCTTAGTAGAGACAATAGTAAAGTTAGCACCTTTTTGCATTCCGACGTGTTCACTGCGTTTTGGTCCTTTCCTTCTTATCTGGACCATTACTTAAGCAACCTGATATGTAGGGGATAAACCTTGAACCCATTCATAGGCGATATCAGACCGATACCATGAACTACTGATTCTTGTCTGCAGCTGAAAGCTAGTGAACAGTAGATCTTTGCTATACCGGATGGGTCTGTTCAAAAAGTCTCTAAGTGTAGCTCAGTAAATGAAACAGTGCGAAAGTTGCAAGTGCTTTCCTATAAAAAACTGGTAACTTTGAAATTGAAAATATCAATGTTAAAATAAGTAAAACGCGTGTTAAGCTTGTTCTCTCAATTATGTTTTGCCGGATAGTTATTAGTCCTGGTTAATTACAAGTTCTAAGTTTGCCATAAAAATCCGAAAGCAGTGAAGCTTATAATATGTGAGCTACCAGGCACTGAATGCGTTAGTGTTTTTATAAGATGCACTTCTTGGTGGGGAATTTAAAAATCCTGACCAAGTTTCGCCTTGTTACCGAAAGGAACCGAAAGATGGCGTAAACCACATGATACTAGGTTATTTCTTGAGTCAGTAACTGCGTTTTCACTGTTAGTTTAAAGGGTCATTTTAGCTCATCCAATATCGGATTGTACGGTTAAAAAGAATTTACAGGGATTTGCTTCGTAAACGTTCGAAGTTATATTCACAGTCCCTTAACCCACCCAGCTCTGAACAGCCCGGCTCAGGTTTTTAACACCACTTACTTTGTTTCAAGAAGCCAGGAAAGACCTGTATCGCTCTTTTGTGATTGCGCCGAAGAGCGATCTTGGCCACAGTCTCTTTTTCCTTGTTGACTTTAGAGGGCACTTGGCCATCAAAAAATTTGTCCAGAACTTGCTTCATACTTTTGAATCCGAACGCGTAATCCCGCGCCAATATATGGAAAATGGTATCTCCTTCACCGTTTTCGGCATTCAAGGCTTCTAATATCTCCTCTCGCGTCAACTTTCCGCCCTCTTCTAAAGCCAAGGCCCGATTAATCATACTTTTCAAGCAAAACTGGTAAAAGTTAGCAGTTTTCCCTTGGGGGTCGTTTGACCGATCGTTCCAAATGTTGTCAGCGACAGCGTGAAAAGCTGTGTTCCCGTTGTTGTCTTGAACGAACATAAGTTTGGGGTCTTTTTCAGTTAGACTGATCAAGATCTGCTCAAAAGCCTTCATCCTATTTTTAATCGGCCCTAAAGTGGAAGCCACTTTAAAGCCCCGGTTTTTCAGCGCGCCCGTACGGTAAATGTAATGGGTAGCCCCGTGAAGTGCGGTTTCCCCGTTGAAGTTTACTGCGCGCGCGTCGAAGTTCTCTTGAAGCAGGGCCCGAACGAGTGCCGCCTTACCAAACGAGGACGCCAGATAGATCAGCGGGCACCTGAGGTCCTCTAGCGGATCAGGAACTTCACCATTGTGATCCCAGTTCTGGTAGGAGCCGATGCATTCTTTCAGTAGGTCAGGTAGTTCATCAGACTTTTGCGAACTGTCCAAGCAGAGGACTGTAACCAAATCATGGTGTTCGATCTTACAGTTGTTGCCGCAAAGGGGGGTGTGGTACTTTTGTGAAACCATGTTACGTTCCGGAATGCCCGAAATCGAACGTGGGTCGTGCTCGCGCAAGCTACAACAGATAGGTCGCAATATTATTAATTAATGAATCTTTAGCTTTCATGACGTAAAATTTTGAAAAGTAATTAATCATTACACGATATTCATTACCATAAACCACTTTTAAATTACCCATAACACACCTTGTCCCCCCATCCCCCTCCAAAAAAAGCAAAGTTCGATGGCTTTCGCCATCTTTTCATAGCGATAGTTTAAGAAGCTAAAAAATATGGGTGTTTTTAACCACGTCTTAGGGGGGGATTCATTAATGTGGCGCCACTAAAAAGTTATTTTTTTTCGTTAAAAAAAAGCCCGACGGAGTTCTCACTCTTCACTGTACACTGTAGCCTCCCACGCAGGCGTTTTTAGGGGAGCTCGTTTTGTGGGAAGGGATGAAAAACGAGCTCTCCCAAAAACGCGTGCGTGGGAGGCTATGTGCACTGGAGAGAAAGAAAAAACGGTTACAAAAGCTTTTCTTCATACATTCCGCCTCGTCGCGGCTCCATCGCTTTCTTGAAATAGAAAGCTTTCAAGTCAAAGTAACACCATGTAGCGTTTCAATTGGCCAGTGACTCCTCAATCATCAGTGCTGACGGACCCCAAATAATCGCGGTTTAGCGTAGCATGGAGACTGTTTCTAGGTTGTAAACTGGTAAATGCTTCGCCTGACCTATAAACCCTCCTCCGCAGAGATTCCCGCTGGGTATTCCAAGAAAGATAGCAATAATAAAAAGTATTAGGAAAGGCACGGTTTACCCTTCCCATCCTCCCCCGCCCGCTTTCATTTTTCCCTCCCCATACTACACAGAAGGGCCTTTGCGGCGGACAGATGGCTATGAATAATAAAGGGCATGAAGGCTAATGATAACGCAAGAGGAGATTAGTTATTGAGACGCCATGACAGTGTTGATACAAAATGAAAGGAACTTTTATTTACAAAGACAGTACCAAAAGAAATTAATACATGGTTTTAAATAATCCTTTAATGTTTCAAGAACTATAACATCCAGATTAAATGATATCTTTACACTTAATTAATCTTAATAATATTAATTTTTGTAGTAATATTTAACACACAAAATATTACTTTTATTTAGTCCGTATAAATCAATAAAATTTTCTTCTCCAAAAACAAAACAAACGACACAAAATAGAGGAATTAACCTTCTTTTTTTACCCCCCAAAATAAGAAATATTTCTCACAATGTTTTTGTTAATTTTTCAGAACTCTTAAGACTGACTTCTAGACAGTTTTAAAAAGACTTTCACTAGTCTTTGATTTATAAAATATAATTTCCATAGAAGCCGTAAAAAATATACTCTTTGACGCTACTACTATACACATAAACATTGGCTCAAACTCATGCAAAAAGAACATTAATTGAAGCTACCCTCCCTTAAGTCAATTTTGCCCTCAGTGAAAAAGGTGTTTATGTTGACTTAGGGGGAGGGGTATGGTGGTCAGTTTCCCAGAGTCTTCAAATGATCCCAAAGAACTCGCAATTCCACAGTCCGAAAGCCCTTTGCAGAGGACCCTAAAGTAGCATGTGCTGTGTTTCAAGCAACTTGTGTAGCTTAAGTGCCACCCACTTACAAATAAATAGTTTAAATTTTAAGTCACACGCCAACTCAAAATGTGTACTGTATTTGTTCGAAAGAGTGCCAATACTCTTTATATTTTTTCTACTTGTCAATGCACCACTTAAAGAGGGATGACACTAATTTTTTTTAAAAAAAAAAACTTCCCATCAGCTACTAACATTAGCATGGAATTGTTCTTGTTTTATGTTTTTTTTATTTGTTCAAAAATAACATTACCATAGAAAGAACAACATTGCTGAAACAGTGAGGCACTAGCCCAAGGGGGAGGGGGTGGAAGGCTGTTATTTTACATTTTTTATCCTATAAAAACACAGCAGACATTTAGGGGTGGGGGTGCTTACTTGACGGTGGCACTTTTTAGTATATCACATATACATCACTGTTGTATGTTTTCTCTCAATGCAAGCTTTCTCTCATAACATCTGCACAGTGTTCTCCTAAATATTAAAGGCTACGCAGGGTACCTGGCTTTATTCACTGGAAAATCATTCCCACCTGGCTTAAAAATCAAAGATTTGACCTAATGGATCAAACCTTACATTGACATTTCTCGCGATTAGTTCATTTTTTAAAATGATTTAATGTTGGACGAAACCTGTGATGCACTCATTTCACTGAATGGCAGCCATGCATCTTGAAATTGTCCTAGAAACACAAGGGCCCTTTGAGGGGCTTACAAGGATTAATAAACAAACTTCCCACACTGTCAATGGGCATAACAAAAACAAGGAGAGAAATGAGAAATGATCATATTGGTTACTGCCTTGCTGTGGCTGGTTATTATTCAGTCTACAGCAGGCTTCATACAAACATATCCTATTATTCAGTCTACAGCAGGCTTCATACAAACACTGTTGAAAATCACAGCCAGAATACCTCCTGGCCTTCTTAAAATCCTAGGGTAGAACACTACTGCAGTAAAGACGCTTTAAGGGCCAGGGGCAGTAGCAAAACAAACTGGACAAGCAATTAAACAGTACATCTTCAGATTCAAACTTTCTACTCCCAGATTTAACCCTTCAAGTCATCAATGAATTGGTTCTTTTATTCCTGAGGAGTCACAACGTCAAGTCTAGTCACTCTGACCTGACCTTTTTTAAACTACTACCTGACTCCAGTTGTTGCTCAACCTCCTGACAATACACAACTTTCCTTTTAATCAACAACTTCTCATCGCGTAACGACTCACACTGCAGCCTCAGATCATTAATGCACCTTTGCTTTTCCAACATTTCTTTTTTCAGCAAGTCAAGTTCCTCTTCCAAGGCTTGCTCTCTCTCTTCCTTCTGCCTCAGGGCCATTTCTTCTTCTGATATTAGCTGCCCCAACATTGGAAGTCTACTCTCTATTTCACTCAATTTATTTGAGTACTCTGTCATAACCACACCCACAATGTTCTTCTTTGTTTGGGCATGCAGTCCCAGCCCTTCAGTCTTGACAAACTCCAAAAATGAGCTGTCTGCATCAGTGAGTTTAGTCAAACATTCACTTGAACTGGTAAGGGTGGCTTCCACGCATGATTTCTTGATTTCACCTTCCTTTGGCTCCTCACTGGAATACGACTTCTTGACTCTTGCCACACACTCTTCAGAGGACACTGAGCACACCTCATTGCTTATTGTGTCTTCTTGGGGGCTGCTTAAGTTACACTCATTGTCTCCACTTGAGAGTGAGAATACCTGGTCAATATATGGTATACCTTCATCAGCAACTGAGAGATGACAAAGGGATTGTTCACCACCTTCGGATGAAAATTCAAGAGAAGCCAACCTATGGGCTGGACTGTTAGTGGCCACAAGATTTTCATCAGCACTAATACGTTCCTCAGGGTCAATCTCAGTTAATATCCCTAATGAAAAAGGAAAAGGGGAAAGTTCAGCTCTTATATGATTCTTACTCCTTCATTCTTTTTGCGATTACAGTGGAACCCCATCAATACAGTCATCAACGCGCCAAACAACTTTTGCCGTATTAACGTGGGTTTTTTCACAAGATGTATGGTAGTTTTGCCAGGTGACACTGTATTACCGAGGTAGCTGTAAGGTGGGGTTTCACTGTATTGTTATTAAGCTACAAGCAGTCACTTTTGTGCATGTTTGAACATTCTTTAATATACCAAAAGTACTTGTTTGCTGTTTCCTTAGTCTAAGAAAACTCCACTTGGTCAGATGAGGTCCCTTGAACCCAGACAACCATGGACATTCACGTTCTCTAGTGAAACCTAAACATATAAATCAGACACCCCCCCCCCACCCTTTCCCCCTCCCCTTCAACAAAAAAATCTGTACCAGGTCGACATGCTAGATGTTCCCTTAATACAGGCTTTTTTTGGTAAAAACATTGATCTGTCCAATAAGGCTAATTTAAGTGGGATGCACCCATGTCAAAATAGCTTAATTTCATTTTGCAACCTGACAAGGCATGGGATGTGAAGTGCTGTCCAATAGCTTGGGCCAGTGGAGCAACCTGTTGGGCCAGATGTTTTAATATTACAAGTGGCTGCTACTACCAAAAGAATGGCAATGAAAGAAAGTCTACCTGTATAAACCTCATAATTTTTAAGAATTCTCACACATGCTGAGGGGGATTTCAACACACAAGAAAGGTAAAGGTAAAGGCTTCCAACAAAAGCCCCCAAACATTAATCTCCCAGTAAAATCCCATGACAAATTTTCCAGCCTCAAGAATTAACTCAGCAAACAGGAATCTACCTGAGATGGATAATACACGTAATAGATAAAAAAACATGGAACACTTTCCCATGAACTCTTTGATCACCCCATCACTTCAAATCTGGAGTATGCTGATGTGAGAAAATATAACGTAAACAAACTGGGTATTCCATAGTTTCTTTCTCTACTGTTCTTTAAGTCGTCATGCATTGCTCCTTCTTCCCCTTCCCCTCCTTCTGGGTAGCTTTGCATGTCGCACAAAGAACAGTTGTGAAAGGGGCCAGAGATTCCATAGCTACTTCAATACAGATTTTAATGTTAGGCTTGATTCTTTAGTTTAATTTCAAAATAAAAAAATGCAAAACCTGTTTGTACTCCAAGGACAGTTGCATTTCATATAGAGACAAACTGCAGAATAACTTATCCCCGTCACTTCATTTTAAAAATAAATGAAGTGACAGGGATAAAGTTTCATAGTGTTATCAAGCTCATGTCTCCTCCCACACATGTAAATGAAGGGGCCTGAAGGTGATGAAGTGACAGGTAATCTACCTTATTATAGGAAATTAATGCTCCATGAAATTAAGGTATTAGAAATTAATGTGACTTAAATTAACGCGAATTTGAATGGAAAACAACTTTTGAATAAAGAAAATTAACGCGGAAGAGGAGGTAGAATTCCATAAAAAGGAAATTAGCGCGATTATCTTGGCCCAAATCAAAGGAGAAGATATTGATATCATTTCTGACAGCGACAACGATGAAGATGAACTCGAAATATTGTAAACCTTCGCCTTTGCTTTTGTGAAAGATGAAAAATAAACGGTAAATGGAAACAAAGAGAGCTTGTAGTTAACGTCTTTTAGGTGTCAAGAATGTCTGGACAGGTTCCAAAATTAGGGTTAAAATACTGGAACCGGAAATTAAGAGCGCGGAAATAAACGCTGCACTTAATTTTAATTAAGTGCACCCTTAAAAGGTCGCGGAAATTAACGCTCAACAAAATTAACGCGAATTTTAACGATTCGCGTTAATTTCATGGAGCGTTAATTTCCTATAATAAGGTATATTTACTCAAACTCATTCAAACTAAAAAAAAAAACAAAAAATTTAAGGGCTAATTATCTCACCTTCCTGATCTTCACGATTATGCATCAAAAGAGTACTTAACATTTTCGTCGCTTCTCTTGGATTTGTCTCCCACGCGAGAGTCAGGATAGTTTTGCCTTGTTTGTTCCTGTCTTCGGGTAACTTTCCACGGAAGAGCAATTCCCCTCCAAACTTCAAGGCCTCAAAGTATGCACTGTTCCGTGCCAACATATGCATAAACGTGTCTCCTTTGAGATCGGGGGCTTTGACAATGTCCATCACTTCCTTTCTTGTCAATACGGAGCTGTCTTGGAGCGCAACCAAGCGTTCCATCATTAGTTTTGTAGAAAACCGATAAAAATCAACTTTCCACTTGGAAAATGAGCAGGCGGCCACGTGCAACGCTGTTCGCCCATTTTTGCATCTGACAGCTAAAATTTTGGGGTCGTACTCAGTTAATAAATCCACTACTTTTTGAAATGCCTCTTTCCTCCCTTTTCGTCCTTGAAGCGGATTCACTTTGTTCAAATGAAAGTGCTTTACTGCAAAATGCAAGGCCGTTTCGCCATCTTGATTTAACACGCGTGGACTGAAGTCATTTCGCAAAAGCCCTTCCACGACAGCAACCTTACCGAAGGCGCTCGCAAGAAATAGAAGAGGGCACCTCAGAAGCTCCAAGGGATCTGGTATGAAACAATTGTAGTCCCATCCAGACAATTTTGCCGACTCTATGGCCTGTTTTAAAGCCAACGGTAAATCACCCGGGCGCTCAATTCGTGAGATCGCGCAACGTCCGTCCGTGAACAGCGCTGCAACCAGGTCGTGGTGCAAGAGATTGCAGTTGCCTCTGCAAAGCGGAGTATGATGCTTCAAAGATACTGCGGAAGCCATTTTCCAATTAGAAGTTCGTAAATTCAAAACAGACATACATACAAACAGGCCCACAGCCGATGCAAGCGCCAAACCGTAAACGCCTCTTTTACGCACTATTACGCACTATGTGTGTGTCCCGCGAACTGACTCATCCCCAGACCACCCACACGTCACGAGCCACTCCCAAATGGCAAACAATTATTTTAGACGGTTATCAGTTATTAACCCAGTAGCCCAGAGGGCGTTACGTGATCCACAAAGCATGTTTGTCCATCGCGGGGTCCATCGATCTTGGCCGAGTCTGTTGAAGATTGATTTCTTTCTGTTTAGTACAAGGCTTGGTGACTTAGCATTTTTGAAGTTACAGTTGTTCTCAGTTTGGCTAAGAAGACGTGTTTTTGTCTGTATCTATATCATTAAATTTGTGAATGATCGATTGTTATGCTTTTCCCAGTTATGGGCTCCTGGTCCTAATTTCTGTGCCTCCGCCAATCCAACAAGCACATATAGAAAAACGTGGGTTCCAAAAACGTTGTGCTGCCCCTGTTCAAGCAAATCGAAATTTTCGCTGGCATACTGACTGACCTGACTGCATACCGTAAAATTCCGAAAAAAAGCCCCTCCATTTACGAGGCCCGTTTCAAAGGTCGTGCTACTGCCGTGCCGAGCTAAATAGATCGAATTAAATTCGACTTGAGCACGGCAGTAGCGCGACGTTTGAAACCAAGTGCTGCTACTGCCGTGTAGCACGGCAAGCGTTGCCGCGCTACACGGCAATAGCTCGACCTGGTTTCAAACGTCGCGCTTTGCCGTGCCGAACTCAATTCATAAATTTTAAATACATTAGAATACATTTAAAAGTTTGCTAAAGCGTCTCTTTATTTCTGTGTTTTGTGTTCGACAACAGCCGTTCTATTCGATTGAATTAAATTCGACGTCTGAAACCAAGTCATGCTAGTGTCGTGTTGCAGTCGAGCTACAGTCGAGCCAGCTTAGCACGGCAGTAGCACGACGTTTGAAACCGGCCTAAGCCCCTCCAAATGTAAGTCTCCCAAACTCGTATTGCAAAAATCGCCCCTCCGAATATAAGCCCCCGGGGGCTCGTACTTGGAAAATGCCCTCAAATACAGAGTAAGACAAAAGAAAAACGGTAAATTTCCTTCCATAACTATAAGCTAGCCCAATCAATTTTGAAACGCAAATTCCCCTACGTACATAAGCCCCTCCAAATATAAGCTCCCCCCCCAAAAAAAGCCCCTCAAAGAGGGTCTTTGAAAAATATAAGCCTCGGGGCTTATTTTCGGAATTTTACGGCATTTCAGCTGTACATGTAAGTACTTACACTGATATACGCGCGAGCTACTACAGTGCTTCCTCGGGACGGCGAAATCCCTGCGGGGGCGATAAAGTGTATGTAGGGTTTTAACTTTATAAAGGTCAATTTTTGAGCTTCGAGATGAATTACTTAAACAAAAAACAATTTGAGCTCAGTACTTGACCCTGACTCAAATTACGGTAAAATAAATGTTATCGATCGTTTGAGCGAAAAAACTGTGATTGAAAACTTTTCGATGTCGCAGACGAACTAATTTCTTTTCTAACAGGTTAAAGAAGGATGACAAATTAAAGGAATGAATCTTGAAACATATAAATATCGGCATTCAAAATTCCCCTCTCTCAAAAGGTGATCCCACTGTTTACCAGCAGAATGAGTGCCAGACTGAAAAGTCCACTAAATTACCAATACAATTTTTGTAAAATTTTTTCAAAACGATTTTTTATATATTTTATTTAAAATTGTTTTTTAATTGTTTTTTTTGTCTTAAAAAAATTGTATTAAATTCTTTTTAAAATGAACGCTAGTAAGCAACGCAAAGCAACGCGAGTAACCGGTTTCGTCTGATCACACAGACTTCATCAGTGAGTATAACAAGAAAGAGCTAAGCTGACTAACTTTATACCTAATGATTAAGACAAAATCACGTTCCTGGAACATAATAATTTCTTCCAATATTGATTTAGACCATTTTGCTTTAAGGTTTTTTTCTAGGTATACTGTAATTGCTCGCGAAAGCGAGTTTATGGTTTTGTCGCGCGCGGATCTAGATGACAATCAGGGCGAATAAAGGTTGGGCGGTGAAACGAGCGCGTCCGAGCAAAAAGGTGTGATGCAGTGGACTGGGACTCTGCTTAGAAATGTCGCTTGTTTTCGACTTCGGTCAGGGCTTGCGATGTGCTTTGTCCATTAGACACTGCCGCTGTCACTGAATTATGGCGGCTTGACTCCTTTGTTCCTTTGTGCTGGTTTCTCCGAGAGGCAAATGTTGCAATTTTTGCGGGAGGTTTAATTGGAGTAGACAAACATCGTCTTTCAAAGGGTTTCTCTTATTACTTCCATGACTCTACCACTGTGCGATGTTATTCCAAAACGCTGGTCTAAATCCGAAGGAAAATCTCATCCATGTCATCCATGGCAAAACTAAAAGACAGCAAATCGTGTTTCGATCTGTTTCATAACTAGATGACGTGTGTTTTGTAAATGCGTGAGTCTAAATGCGTGCAGCTCGTGCAAGGTGAAATTATGCTAATTTCAATCACCATCATCCTTCTTTTTAATTTAAAAAAACATCTCATACCCTGTCATACGTCTTTCTTTTACGTCGAAACTTCAAAATTAGTTTCCCCTCAGTTTTTACTGTTTACCTTGTTTTGTTTGGAGAGAAAAACGGAGAAAAAACCTTACAACTAACCTCAATAAATTTTGTTTACATGCGGTTGCCGGATTTGCGACGCATTGCGTGAATCGCCATGGCGCGTTGCACCCGAGAAGCAAAGTTTGAAGCAGTACAACGCCACTATATCAAAATATATCAATCTAATTTTTTGTTATGTTATATAAAATTTATTCCCCTTTAACATATATAAAAATTGAGGTTAAGAAGTGTTAAGATTTTGCAAACGAAACGGCGAAAGACGATTACGTGATATTTAGTGGAAGGAGGAGATATTCAACACTTTCAAATGAAACTCAAATTTTGACATTATACGACCAACAAGTTTGACTTATAGGCATACAGACACAAACATATGAAACTGTTTATTGATATTGTTATGAAACGAATTTATCTGTTTAACATTGTAGCCTGAAATTACAGAAAGAAAATAGGATTTCCGGTTTGCAAAAAGGAAAATTTCGCCGGCCTTCAAGCGCACCGGAAGCGCGGAAAGAGCGCTCGTGCCAGTCCTACTCCGCATCACACATTAAATGAAGAGCGGAGCGCTCGTTTCAACGCCCAACATTTATCCGCCCTGATGACAATCATTTACACACACCGATTGTGTGGGCCGTACGCCGGATACCAATAGTGAGCCTGGTTACCTGTGGTGCAAGTGGCGGATAGATCAGAATGTTGTTGCGAAGAGGAGAAAATATATAATTAAAATCAAATGAAGTCTAAACTTGGGAAATATTTCTCCCTTTTTGCTTTTGCGGTGGTAATTTTCATCGTATTTACGGTATGGACAGCGTTTGATCATCGTAGGAGAGGTTTAAAGCTGGTAAAGTCGCACTCACAAACACTGGAAACACCACATCTTTTTGATATTCAACGGAAGCACCCGACCAGTGAGCGAAAAAGCATCCTTATTCTAGCTTACACCGACTTCTTCGAGCAGAAAAAGTGGATATGGAGTAACGATAGTGGCGTCTGTACCTTGGACCACGCGAAGGGGAAATGTATTCTTACTTACAACAAAGAGCGGTTTAGGGAGAGCGACTTGGTTCTGTTTCACGCTAGAAATATGCCAGACGAATTCTTTCTGCAATGGCTCTCACAAACCAGACCTACTTCACAGCACTGGGTTTATACTTCGTGGGAAAGTCCAAACAATTCTCCTGACCCTTCGCTGCTCGACGATTTGTTCAATTTGATATGGAGCTACAGAAGCGATGCGGATCTGTGGAGCCCGTATGGACGTTATGAGAAAATATATCCAAATGATGCAATAAACCCTAAAAGTGCTGGTGTTCACGACTACACGAAAGGAAAATCAAAACTTGTGGCATGGTTAGCTTCGAACTGCGTTTATCCACTTGTGCGAACGCCTTTTGTTCATGAGTTACGACGGTATATCGACGTTCATGTATTTGGCGATTGTTCCAGCGAATTTGGCCAAAATAGAACTTGCTCAGATTCCGTCGAGTGTCTTAAAGAATACAAATTTTACCTCTCACTTGAGAATGCACTATGCGAAGATTACATCACTGAAAAGTATTGGGGACGCTTAGGTAAGAATTGTTATTTTTTAGAGTATATACTCAAAGTAATTTGTACGCATTTCATTAATTATGTCCAAGACCCAATAAACACGTAAACCCACACATGTAAAAACCTAACCAAGAATCCAGAACCATAAATCCGTGTATGCTTGCCACAAGTCGATCTCACCAGTTTCCTTGCGAGCAGGGTGACCTTTCTGACAGGTTTATAGGCCGCGAAGAGGCCGAGAAAGCGACGAAGGACTTCTTGTGAAAGCCTAATATACCCGTTGACCCGTGAAAACCACTAACTCAAGGGCCCAGAACTAAAACCCAGCAACCTAACAACCCTCTAGCTACATGTGCAATGTTATTTCCGTTATTTCGTTTGTTGAATAAAACTATTGATGTATCTAGAAAGTGCTGGACACGGGAGTTAGAACCACAGAATAGAGAATATAATACGGAGTATTGTTTGGACAGCAAAACAGTCCATGTTTTTGCGTATTCAAGTACGCGCGAGCAGTCAAACAAAAGGTCTGGAACGAGGCTGAAACAGAGAGCAAGACTGGGGAGAGACGCCCTATGGGCGTGTGAGGCTCACGCGCTTCGCGCGGGCAAGACTCTTACGCCACGCTTTTCCGATTTCTTTACTGATTTTGTGAAAAAAACCGACTGTTTTGCAGTCTAAGGCCCAGTTCAGACGACGTGCTTCTGCCGTGCCGAACTAAATTCAGGAATTGAGTTCGACAAAAGCACGACAAAAGCACGGCAGAAGCACGGCGTCTGAATCAAACTTTTGAATTAATTTCGGCATAGTTATTAGAATTAACTATCATTAACTATGATTTCGGCAAGCAATTAAGTTCGACAAGCGCTGCCGTGCTACACGGCTCTGGCACGGCAGCGATTCAAACGTCGTGCTTCTGCCGTGCTAAACAAAATTCATAAATTATATTAATGTATTTTGGCGAGATTGCGTTCCCACGGGGAGTTGGGAGAAGAATTGTTACGAGGCATCAGTAAATCCTAAATTTGGTTCGACTCTGGCGCGACGTCTGAATCAAAGTTGTTTTCCTGCCGTGCTACAGTCGAACCAAATTACAATTAAGTTCGGCATGGCAGAAGCACGACGTATGAACTGGGCCTAAGTATTGTTGGGAAGCCGTTACCACACCTGGCAACTTTGATAGTCACTCAGTGTTGGGAGTTTGTGATGCGTCTGTGTTGGCACGAGTGGTGTGCAAACGAATGCAACAACTCCCACCAATGTTGGGACCTGCAGTGCATCATGGGAAGGGTACAACCCATAAGAATTTAGAGACCATGTGTAATCTGCTTGCGTGGGCCCAGTAATGTTGGAAGAGCTGTGCAAACGGATCCAAAATTGTTGCGCTACGTTTCGGAGATCACGGAACATAAGAAATGTTGGAAGTTGTTGGATCAAAAGTTTGACCAGTTTCAAACTTTGCGAAAAACACGCAACATCATGCAACAGGGTGTGCCAACGGACGCAACATGTAACATTCAACAATGTTGGGAGTTGTTGACCAACAATGTTGCGTCCGTTTGCACGGACGCTGTTCGCTTGCCTTAAGCCCCGCGCAAACCGAATGTACGTGGTACCTTTCATGCTTTGCCTCCATTTTATTTGTGAGCGTAAATTTTACGCACGTACGCACCTAGAAGTTACCCGACAGTGGAAATCCATCCCAAGGGATACAATTTTTATTCTTCAAACTAGATAGATAGATAGATAGATAGATAGATAGAAACTTTATTAAAGTGTGGTCTAGCCAAGGAAAATCCATCCCAAAGGGGAATATACAAACTAAAAACTATATTTTTAAAATATCTATAGTTAACTAATTAAACTCCTAGGATTCCTGATGGGATAGCCCAATCATAACATCATAGACTTCTAACTTCTGAACTCCTATTTCTTATCTATCAATTTTTGTGTTTCAGGTATTGAAAATGTTGTTCCTGTCGTGTTGGGAGGAGCAAATTATACCAAACTGGCCATCCCTGGGTCGTATATCAATGTAATGAACTTTAAAACTGTGAAAGAGCTAGCGGAATACCTTCATTATTTGGACAGAAACGCTACGGCGTACAATGAGTATTTCGCTTGGCGAAAAAAATTTAAAGTCACTGCTAATAACATAGACTTTTCCTTGTGTGATATTTGCAAATCGTACTTTTTGAAGACTCAGCTTGAAAAGAAAGTGTATAAAGATATGGCAGAATATTGGGTAGCAATGGGTAGATGTAACGAAAAAGATTATCGCATTAGAAATATGATCTCTTAGTGGAATCAAGAACGGCGGTGGCATTTATGGAGCAATTTCAGTAAAATTTGTCAAAGGCTTCTTAGACCTCGCCATCGGAACAGTACCCTGCATCGCGGTTGTTATCTAACAGGGCACCCACACAACGTCTGTGTGTAACCGATTGTTATTTTGTAGTAAATGTATTGGATTTACCGTTTGCTTCACCTATAGCGATATATCGCTAAGTATGTAAATAAATCAAAAAGTAAACGTTGAATTACCTTACCTGTGGTATATCGTCGTCCTTTTGCCTCAAAAGCGGTTTTTTGAGCGATTTTGAAGGATTTTGGCAAAAGTACTTTATTTAATATTGATTTATAGACAAACTTAGCGATATATCGCCATAGGTGAAGCAAACGGTAAATCCAGTACATTTACTATAAAATCATTAACAATCGGTTACGCACACAGATTGTGTGGGCTGCCTGTGATCTAACCCCGGTTTTAAAACGTCTGCGAAGGAGCACCTCCTTATATGGACTGGCGAACTACTGGAAGTGCGTTTAGAATTTCCTTTCAACCTGATTGGCAAAACGGCAGTGGCCGTTTTCACACTAGAGACCGACGCGGAAAATCCATCTTCAAAATCTGTCAAAATTGACGGGAAAACAGATGGATAAAGTCAGGCGGATTGTCCATCCAAAATTAACACCGCTCCATTTTCAAATTAAGCGTATTAGTCTGTCTGACGCGAATTATCCAACTTAACAGATAATCCGTTTCTAGTGTGAATACAGTCAATGGCTTATTTAACAGGCAAATTATGGATCGTCCTCCGATTCTGGTACACAGGTGGGACCCCAGAACAAAGATTTCGGCGCTGTTTCACAGGCAGACTTAACCAGACTTTAGTTTCGTCTGCAGTGCAGGCTACATAACAGAGGAACAGTCATCTAAACACCGTCACGTCCGCTGTATGGTGTATTATTGTAGCAGCTTGGCACAACTTAAAGAGGGAATTGCTCTTTGACGGTCGTCAAAGCAGTTGAGCTGCAATGAAATTACTTTATCCAAGCAACTGCATATGGTGCATGGCTGCCAAGAGAGCCGCGGACAGATCAGAATGTGTGCCGATTGAGTTTGTTCGTTAAGGAGTACTTTCCATTCGCTAAAAAATACTCTGAAACTCTAAGAATTCACATAATTAATGAAACAGAGGCAACAAGAGGATTGTTCGCTTTTTGCTTGACTTCCGTGAAAGAGGATAATGAGAAGTATAACAAAAAAGTATTTTATGTATTTATTCGACCGACTGAAGAGGGACTGCTCGCAGTCGAGCGGACCCCCAATTAAGCGGACTCCCTCTATTAAGCAGGCCCTAAGCCGGGTCCCGAAATTTCCCTTTATAACCACAGGTAGCCCAAGGTCGAAATATAAGCATGGGCGAACATCGGCATTGTTGCATATCATTCGGAATGTAAGGATTTGTATGGAAAAAAACCTATCGTTTCCGTAACCTACGAAAATCAAAGGATTTCAATAAACAACAGCTTACCTTACATAAAATGTGTGTTACGTCTCTCGTGTGTGGTTCATGGGCCGATTTATGGGTTGTACTCTCTCTATATAAAAAACCGTTTACAGTACAACCCATAAAACGGCCATAAATCGGCCCATAGACCACACAGGAGAAACCTAACACAGATTTTATGTAAGGTAAGCCGTTTTTTATTGAAATCCTTTAATTTTCTTAGGGTTACGGAAAAGATAGGTTTTTTTTCCATATAAATTCTTATATTTCGAGCGTTATACAACAATGTCGATGTTCGCCGATGCTTATTTTTCGAGCTTGGGTTACCTGTGTTATAGCGAACCCCTGTTCAGCGGACTATTAAGCGGATGCGGACACTAAAATAAGTTGTATTTGGCTAATTTCTATTGTTAAAAACCTCTATTAAGCGAACACCGGACTGAATTGACAATAGTAGTATTGGATTGCGTCCTTGAAATACGTACTGAAGTCAGTTAATGTTTTTACATTTACAGACAAATTAAAGTAGGTAATGAGAGGTAATGAACTTGAACTCTGGATGGCTTCTTTAACAGCATGCAGCTTTATCACAGTACAGAGTAACCGTTGAATGTTGATCGTTAACCTGGTTAACAAACATTGCGATATTTTTACAACGACACCCTTTACTAAGCGAACACTTGGGAAGGTCACGAAAGAAGATAAGTAATACGAAGTATATGGACAACTATATGATGGCTTGACATGAAGTACTTCCCACCTCGTTCCAGGCTTTTCTTGGGTTTGATGATGACGTTTCAACTCAATCTCAACTTCAGCCGCTGTTGTTCTTTTGCTGGCCTGAGGGTTTGAGCCCTTTATATACAACAAAATGTAGCTTCTTTGACTCGTTTCTGGTCCTTTCGAATAACTCCCACGCAGTTTAGCGGAACAGTTCGTTGGTGGGCAATCTGATTCAGATTGACTCTACGGCTATTACATCATGGCTGGAAACAGCGAGGAAATGGAATTGAAGGATTCCGCAGCTCCTGGATCGCCACAGCAAAATTACGACTCTTTAAAGGAACTCAACGCTAACAATGGTAAGCATAACAATTTTCTTCTTTCCCTCTGGTTGTAGGTTAAGCCTAAATGTGATACGGCTTCGTCGAAGGATAAAATCATTTGCTGCCAATAACTGCTTTAGTAAATGCTCACGGTGTATTTTAATATAGACAGAAACAAACCTAAACTTAAACTTGAATAAAGGCTAACCTTATTATTCGATAACAATCAATGACAATACTTACTAGTCAAATATCGGAAATCGGATATTAAAAAATGGATAATAAGATTTGTTGAGAGTAATCGGTGATTACGATTTTTCAATTAGCGTTGATAACCTTTGATCTTTATATTCGACTAAAATTAGCCACCTTAAGATTCATGTTGTTGCATGTTTTGTAATAAGATGGTAAACTAATGGTCATAGCACTGAGTGGAGTCCAATTTGGTTGGTAATCATACAAGTGATAACAAAATGGGACAACCACACAGCAGGAGTCCAATTTCTTTTATCTTGGGTATGATTGCAGACCGAATTGGACAACACAAAGTTCTGTTACCAGTTGATCAACATAGGCTTTTTTAACGTGCATGAGCTATTTTGAATGCCTCAGTTTAACTGTACCAAAGAACTACTCTTTTAATCCTAAACTTGGACTATTTTTTGCGCAAAATTGGATATTGCTGTACATTAATGAAAATGAAAAACGCTGCCCACCGCTGAGTGAATCATCATACTATAGATTCACTTTTCTTTGTCTTTCCTTCGGACATCTGGTGCAATGTTAAAGTACTTTGAATATCAACTCACCAAACGTTGCTTAGAGGGAGGACTCGAAGGTTTCAGTTATGTTTCTTTATGGTTTGTTAAGATAATGTGGCTTGTCGAATACCAAATAGCTAGGAAATGTCACAATTTTCATCATTGTTGTAGATGGTTGCATCATTATTATTCATGAGGTTGTCCAGTCTGCTACACAGCCGTTTTTAGTGTTGTCACGCAACACTCCTCCCCACAAATGGCTGCTGAGAATCAAACCATATTCCTTTCCCGCAGTTAACCAATAAGAATGCAGCCCCCATTTTCTGGAAGGTATTTGTGCCACGTTTGCGGTACGGTGACTCCTCCAATCACAGCTTTGCTTTTATTGGTGCCCCATGTGAATGACAGAACAATCGAAATCCTCGCATGAAAACAAGCAATCAGCTAGAGTGGTGTTGTCATAGTCGAGTCCTATTCAAAATTTATGAGATAAGCAGCAGCAGTAAGTGAGTTGAGCAAATGTGATGCACAATGTAAATGTGCTTATAAAGTTGCTGGGTATAGTTTTGGGAAATCACTCATCGATAATTTTAAGATTACTTTTGTTTGAATCAGTACCCTTGAGAGTTCAGTCACACGTACAGCAACACAATAAGCACATCCAGCACATGAAATTCATCATACCTATGCACGTTAAAAAGAGCCAACCAATCCTGGTAAAAGTCTTGTAGGTCTATCAAACTTTTTTTTTCTCTTGGAACTTTGTTTACCGCTTAAAACAAACTTTTCTGCAAATTAACCTTTTCGTTGCTTGCAGACACAGAGCCCATCCAAATTCAGCGACAATTGATTGATTTGTTGAAAATTGAGAAGTGTGTTTGTTTCCTAGCGCCCTGCGGCTCACGCAAAGTCAAGTTTCGTAAAGTGCACATTATAGCATATAGAATGAAAATCAAATTAACATTTCAACAGATGACGTCAGATGTCACTGAGACGTCCAGGTTTTGGATGTGTACGTCACAATTTGCTGAATGCTTTTGTGTGAGGTCTTCTGGTCTCCCTTCCCCTTCAAATTTCAAATCTCCTCTCTTACAGCCCCTAGTGAAGGCCAGATACTCAAGCTAGAAACAGGCATAAGAGGCACCTTGAACAACTCTAGCCTGTTGAGTCCATTTTATAACTTGGGCTAGCACTCTCACCTAACTAATTGCCTATAAACAGTATATGAAATGATCTAAACCTACAGTCATGTACAAATCACCTAAAATAGGCCATTTGCATCTAAAAGTCATAATATTATGTGACCTTTCCCATGCTAAAATTTTAGCACACAACATTAAATATTCTCCATCACTTGAAATTTGGAGTACCCATCCTTGGCAGATAGCTACTGGTTCAGGGTTGTTGATATTTTTACAAATAATGACAGCACTTTTATTGGAAAAAGAAGAAAAAATAGAACCAAAAAAACTGTTTGCAACTTGTTTTGTTTACCCGGCAACTTGAAATCTTAGTGACAACCCTGTGGTTGATAATTACAAATAATGACAGCACTATAAAACTGCAACAATTTTACAGACATAATGTATCATAGAGGCATGCAAAGACACTGTTACTGCTGGTAAATAGAGTGATTTAACGTTACCAACGAGACAGATTTTCACAATCAGTGCCAAATTGCTGCAAGTAAAAAAAGGAAGACAAAGGGATTAGTGCATTATGCAGGGCTTCTGATAAATCCGCGAAATCCTGCGAAATTCACAAAAACACGCAAAATACCACGACATTCGGTAGAAATTTCATCAAATACATGTCTGTACAGCAATTTTGAAACTTGTCTCAGCTACTGGGGGCATTTACTTGCCGTAAACGCGCAAATTTATGTTAAAACTTCATCACTAAAATGTGCAAGCAACGTTCCGCAACTACCAGGCATCGGTTATGTTGCGAAAAACTAGGCACTAGCCATGATGTTTAAGGCTCTGCTATTGGTTCATTTCTGGGGCGTATTGTTGTTGAAAGAGCAAATGATGACCTCTGTTAGAAAAACATTAAAATCGCCGGTCTGATCAGGGCAAAACCAATCAATTTCTAGCAAAAATAACCACAAAATCCGCCGTTTTTTTACCGGTTGCTTTCCGGCCAAGTTTGCCCCAAAAATGGCGCGGAATTCCCGCGAAATCGGGCGATTGTTGCGCTTTTTTGTCCCTAAAAGTCCCGTGAAATTTGACTTTTTTTTCCGCAACCTATCAGAAGCCCTGATTATGGCGTATAGTAGTCTACTACCTATTCAGGGTGCAAAGGAAGTCATTTTTAAAGCTTGCCATTCAGGCAAACTGAAGTTAGCATATACTAGCCCAAACATCATTTCAACTAGCCCCATGAACATTTTAATGAGTAGAATTGATTTCACAGTTCTTCTGTAATTTGAATTCCTCAAAATACTTCACTTGCCCGTTGGGCAAATTAAGAAAAGAATTCACTAGCCCGATAGCAAAATCCACTAGCCCCAGGCTATCAGACACTACTTTCTATGCATGCTGCTATTTCACAGATTAAGTAAGGTCACTCCTTGGACCTCATCCAGATACAGTCAACTCTCGCCTTGTGGACACCCCGCTATACTGGACAGCAGCTAAATCCCCTCCAAAAATATATTAGAGATGTTTGACTGAAATAAACTCCTGCTGTTACGGACTCTCGCTAAAGAGGACACTAACTCAAAGTCCGTACAGTGTCCTCTATAAAAGGAGTCAGCTGTAATTATTATTTGGATGAGGTCCATGGAGTGACCCTCCCTTCCTTCCTCTGTCTTCTTTTATGTACTTGAAGAAATTTGCCATTGGTTGTTAGGGTGAAGATTTTGCATGTCATAACTTCTTCAAAAGCCTGACTGACAATCTTGAATGTTAGATTACTTACTTTTTTTCTTTATCTCAGAAACTACTGAAAAAACATATACTTTGTCTGATGCTGTAGAGGAAATTGGGATTGGAAAGTTCCAGATTCTCCTCATTCTAATGGCTGGCTTTGTCAATGTAAGTTTTTTAAGCATCATGTCATTTTGCTATTGATTGTGTTTGTTTATTTATTATTAGTATTTACTTAATCAGCGGATAGCAATTTTTGCTCATTTTGATTGGCTCCTGTACATGTAGCTCTGAATATCCTTGGTTATTCACTGTTTTTCGACGAGATCGAATCATTATCATGACATCCCTTGTTTTCACGAAAGTTTCAGAAGACATCTTTTTAATGGCAAATGAAGTAGCTGTACTGGCAAATACCAAGAAAGCAATGTAATTGCCTAGTCAGTGATTACTGTAGGTATGCAAAAATATCTTGAAAATGCACTCAACAAATCCCCTCAAACGATATCAATTAAAATGAAAACAAAACTCTTACCAAGCAACATCTTTTATTGCAAAAAGTATGTTTTCATTTCCAGCTGATTAGGTAAGTACTACAAAAATGACAGAAAATAACTATCGCCCCGTTAGGGTCAGTGCATTCTGCTAGATAGATCCCCATACTCCAGTCTTTAGGAATCACCTCATGATTCCAGATCTTAGCAAAGAAATCGGTAAGCACCAGAGATGCAGTGGTGGTGTCTGCCTTTAGCAATTCTGCTTGAAGTGAATCAATCCCTGAAGCTTTTCCATTCTTCATTGCTTTCAGAGGATAGTTGTATAATAAAATTATTATTGTTTTAGTATTATTATTATTATTATTATTATTATTATTATTATTTCTTTTCATTATTAAAAATCTGCTTGAAAAAGTATGTCAGTGTCAAATGAAATCAGATATAGGCTTAGTGTTGAGTTTTTTCTCTTGGTTTAATATTTCCTTTAGCTTGCATTTGAGTGGAAACACAAGAGAACATCAAACATTCTTGTTACACACGTAACAGTATTTTATTTCTAGCATATGATGTTACTGTTGTACAGAAACTGTTATTCAGTTATCTACTTATTTAAATGTTTTAGATGTGTGATTCCTTGGAGCTCTTGCTGCTTTCTATCTTAGCACCAACAATTCATTGCTTGTGGCACTTATCATCTTGGGAAGAGGCTTTTATTACTACTGTAAGTGAAAGAATGACATGATGATAACTCCCAAATGTAGTTCCACTGTTTCTCTACGTCGTTAGTTCCTCAATTCCAATAACAAATCCATGAGACTTAATATAACTTGAACCAAGTTACTGAGCAGTAGCCTTTCTGTCAGGCTAGAGAAAACTGAAACAAAATTCTTCATTTAATTCAGTGAGCATTGTAATTCTGCTTTGTAAAGACCACAGGTTAAGGCATTCATTCCTTCACTGCCTGTAACTGACCTTTTGGAACCATGTCCTAGTACCACTTGTGACATCATCACTTTTCCTGGACGTAAGTCAGATGTGACACTTAACTTGTGTTAGGGAAAAGTGGTCTTTCAAACCATACCCAAATGAACAAAATTCAGACCAAAGGCCAGACAATGGAAAAATGCAAACAATTTTTCAACAAGACTCTGTTGATTGGGCAAACAACAAGGGTACTTACCATTTGACAGAAAATTTCTAAAATTCTGGATGGAAGGTAAATGGTAAGGTCACTCTTCAGAAATTCCAACCAAAAATTGAGGTGTACGTTTTGAGGTGGTCCATTCATTCCGGATGGTACGTACCAAATGAAATGTTGCTTACCATTTACTAATTTCTCAGTTCCTTCTTGGTTCCACGCTCACGCCACACCAATTTGTCCCTTTTTTGGATACAAACCGTAACAGATGTGGCAATTCTGCAGTAAACTGGTAAATCGCTTACTGTCATGCTTTTAGCACCCCAATCGCTTTTTTCTGTCAAATGGTAAGCACACCGAGTGTTTCTGTTGTCCATATTAACAGGGTTTATAGGGGCTGTGTCAAGACTTTCCAGTTCACTTTGTTAATAATACCATCTACACATCCTTGTTCGCTATGAGACTTGAGAAATGACTTGTGAATGACAAAACCACCTCTTTGTGTCAAACAAAATAATATGTCTCCTAAGCATTAAATCAACCCATTTCAAACATTACGAAAAAACAAAAATAAAATTCAAAAAAACTGTTAGGCTAAGAAGTTTTCAAAATCCATAATTGCAATATCAGTATTAATCTTCTTCAAGTTTGTCCATCCATGTCTCTGTGCTATTTATGCATGTTGTGTTTCGGGCAATTATTTCTATGTTCTACTCAGTTTGGTGGCAGTTTTCACTGTTTGAATTTTGATGATTTTGTGACACAACTCCTTTAATTTAGAGAAAATGTTAGGGCTTTCCCCAGGGAAAGAGAAAATTTTCCCAAGAATGAGGTTTCTATATTAAGCGGGTGTAGTAGTAAGCAGTTCTCTTAACTTACATGTTGTTTTTGTTGTTGTTTTAACAGGTTGTTTTTCTTGGCATGGCTGTTGGTGGCCCATTATGGGGTTATCTATCTGATAATTTTGGAAGAAAAAGTGTGAGTGAAGCTTAACATATTTATGTACAACTTCTTTTAGTTTGTGACTTGTCAAATGACAAGTAATTATTATTATATTATTGTAAATAAGAAGATTAGTATGAAAAGAAACAATATACATGTGTCATACAAATTTGGTCATGCTGTGAACTCTTTGAACCCAAGAGTCGTTAATTTGCATAAGTAGGTTGAGTATGATCTTCCGGGTAAAAGTAGTCTGAATAGGATTGTTGTCAACAGTGACTGACATTGCGACAACCTGTGCGGTAAAATAAATAAATAAATAATGATTTGGAGGTAGCACATCCGCAAAATGGTTCTTCATCTACCTGATTCCTGATCGAATTGGAATTTGGAAATGTTGGTTTTTGAAGGGAGGGGAGTACCGGAGAACCCAGAGAAAAACCTCTCAGAGCAAAGGAGAGAACCAACAGCAAACTCAACCCACATATGGTGTCGGCACCAGGATTTGAACTTGGGCCACGTTGATGGGAGGCGAGCGCTCTCACCACTGTACCATCCCTTGCTCTCCCGCAAGTGTGGTAGTTATCTTCAGAGTCAATGTGAGTGGTATCACATCAGTTTTTGGTATGAAACTCTGGTTGTTGCCCTGATAGGTCAATTAAGTTGCGATGTTATTGGTCATCTGTCAGTTAAGCCACGATGTAGCCTGTTCCAGGCTCCAAGATAGTTAGGTTCACTGAATTGAGAAAATGCGAACACACACAAAAAAAGCAGGAGAACAATGGAGAGAGGAAAAGGCGACGGAGCCTGTAATCATTTCTTTAAACGGCTTGTTCCGGTATACCAGCTCCTGGTATAACCTCTGAGTGGTTACATCAACACTGCCAAAGCAGGTCGTTCCTGTCACTCAGAAGGAGGGTGCACAGCTTCCATGCGTGTGAAGTAGAAGAATCCACAATAACTTTTGTGTTGAACAAATACCGGTATTTAAGAGATTTCCTACATATAGGAGCGCTGAGGAAGGAACAGAAGACCTAGCTGCCTTATAAACTTGGCATGTGGAAAAGATGTTTCTGCAATCCTGCCGACCGGCTTCGGTGGCAATAACAACAGAACAGTTGTAAGAAGAAGTTATTAACACGGGAGGAACTATGTGCTCCAGTCCCGACTCACATTATCTGTAGAAAAACAAGCTAGAGTTTAAAAATCATTGCTTAAAGAGCAGTCTTGACTTAGTCACAATGTAGTTCTCCATATTTAAAGTAGCTTCAGTTTAAGCTGCAATCCATTCTTTAAAATTTGGATCTGTGAATCAACATCTGTGAGAATTGAACACCCTACAAAAAACAGTAACGAGCTTGGCTCAGCTTGACAAAACATTGTAGGAAACTATCACATTCACAGACAAAAGAAAAATAGTTTTTAGTTATTCAGATCAAGGAGGGACTTTGGAGAAAATTAAACAACCTAAATAAAACCTTTATTTAGCTGCAAAGAAGAACTTTACGTTTCGAAGAAGATTCTCATTTCACCATAGGGCAAATCATGCTGACCAGAAACAATAACTGCAGAAAATGAATATGCGTGTCATGACCTCTCAGCATGAAATAAGTGTCGTTGCCGTAGTTGCTTAAGCTCTCTGTTGTTAGATTTGCTTGAGTCCGTCAATAAGTCATTTGTATAGTGCAGGTAACTGTTTACTATGATTCAGTGGTGTCTGTTCAATTTTTTAAAGTGTATGTGTCCTTTATTCTCGTAACTTGTATCGTTTGATCAGACAGTGACATAGGGAGAAGTTAGTCATTGGTAAGTTAGGTCTTAAAGAAGGGTTAGGAGATTAAACCAACAGCTACTGTCAGTGCAATACAAACACTGCAAAGATAGTAACCATTCCAGGTTTCAGTGAAAGTCATTAATTTTTCTCTTTTTTTTGATTTCACAGATGATCATTGTAAGTGCCATCTGGATTGGTTATTTTGGTTTCATTAGTTCATTTTCACCTCATTACATATGGATCATTACACTACGCTGCTTGGTTGGCGTTGGAATTGGAGGTATTCCTTCAATGTAAGTGAATATTTTTTATGTTTACATGGTCAGTCCAGATGCAACCCTATAAGATATAACAGTGAGGTGGTTGTATCAATGGGGTTTTAAGAATAATAGACTTACAAATTGTTTTGTACATTTGTGTTGAAAGAATATAGTCATAAATTATGTTAACCTGAGGTGGTTGTATAAACAGTGTTTTTTTTTAAAACAGTGTTCCTCTGTAGTTTGTTTTGGGTGGAGTTCTACACTTGGCCGTTCTAAACTGTTATGCACCATCATTTAAGCAATAGAAAATGTTTTCCATGTTTGCATAGCCTGATATAAACACAAGAGGGATTGAGAGAATTTGAGACAGTCATGCAGACCCGAGACAAAGTCTACGGTTTGCATAACTGTCAAGAATTTTCCCAACTCCTTGAGTGTTATATCAGGCTATGCAAATACAGGAAAAAAGTTTTCTACTGCTTTTATAAATTAAATGTCTTGAGAAAAAATGCAAAACTCTCTGTTATGGCACTGATTAAAAGAGAAATTCTCACTAGTCATGAAGTCTTGCATGGATAATCAGTTCTTGTTTTGCAAAAAAGAGGCTTTCGAAAATACGCATTTTTCTCACTTAAATTGTGTTCTGGAGGTCTTTAAATGTAAGGATGGGGCTTAGGGGTGGGGTGGTAGCTAAACTAAATTTCACAAGGGAAAATCTGTTGTATCTTTTTTTTCTTACTTTACCCACAGGTACACACTTCTTATAGAATTTCTACCCATCAATGTGAGATCATATATTATACTTTGTCTTGCTGTAAGTATTTTCCAGCTTTCTTTGATAATAGCTTTTGATAATGATGATGACTTGAAGCCATCAAAATGTCAAGTTTCTTTTATTTGACTCTGAAATATTATTATCCTGTGGTTGTAGTATGTTATTTGTACTTACAGCTATTGGTTAGTTGGCATGACTGTGTAATATATGACTGTAGGACACATGATAATGTGAGTGCCTGGAAAAAAGGAACTCCTAGAATTTTTTTATCAAGTCCTGGAGAGGTCCTTGAATGAAGTTAAAGAAACCCATATGAACCATGATATGGAATGAGATGCCAAATAGTTTAAAAAACATACCAAAGAAGATCTTCAGAAAAAAACTCAAAGGAGCATCATTAGATATTTTGAAAACCATAGACAACTATATAGATAATGACAAAATCACGGCTAATCTTAAAGAATATTGACGTTTATGTCTTCTCTTTCTTATATCTAGGTACCTATCATATCATAATTATTCTATTTTTTGTCCTTTTTTACTCTTTTTTTTTTAATTTAATTTTGAGCCACATTACATCTTGAAATCTCAGTACTGTTTGTGATGACTCTATCAAAGGCTCTTTTTTTGAGTTTCCCTACATCTTGGTTTTTTGAACTTTTGGTCCCAAACTCCACAAAGACTCAAATGTTTTGAAGCATAGACTCTTATTATTATCATTCACTACCCTTTTATTACTCATATTCTTTTCTTTGTTCATTTGTTACTCATATCCTTCTCTTTCTGTTTTCAGTTCTTTTGGGCTCTTGGATCAACTTTCTTGGTCTTTCTTGCACTTGTTGTGATGCCAACTCTTGGATGGAGGTGGTTAACAGCACTTTCCACCATTCCCGTCGTAATTTTTATCATTTTATGCAAGGTATGAATGGGATTGTTTTGCAGTCTCTGCCATTTATTTCCGTTTATATTTTGTTAGTGTATTGATCATTGTCATTACCAGTATATTAAATCTCATTCTTTTACTCTGAGAATGTGACTTGAGAACTGGTGGGCCTGGTTTTTTTTGGTGAGATTTTCCTAGTTAGCTGTTTACTTATAGTAAACTATAAACAAGATAGTACTTCCAACAAGTCCACTCAATTTGTTGCATGGGAGGCTGCTGGTGTAAACGCTAGACATACGACAAAACAGGGTGTTTAAAAATCAAGGGCAAATTCAAGGTCATTCAATAAAACTTTTAAAGAGTGCATGGCTATTGTTCACAGAGTTTAAAACAATACCATAAATAGACTTCATTGCACTTGTAAAAGGTTTTATTCAATTGACCCCTTGTAAAGTAATGGAGGCATTGGCTTTACTTTAAGACTGTGTCTTAATTCATTAATCTGGGCCATGGTACTGTAATTTTAATTTAAGAGAACCCACAGTGACATTTCAAAAGATTAGGGGGCGTAAACAGTGGTTGGTGTGGTATATGTTTCCTGGCACTGTTATGGGCCTGCAGAAGTTTTAATACACCCAGTTAAATGCAATAGTTGATGACAAGGAGCAATAAACTTATTAGTAGCATTCTGCAGGGTTCTTGTTAACATGTATTTGGCCAGCATTTCTATGGTGTATCGTAGGGCTTGTAGCATTTGTATGGAGTGGAGTATAGTATTAGGCTTCTTCCAGTGGTACCGTATTTACCCGTGTATAATGCGCACTTTTTTTCCCTGAAATCGACCTTCAAATTTACTATGCGTATTATACACGGATTCCATTGTTTGATTCCAATGAACTGTTCTCAATTTCGATCCATGAATAAATTAAAATGCCTATTTAAGAAACAGCTGATCGAGGATAACAACATGTGAGATTGTCACTATAGCGATCATGGCTACGAAACTTACCACTGTGAAACGTCAAAGTTACACTGTGTCCAACAAGTTAAGAGTAATCCAGTTTGCAGAGCAACATGGCAATCGTGCTGCCGAGCGTTAGTTTGGTGTTTCTGAGAGTAATGTCAGACTCTGGCGAAAAAGTGAAGAAAACTTCGAGAAGATGCCTCGACTGAAGCGTGCTAACCGTGGAAAGAAACCTGTATGGCCGGAGTTGGAGGTCGATCTGCTGGCTTGGATTACCGAGAAAAGAAATAACGGTCTTGCCATTCTGCCATCATTTGTGGACTGAAAGCCCTCGAACTAGCCAAGAACGAGAAGTACAGAATTCCTGAAGGACATTTCAAAGCTGGCAATCACTGGTGTCAGCGATTCATGAAGAGGAACGGTCTGTCACTTTGACAGAAAACAACATTAGCACAACGTCTGCCAGATGATTACGAGGAGAAGATAGTCCGATTTCATCGCTACATCATTGATCGCCGTAAAGAACACAACTTCCCACTGCATCTCATCGCTAACATGGACGAAACTCCATTGACCTTCGACATGCCACCGAATCGTACTGTAAACAACACCGGCGAGAAAACCATCAAAATACGTACCACGGGGAATGAGAAGAATCGAGTAACAGTTGTGTTGGCGTGCTGCGGCGATGGATTAAAACTGAAACCGATGTTAATCTTCAAGAGGAAAACCATCCCTAAGATCAACAACAAGCATGGAGTCGTTGTTTCAGCCCAAGAGAAAGGATGGATGGATTCAGAGCAGATGAAAGTGTGGATCGAAAAAGTATGGCGTGCACGGATCGGTGGCCTGGGGAGAAGAAAGAACTTGCTTGTTTACGACTCATTTGAAGCTCACATGACAGATACTGTGAAAGCGTCCTTCAAACGCGAGAACACTGAACTTGCTGTTATTCCTGACGGGTTAACCTCCCTTCTTCAACCGCTCGATGTATCTATAAACAAACCGTTTAAAGATGGAGTCCGAAAGCAGTGGATGCAGTGGATGCAGTGGATGGCTGACGGAATTCACGAATTTACCGCCACTGGACATCAAAAGAAGGCTTCGGAGGAACTGATCTGTTCGTGGATTTCGCAAGCATGGAATGCCATTCCATCAGAAATGATCGCTGCCTCTTTTCTGAAGTGTGGCATCACAAACAATTTGGATGGTTCACAAGATGAACTGATTTACAATTCAACCGAGAACACTCATGAACTTGATTATTCAAGCATCGAAAACCTATTTGAATCAGACTCTGAGTCAGAATTTGAAGGTTTCGCTGTTTAGGAATGCGTTGTTTAAAGACACTGAACATTTTACTTGGTATCCCAGATTAGCACTTGGGTTTTTCCTCCTGGGCCGAGTTGTTCAAAGCTGTGTTAAGATAACCCAGGGTAAGTCCGAGATGTGAATTCAGATTTGAAAGCTTAAAAAGCATTTCAGTTTGATTTCTTTACGTCTACAAGTTGATGATGGGAAGATCTAAACATAACAGAGAAAATTATCCCAGAAAATGCTTTTGAACACAAGAAATGGGGAAATGGGGAACACATTTCACTAGGGATATGTGTTTCCCAAGTGGGGGAACACATATCACGGGGATATGCACTCCTCAGGGAACACACATCAGGGATATGTGCCCCAGGTGGTGAACAACCCACTAGGATAATGGTTTCCCAGGTGGGTGTGAACACATAACACCGGTGGATGGCGCGGGCTCAGTTGTAGCCCCGCTATTAACACTAGGATATGTGTTTTCCAGGGGGAAATCACACATCACTCAGGGATATGTGTTTCCCAGTTGTGGAACACACATCACCAGTGATATGTGCTCAGGTGGGGGAACACACATCACCAGGGCCATGTGTTTCCATAGGGAAACATACCATTGTGGATATGTGTTTCCCAGGTGTGCAACCACACCAGGGATGTGTCTCCAGGTGGGGGAACACATATCACCAGAATATGTGTTTCCAGGTGGGTGGAAACACCTGTCACTAGGGATATGTGTTTCCCAGGTGGGGGAACACATATTACTAGGGATATGTATTTCCAAAGGTGGGGGGAACACGTGTCACTAGGGATATGTGTTTCAGTGAGAAGACACTTATCACTAGGGATATGTGTTTCCCAGGTGAGGGAACACATATCACTAGGGATATGTGTTCCCAGGTAAGAGAACACCTATCAGTGGGATATGTTTCCCAGGTGAAGTATATCCTAGGGATATGTATTTCCAAGGTCAGAACACGTATCATAAGGATATGTGTTGTTTCCCAGGTGAGAGAACCCACATATCACTAGGTTGTGTTTCAGGTGGGGGAACACATGTCACTATGGATATGTGTTCCTCAGGTGGGGGAACACATATTACTACGGATATGTGTTTCCCAGGTAGGGGAACACATATCACTAGGGATATGTGTTTCCCAGGTGGGGGAACACATATCACTAGGGATATGTGTTTCCCAGGTAGAGGAACACATATCACTAGGGATATGTGTTTCCCAGGTGGGGGAACACAAATCACTAGGGATATGTTATATACGAAACTGGGATACATTACATAATATTATTGTAATCAATGAAAAAAAAAGGGATTTGTCTTTGCATCGATGGGGTCCTGAGTTTTTGATGTCATTGAATGTCTTGATAATTTCCTTTGTTTTTCTTTGAGTTCATGGACCAGCCGATTCTGAAAAGACTCAGTGTTATTTTTTAGTGTGGGCCTACCGCGAACAGTGTTTGCATTTGTAAGTTTAACGCGGGATAACATAATTGAACAATATATGAACACGTTCCTCGAAACGCTGCGGCCAAATGTTATCCAAACTGCTCCTTACTGCTGCTTCAAAAAATTTCGGATCAAACGACATCCAAATCGTCCCTCGTTGGATTATCCACTCAACCTAACAAAATCAACCAATCACAAAATAAGGAAAAGAAAATGGATGTATAATAAAGAAAACAGCAAATTCATATGTTAGGAAACATGCAATTTAAACTGTTTTTCTATGATTGCTGCATTTCGATCCTCTTGTCAAAAAAATGTCAGACGCCAATCATCTTAGCTGACCTCTTAGGAAAGGAAAGTTTGCTTCAACGGGTTCAAAAGGTCATTGTTTGTGATTTGTGATTAGTGGATTTCGATCCGTTTTGTGTGTTTCTGTGTCTGAAGGTTCGTTGCTTGTGATCTTATTGTGACCAAATATTAAACCCAGCGTTAATATTCCAAATATTATTCCCTGGACTTCAGACAAATTTCGATGAGGTAAAAATACTGAAGATTCAGATTAACTTTTGAGATCGTAAAAGTGCGATAAAGTGCCGTGCTAGCAGAGCTTTCTTTCCCACATGCCTCTTACCTTGTGCAAGACGTTTACATGGCAGACATTCGCCTCGCTTCGCTTCTTTACTTGCCTTGCTTACGTTAGCACGTATTGCGTGCCTATTGCACATTTGCGTCAAAACAAACCGTTCCCATTACTCTATTTGGGCCACGCCCAAATAATAATATTGTTTTATTAAAAGTGCCCACAAAATATCGAGAATTCTTGTCAACTATATTCGTAAAAACAACTGATTTTCAGTTTGTTTTTAATTTTGAGCAGATGCATACAGTTACCATATTTGGAGAGCATGGCATAATGGCTCATACACCATGATGGCTAAGTCAATCAGAGCTCTAGAATTGCATTATCCAGTGATTCAGTTTTTAATTACAATAATTTCTTACTGGCTGAAATAAAACTGTTGTGATTACCCTGCTGACAACTGGCAAAGCAAATACAATATCAGATGGCTAATATTGTCTTCATATTAATTTTCAGTGGCTGCCAGAATCTCCGAGGTTCCTTGTTGCTATTGGAGAGAAGGAAAAGGCCATGGAGGTGTTACAGAGAATGGCAAAAATTAATAAAGCCAAGCTTCCTGAAGGCACTCTTAAAATTGAGACCCAGGTACTATTGCTTTAAATTCATTTGTGAATCTGAGAGAAATTGAGTCTTGCTGTTTGAACTGTAGAAAAGTTGTTATTTGTAAGGTACAACAAAACTCTAGAAAATGGTAGTGAAATATGTAGGTCATTGTATTCAACAGTGTTGAATATTACCTTTGCAATGGTGACGACGATGGCCACAAGAATATCAAAAAAGCAGTAGGTTTAATCAACAAAATGACAACTTGGCCTGTACATCATATTTTTGGCACGTGTCTTTGCCATCACTACATTTCTATGTTACAGGTCAAATTTGATCTTAGATTAAAACTATTTTACCTATATGTTGATTTTTCAATTTCCTTTGTCTGTTAGGACTAGAAGACAAACAAACTTATGAATCAACTTGCAATCTTGGACAAAAAGTGTTGAGAATTTTTCACTTTCTTAACCACAGAATGCCTATCCTGTGGATTTGGTACCGCTATGGCACTCCTCCCCTCACCCCACCCTGGTCAAAGTTCTTTAGTAGGGATCAGAAATGATCCAGCCAGACTTCAACATTGTTTCTTTGGGGGCAAGGGGGGGGGTAATTGTAGTTGCCAGTGCTTTCAAGTCCTTTATCTTGAAACTAGACATGGTAATGTCTCAACGGTTTTGTCTAAGATTGTACATGTAGGTTAAATCAAAATTGACCTAAAATCAAATTTAACCTGTAACATCTTCACTCTGATATTTCTGGAAGCGACATTTTATGGAGAACGTAAACACATTAATAAGGAATTTTTTTCCAAAACTTGGGTGCAATTCTCAAGAAGTAATTTTTGTATGTACGAGTCAATGCTCTTCACTAGCTGCTAAATTACAGCTTCTGAGGTTCCAGTGTGTACAGAAGAATCCTGTATAGCACAGCCCCATAACTAAGTCTTACGAATGTGCCAAATCAAAATAATGTTTATGTACTTCATTAAAATTGAATTACATGTGAGTTTGCCCTCCATAGATAAATAAATATTAATATCCCAGAAGATCTTTAAAATATTTATTGTCCTGTGTAAATCATGTTTAATTGTTATCAAAATAATATTCTCATTTTCCTCTTAGGTTAATGCAGACCAAGGGAGTTTTCTTGTCCTTTTTAACAGAGAATACAGACTAACAACTCTTCTTCTGTTGTTGACATTGTAAGTTGTTTTCACTGATGGTGGTGAAGCATGCATGAAAAGTATGTTTTTAATTCAGTATCTTGACATTTGTTCGGCATATTTTATGACCAAAAAACCTGAGAAATTATTTTCTTCTTTTTTTTAGTTTTACTAGTGGATTTGTGTACTATGGTGTTGTATTAATGACAACTCAGTTAATGCAGCAAACTCCAGAAAATGGCACATCATGCGATTCAGGTATAGCTTATCTTCCATGGCAAATTTGTAGTAGATTATTTTTTAACACTTCCTCTCCATTGGAAAGTGATATGATTATAACTATGAACCAGCTGAGGTGTGTGTTGCTTGATTTGAAAGGTATTTTTTATGGGATGCTGTAAATCACACGAACACAAATGGGTACCAGATACTGATAAGTGTTTTTTGAAACCCTTTCAATCTTAAAGTCAAAATGCATATTCCTCACACACTCATCTGCGCAATTTGTGTAATCCTTACAAGGAGAATTTGTTTCACAATCATGTCTTGCCTGGTGACAAACTGTTTTTTTCTTAACAGCCAATTTTTTTCTATTTACTATGATGACCAATGCTCATGGTTTGGAGCACAGCCATTGAAATCCACGCAACCGCAGTTATATCGATAAAACAACTGAAAAACCACAGCTTTTTACATGAAACATGCAATTTTCCCATTCCCAACCACCCTTGTTTTCAGCAAAACTTAAGGATGAGCATGATCAGTGTTCATACGAGATGCAAATATTATTATACTGCTGAAACCTTGAAAATAAAAATCAGGAACAGGATGCTCAGAAATTTAATAAAAAGTGTCCAGACAACTGCTGAAAGACACCACAAAACCCAATGCCCCAACAGCCAACGCTATTAAAAATCAGTAAAATAATTATCTGTTATGGATATTTCCTCAATAATGATGAAACTGCTATAACAACAGTGTTGGGGGACAAATTGTAGTAAATTCAAGCTGTTGCTTATTTGTTTAATTTTCTTTTATACGTTCTTCTTTGTATTAGAGAGTTTATCATTGTCTACCTCAACCTGTGGCTGTAAACTTCTCACTTATGCAGACTACATTGGCCTTCTATGGACCTCTTTTGCAGAATTTCCTGGTAAGTCACTGAATATTATTGTTGCAGGCCACTGAGTAAACATTGTTCCATAAGGAAAACTCACCCAAAAGGATGCTTTTCATTTTGATGCCAAGAATGCATGAGTATAAATTTTCAGATTGTCTTGAGTGCGTGTCAGCTTGTGTGTTGTTTTATTTTACTTCATCAATTTTCTTTTTCACGGGGTATGGGAGAATGATAACCCTTTGCATTGAAGGTTACTCTGCACGCTTGTAAAGTCGATGAACAAAATTCAATTAAGTAGCACGTGAGGGAGGCACGCATCTCAAAGCCCAAAGAATGTCTGTGTGGGAGTCTACAAATTAAGAGAATTCAGCTATGGGCCATTTTAATGCTAGAGATTTCATTATTGTCTGAGGCATTAAAGTCATCTTTTGGCCAGGGCTGTTGCTAACATTTCAAGTTGCCAGGTACATGTATATCCAATTATGAGGAGGGGAATTTTACAGCAAGGAAGTACTTTGGTTCTATTTGCCTTTTGTTTTCCATGAAAGTAGCCATGACTCACGCTCATAGTAGCCGGGGAAAATCCCCGGCCCCTGGCTCTTAGTGACAGCCCTGTTTGACGATTTAAACATCTAGCATAAAAATGGTAAATAAAGGCAGATGCATTTGGTTCTGAGGACTTAAACGTCTAATAGATGAGTTTAATGTCTCAGATGTTTACAATTGTTTCTGATATAAAAATCGGACCCCGTAAACTGGGACACATGCCCATCTAATCAATTTTATTTTGCCCTGTTTTTTGCTGTTCTTAAGTCTAATGTGGTCTAACATCCATGTGCAACCACCTCTTAGACGGCTTGTAAGCAACCACCTTTATAAAGTACTAGTCAGAGTATAATTGGAACCTCTTCCAAGCAACTTCCTGCCATTGGTGTGTCTGGCATTTGCTTGCTGGCCGTTTGACTCTCTGTAATTTTTCAGGAATACTGTTCACAATGCTATTTATGGAGAGGCTCGGAAGGAAGAAAACTATTGCTGGAGAGCTTTTATTGACAGCTGCAAGCCTGTCATTGTTGTTTTTCTGTACAGATAGGTAGGAGATTGTTTTAAACACAAAAAAAGCCTAAATTAGTGCCGTGGAACCCTGATATAATGAAGAGCCAAACCTTTTCATCATAACGAGGTTTCATTATATCATGTATTTTACTATTACTGGGGCAAAAAATATAGTTCATTATACCGAGGACCTTATATTGAGGTTTCACTCTACATAACAGTAAATTATTTTGCCAAATAAGTGCAACACAGTGACAATGGTAATTTTTGTAAAAAACAAAAAAGATAATGTGAATTATTAAGCTAACAAATACACCGAGGCATCCATTCAAAGAGCTTTCCTTGACCCTTTCCATCCCCAGACTGATCTTCATATCAGGCACGGATCCCACCAGTTTACACCGTTTTATGGAAATCGGTCAGATTTTTCATAAAAAAATACATTGTTTTCTGGAAAATGGTTTGGATAATGTTTTTTTTCAATTTCCAGGCATTATAAATGTACTGTTTGTACTATTTGTCAGCTTAGTCTAATATTCTGAGTTCTCTATTTTCAGGAATCTGACATTAGTTTTTATCTTCATGGTGCGTGGGCTTTCTTTAGGACTTTTCCAGGGATTCTATGTGTATGCTCCAGAGGTTAGATGTTCTTTGAGTTCAGACTTAAAGATAGTATTTCCTTATAAGCCATTTTAAGGCATTCCAATCAGATTGAAGACGGTTTACCTTGCCGGTTTCAAATGTTTCTTGTCTGTTGCATAGGACATGGCAAGGATCTCATGGATATACCCACCACGAGTCCCCAACTACGTAACATCGAACATATTTTTATAGATGTACCTTCACTCGTTTCCATTCCCCTCAAGTTGCCTTCATCTCCCTGGGGGTGGATGAATGGAAATGAAGGCTATTGTGGGTAAATAAATGCCAATACAGGTAGATGAAGTCAACTGCAGGTGTTTGAGGGGAATGGAAACGAGTGAAGGTACATCTAGAAAAACATGTTTGATATTACATAGTTGGGGACTCGTGGTGAGTATATCCATGAGGTCTTTCCCTAGGACACGACAGTTACATATCAAGTTTCTAATTATCATTAAATATTAACTCTCATCTTGACCTCTAAAATTGAAACCTGAGATTTGTCGCCCAAGCTAGGAGAGTGTTAATGATTTTGGAAACTTGAGATATAACTGTTGCGCGCCAAACATGATTGAACACTGGAAACTAGCAAGGTAAACTGTCTTCAATCTAATTCAAATCGCTTCCAAAACAACTCAAGTCTTAGGAACACCGGTGGCCTGTGCCATAGCCTGTTTCAGGCTCTCAGATGGGGGGAATGACGCGTTAGTGAAAGGCACACGAAAATATGAACGCGTGTGCAGACGTGACTATCTCAGATGCCTATCTCTACCTGCACCACAGATGGAAATTGGCTTCCCGTTAAGTCTGTCTGCAAAACAGCGCCAACATCCTTGTTCTGGGTCCCCATACCACCTGCACACTAGAATTTGAGTACGCACTGTGATTGGCCAATTAAAAGGGAAATTCGAAATGCATTTCTGACGAATCAGGTGTCTGGTGATCCATTGGGATCGTGGCTCATGGCTGGAAGTTAGAGTTTACCAGCCATGAGGGTCTAACTCTGCCGAGGGGCTGGCTTTGCTAAAAGTGGAAGCCCCTGGACATCCCGGACACCCACCTCCACTAAGTGACATAGTTGCATAATACGCTTGATTTGAAAAAGCTTTGACTGGCTGTTTTGTTGAATTGTAGGTGTATCCCACAATAGTTCGATCAGTGGGTTTTGGCACATGCGCCTGTATGTCTCGAGTGGGGGCTATGATAACACCATATGTAGCTCAGGTGAGGACTGTGCTACAAAGCAACTTTAATTTGTATTTGTGAAAAAATTGAAAAAATCTTCCATTTTCCCTTTTATTAACCCTTTTGCCAAAGCTAAAATTCAACAAAATTTCCTAGTTATAATTTGGTAAAACGCTGACATGTAAAAGTACTTCCAAAGGCTGGGTTTCATTTGAATCATGATGTTCATACAAAAGGATTTTGCCCAGACTCAAAAGTTGGAAACACCCTATTACAAACTTTATGCTTCAAATTGTAATTAGTTCATTTTTCTTTCTTATGATTAGGAAAATTTCATCCATTTACTTGTGCTTTTAAATTGGCTTGAAAAAAAGAAAAAGAAAAGAAGGCAAAACTGCGCTACATTACAGGAAACATGGTACAAATTGATTAATTCGTGTATTTTGTAAAAACGACCAAAAACTCCCTTAAAAATAACCCTGATTTATTGTAATTTATTCAACGCTGACCGAGGGTTCTTGGTACTAATTTCAGTTCCGGTTTTGACCCAGAACGGTGTTACTTATGATCGACAATTGCGTGTGTTTATTTTTTTTCTGTAGGTACTGGTGAGAGTTTCCATTAATCTCTCTAGTGGCGTTTATATCGCGTTCTGTGTGATGGCTTTTTTCGCAACACTTCTTCTGCCTTATGAAACCAAAGGAAGACCCATGCAGGTAAGCTAAAGAAATATTTAGGGCCTGTTTACATGGAGATGAGGCACCCCTGGTAGGTGATGTAACCTGCTTAGGTGGGGTAACCCGCCTGTCCATATAATCTCTTATTTTAATTTGATCACATTCACATGGTAGGTGGGGTAACCATCTAAGATATTAAATGGACAGGCGGGTTACCCCACGTTAGCAGGTTACCTTACCTGCCTGGGGTCTTCCACCTCCATGTTAACAGGTCCTTAGATTACTCTTACTGCTCCAGTGACTTTGGGCTGCTTATATGGAGAAAGGAGGGCCACTTGCTTACCCGAGCTACCCTGGGCGAGCAAACATTTCCTACGTTTCGTTACAAAACCTAGCAAATTGTTTTTAAGTTGGCTCAGCTAGAAGTTTTCGATGGTAGGCTCACCCTCCTGGCCGAGCCAACTTTTCTCCAAATAAACACTTTGACTTGCCCAGCCAGGTCAAATCGGTCAAGACAAAACACTCAGAGCATGCACGAGCGCTTTCGTCAGCACTCGGCTCGGATGAAGTGGCCAATTTTTTTCTCATATAAATGCTCACTAAAGTTGACTCGGCTGGAATGGTGACCCTCTTTCTTGGGACAACTTATTATCCATGGAAACGGGGCCTTACAAAGCCCTGGGCCCAGTGCATAAGTGCTGACGTCGGATGAAACAACTAGCATCTGACTATCAGCCCAGTCAAACTCTTTTTTCACGTCAGACATTACCAGTTACGCCTGCTGTTAGGTTTTATGCACCTGGCGACCCTGATCAGAACCGTAATTTTGTTTTTATGCATTTCTCTTTGTAGGAGATGTAACCAGTTATTATTGGAAAGGTGGCACTGCAAAATACGATAAGTGTCGCTTAGCCCGTTCACTCCCGAAAGTTACCAAAGTCAAACTTAACAAATCTGAAAAACAAGTTGAACCATGTGAAAGTACTGCCCAAAAGGTTGAAATTTAAACATGGGAATTGCTTATTTTTCACTTAACCAACCTGTTTGGTGCTGAATGTGGTAAATTTGACTACTTTTTATGAAAAAAGGCTAATTTGAAACAAATTGGTAACACAGAGGATCTCATCCATAGACTCCAAAGTTAGAACCAACTTACAAGACTTTCACTCTGGAAGTGAAGAGTTAATGTTGGGAAACCTCTTACGGTTACTTTATTTATATATTTCATTAGATTTACAGTCAAGGCAGGTCAAGCGTACCCCCAAGATTCCATTAATGAATTGGTTATTTGAAAAATGAATCTGGTAATCGTTCCCGTAACTAGTGTCAAATTCAAATCGGCATTCGTGCATGCGTAATGAGGTGTGAATATTTTATGAGAACTTCTCTGTATCGGGTCAGAGAGTAATAAATTTATTAATGGAACCTTAGGGGGTACGCTTGACGTGGCTTGAGTGTAGTGGGGCTAGAGTACGCTATTTTTGTGCATTTTCAACACTTACCCAAACGGTCACAGAACTGGCTGAAATATCTTATAGCTCCCTGAGACTGTAGAATACCAGAGAAATGCAAAAAAAGCCAAACAAGAGCATGGGTGGGTAAAACTGAAGAAGATTAAAACGGATTCCACTAAGGTTAGCTTGAAAAAACAGCGGCCATCTTTTTTCTGGTATTTATCAGTGTGTATGGTGTGACTTTCTTGAGAGTCATCTACATTTGCTGTGTGAGAATGGGTTTCTTCAGTAAAAGGCGTCTCTCCCACCAATTTATAGTGCAAAACTCGTAGTTTACGAAAACATACAAAATCATTGAATCTAGTGTGTCCTCTAGCCCCTTGAAGATAAAATTCAATACCATCAACTTTCGGTAGAAGTTAAATACCAAAATGTTGTAATTTTTCAAAGGGAATAATATATTTAATTCTGGAAAGTATTGCTAATTTATATAAGATATTTTCTTATTCCTCGGGTGTAAATATGTGAAATTATCATATAACTATTTTCACGTGCACGAATGTAGGTGGTAAAAGTGATATAAAACCTTTCACTGCTTTCAATTGGACACAGTTGCTTTGTCACAACTGTATATAACCTTAACTTTTTCGGACATACAGTCGAACCTTCACTAACGGCCACCTCTCCACAATGGCGACTTTTTTTTCCGCACAGCCCATACACTCACTCTTGTTTCAACCTCTCTACAACGGCCACTTTCTTCTGACCCCAAGGTGACCGTTCTAGAGAGGTTCAACTTTGCCCTGTCAGGGGCACCCAACAACGGTTTCCTCCTAAGTACATTGAAAACAGTTTTTAGGCTATGCAAAGTAGTTTTAGATCACTAGAAATGCATTCTAAGTGGCGCTATAAAATTTGTATCCCTTCGTTCATCCTAGGGGAATTTGAGTCTTTTCGAAATTACAAGGGATTCAGTATTATTTTCCCGAAAATTTTAGATGCAATTTTGAAAGTGAGAAAGTGAGAATTTTTCTGATTCTAAGTTTAGGTTTCCTTTGTTTCTACGAAAAATGGCCTAACTTGGGAAGTAAAATGCAAAAATAAAACTTCAGAAAATCGTAGGGAACTTATTAGATAGGCTTCGAAAACTGTACATGAACCGAACGGTCATCTGGTCATCTAGAAATTTTTAGCCGTCCTCAAGTAATAGAAAATTTTAGGCAATATTTGCTTCTCCGAACAGATATTTTACAGAAAACAGTCGTTTGGTGCCCCTGCCTTGTTAACCCTTATGGTCCCTAGAGTGAGCAACATCAATTTTCTCCTAACAATATCCATACATTGTCAAGAGGAAAGGTTAGGAGAATTCATAAAATGATCTCTGAAGGCAAAATACTTTGATCTTTTAACAACTCAACTATTTTTTTAAGAAAATGTATTAAAGATCAGTCTAAGGAAAAAGCCTTTTCCAAGTTACTCCGAGCCTCTACTTCAAAGTGAGGCTAAGTGCGACGCCATTGATATGAAAATGATTATTTTTTTAAAAATTAAAATTATCATTATTTAATTATTATTATTAATTATTAATTATTATAAATAAATTATTACATTATTATTAATAATAATCATTATTATTAATTAATTATCATTAAATTATTTATTCTTATGTAAATAGAACTCATTTTCACAACGATTTTCTCAAGAAAGATGTTGCACTTATTCTCGTTTTGAAAGGGAGAGTTTGGGGTTGCAAATGGCCTATTTGTATATGGATATTGCTGGGACTCAAAGGGCTAACACTTTTAGATTATTATTTTGTTGTTATTGCAATGATTGCCCTTCCTTTGGGGGCCACGCTAACCATAACGGTTAACGTAACTGTTTCATGGGACATTTTACTGTTTGTTTAGCTCCCAAAGGGAGTTGAGTACGTACCGTGTTTAATCTATGTAGCCCCCTTGGTGGCTTATACATTTTGCCGTGCTTCAAGAGTTGAGCAAACTGTAAAATGCCAGCGGCTGTATAAATTTATATTTCAGATTCCCTTTGAAATTTCATAAGTCAGGGACTGTTCTTGTAAAAAAAGGTTGGTGACAGCATCCCATTGTTTCTGAACCAATGCTGTTGAGGCAGTGGGGAGGCGGGCGGAGATGAGTGAGTTCACACAGGGCAACTCTGAAATATCCTCTTCACAATGGACTCTTCTTGTTTTGCAGTCTAGACCTGGCGTTTAGTCTGTTATCGTTCATGAAAATATTTTTTGAAACATTTTTGATATCATAGCTCTATTTATTGCCGCGGAATAAGCTGTTAGGTATGTAAAAAACATTAAAATAAACTAAGTGGGTTAAATAATACAATCAGTGTAGTGATAACTTTGAAAACTCTAAACAAGTCAGAATATCATTCTTACTGCCCTTCTTCTCCCCACAAGACCATCGATTACAGTCAAATTTATCTCAACCTCCTTACTTTCTGGCCTATAAAAACAAGAACTTCAAAAAGTCGAAAAATTGACATTTTTCCAAAGGGGTTAACCCATGGTTTTGGTCTAAAAATGACCATTTTTCCAATTTTTTTTTTAGGCAATATACGCCACGAAAATGTTTTCTCAGATATTCTAGAACGAAAAAACGCCTTTCTGGGGTATAAAAACAAGAAGTTCACAAAGTCGAAAACTTGACATTTTTACAAAGGGGTTAACCCATAGTTTTGGTCCAAAAATGGCCATTTTTCCAACTTTTATTTTTTAGGCAATATAGGCCAGGAGAATCTCTTTTGCGATATTCTAGAACGAAAAAACGCCTTTCTAGACTATAAAAACAAGAAGTTTAAAAAGTCGAAAAATTGACATTTTTCCAAAGGGGTTAACCCATGGTTTTGGTCCAAAAATGGCCATTTTTCCAACTTTTATTTTTTAGGCAATATAGGCCAGGAAAATGTCTTTTACGATATTCTAGAACGAAAAAACGCCTTTCTAGGCTATAAAAACAAGAAATTAGAAAAGTCCAAAAATTGACATTTTTCCAAAGGGGTTAAGCCATGGTTTTGGTCCAAAAATGGTCATTTTTCCAACTTTTTTTTTTAGGCAATGTAGGCCAGGAAAATGTCTTTTACGATATTCTAGAACAAAAAAAACGCCTTTCAACACAATAAAAACAAAAAGTTCAAAAACTCGAAAAATTGCCATTTTTCCAACTTTTATTTTTTAGAAAATATAGGCCAGGAAAATGTCTTTTCAATATTCTAGAACAAAAAAACGCCTTTCTAGGCATTAAAATGAAGAAGTACAAAAAGTAGAAAAATTGACATTTTTCCAAAGGGGTTACCCATGGTTTTGGTCCAAAAATGGCCATTTTTCCAACTTTTATTTTTTAGGAAATATGCGCGAGGAAAATGTCTTTTACAAAATTCTAGAACGAAAAAACGCCTTTCTAGGCTATAAAAACAAGAAGTTCAAAAAGTCGAAAAATCGACCTTTTTTCAAAGGGGTTAACCAATGCTTTTAGTACAAAAATGGCCATTTTTCCAACTTTTATTTTTTAGGAAATATAGGCCAGGAAAATGTCTTCTACGATATTCTAGAACGAAAAGACGGCTTTCTAGGCTACAAAAGCAAGAAGTTAGAAAAGTCGAAAAATTGACATTTTTGCAAAGGGGTTAACCCATGGTTTTGGTACAAAAATGGTCATTTTTCCAACTTTTATTTTTTAGGAAATATAGGCCAGGAAAATGTCTTCTACGATATTCTAGAACAAAAAAACGCCTTTCTAGGCTATCAAATCAAGAAGTACAAAAAGTTCAAAAATTAACATTTTTCCAAAGGGGTTAACCCATGGTTTTGGTCCAAAAATGGCCATTTTTCCAACTTTTATTTTTCAGGAAATATAGGCCAGAAAAATGTCTTTTACGATATTCTAGAACGAAAAGATGGCTTTCTAGGCTATAAAAACAGGAAGTAAGAAAAGTCGAAAACTTGACATTTTTCCAAAGGGGTTAACCCATGGTTTTGGTCCAAAAATGGCCCTTTTTCCAACTTTTATTTTTTAGGAAATATAGGCCAGGAAAATGTCTTTTGCGATATTCTAGAACGAAAAAACGCCTTTCTAGGCTATAAAAACAAGAAGTTCAAAAAGTCGAAAAATCCACATTTTTCCAAACGGGTTAACCCATGCTTTTAGTCCAAAAATAACCATTTTCCAACTTTTATTTTTTACGAAATATAGGCCAGGAAAATTTCTTTTACGATATTCTAGAACAAAAAAACGCCTTTCTAGGCTATAAAATCAAGACGTGCAAAAAGTCGAAAAATTGACATTTTTCCAAAGGGGTTAAGCCATGGTTTTGGTCCAAAAAAGGTCATTTTTTCAACTTTTCTTTTTTGGGCAATGTAGGCCAGGAAAATGTCTTTTCCGATATTCTAGAACGAAAAGATGGCTTTCTAGGCTATAAAAACAGGAAGTAAGAAAAGTCGAAAAATTGACATTTTTCCAAAGGGGTTAAGCCATGGTTTTGGTCCAAAATGGTCATTTTTCCAACTTTTTTTTTTAGGCAATATAGGCCAGGAAAATGTCTTTTGCGATATTCTAGAACGAAAAAACGCCTTTCTAGGCTATAAAAACAAGAAGTTCAAACAGTCGAAAAATTGCATATTTTCAAAGGGGTTAACCCATGGTTTCAGTCCAAAAATGGCCATTTTTCGAACTTTTTTTTTCTTAGGAAATCTACGCCAGGAAAATGTCTGTTACAAAATTCTAGAACGAAAAAACGCCTTTCTAGGCTATAAAAACAAGAAGTTAGAAAAGTCGAAAAATTGACATTTTTCCAAAGGGGTTAACCCATGGTTTTGGTCCAAAAATGGCCATTTTTCCAACTTTTATTTTTTATGCAATATAGAACAGGAAAATGTCTTTTACGATATTCTAGAAAAAAAAAAACGCCTTTCTAGGCTATAAAATCAAGAAGTGTAAAAAAGTCGAAAAATTGACATTTTTCCAAAGGGGTTAAGCCATGGTTTTGGTCCAAAAGGTCATTTTTTCAACTTTTATTTTTGGGCAATGTAGGCCAGGAAAAATGTCTTTTACGATATTCTAGAACGAAAAGATGGCTTTCTAGGCTATGAAAACAGAAAGTAAGAAAAGTCGAAAACTTGACATTTTTCAAAGGGGTTAACCCATGGTTTTGGTCCAAAAATGGCCATTTTTCCAACTTTTAGTTTTTAGGAAATATAGGCCAGAAAAATGTCTTTTACGATATTCTAGAACAAAAAAACGCCTTTCTAGGCTATAAAATCAAGAAGTTCAAAAAGTCGAAGAAATTGACATTTTTTTAAAAGGGTTAACGCATGGTTTTCGTCCACAAATGGCCATTTTTCCAACTTTTATTTTTCAGGAAATATAGGCCAGAAAAATGTCTTTTACGATATTCTAGAACGAAAAGATGGCTTTCTAGGCTATAAAAACAGGAAGTAAGAAAAGTCGAAAACTTGACATTTTTCCAAAGGGGTTAAGCCATGGTTTTGGTCCAAAAATGGTCATTTTTCCAACTTTTATTTTTTAGAAAATATAGGCCAGGAAAATGCCTTTTAGGTTATTCTAGCATAAAAAAAACAGCTTTCTAAGCTATAAAATCAAGAAGTTCAAAAAGTGGAAAAATTGACATTATTCCAAAGGGGTTAACCCATGGTTTTGGTCCACAAATGGCCATTTTTCCAACTTTTATTTTTCAGGAAATATAGGCCAGAAAAATGTCTTTTACGATATTCTAGAACGAAAAGATGGCTTTCTAGGCTATAAAAACAGGAAGTAAGAAAAGTCGAAAACTTGAGATTTTTCCAAAGGGGTTAACCCATGGTTTTGGTCCAAAAATAGCAATTTTTCCAACTTTTATTTTTTAGAAAATATAGGCCAGGAAAATGTCTTTTACGATATTCTAGAACAAAAAAACGCCTTTCTAGGCTATAAAATCAAGAAGTTCAAAAAGTCGACGAAATTCACATTTTTTTAAAAGGGTTAACGCATGGTTTTCGTTCAAAAATGGCCATTTTTCCAACTTTTATTTTTTAGGAACTATACGCCAGGAAAATGTCTTTTACAAAGTTCTAGAACGAAAAAACGCCTTTCTAGGCTAAAAAAACAACAAGTTCAAAAAGTCGAAAAATTGACATTTTTCCAAAGGGGTTAACCCATGCGTTTAGTCCAAAAATGGCCATTTTTCCAACTTTTATCTTTTAGAAAAAATAGGCCAGAAAAATGTCTTTTACGATATTCTAGAACAAAAAGACGTCTTTCTAGGCTATAAAAACAAGAAGTTAGAAAAGTCGAAAAATTGACATTTTTCCACAGGGATTAACCCATGCTTTTAGTCCAAAAATGGCCATTTTTCCAACTTTTATTTTTTTAGGAAATATAGGCCAGGAAAATGTCTTTTACGATATTCTAGAACGAAAAGACGTCTTTCTAGGCTATAAAAACAAGAAGTTAGAAAAGTCGAAAAAAAAAAAAAAAAAAAAAAAAAAAAATCGAAAAAAAAAAAAAAAGACGTCTTTCTAGGCTATAAAAACAAGAAGTTAGAGAAGTCGAAAAATTGACATTTTTCCAAAGGGAAAAATGGCCATTTTTGCAACTTTTATTTTTTATGCAATATAGAACAGGAAAATGTCTTTTACGATATTTTAGAACGAAAAAACGCCTTTCTAGGCTATAAAAACAAGAAAATAGAAAAGTCCAAAAATTGACATTTTTACAAAGGGGTTAAGCCATGGTTTTGGTCCAAAAATGGTCATTTTTCCAACTTTTTTTTTTAGGCAATGTAGGCCAAGAAAATGTCTTTTACGATATTCTAGAACGAAAAAACTCCTTTCTACACTATAAAAACAAAAAGTTCAAAAAGTCGAAAAATTGCCATTTTTCCAAAGGGGTTAACCCATGGTTTTGGTCCAAAAATGGCCATTTTTCCAACTTCTATTTTTTAGGCAATATAGGCCAGGAAAATGTCTTTTGCGATATTCTAGAACGAAAAAACGCCTTTCTTGGCTATAAAAACAAGAATTTGAAAAAGTCGAAAAATTGACATATTTTCAAAGGGGTTAACCCATGGTTTCAGTCCAAAAATGGCCATTTTTTGAACTTTTTTTTTTTGAGGAAATCTACGCCAGGAAAATGTCTTTTACAAAATTCTAGAACGAAAAAACGCCTTTCTAGGCTATAAAAACAAGAAGTTCAAAAAGTCAAAAAATCCACATTTTTCCAAACGGGTTAACCCATGCTTTCAGTCCAAAAATAACCATTTTCCAACTTTTATTTTTTACAAAATATAGGCCAGGAAAATGTCTTTTACGATATTCTA